GATCAGGTTTCCTATTTTATTCAGGTTAGAGCCAAGTTTGCAAATTTTTATCCCTCTTCTATAACCTTGACTAGTTTTAGTGTTTCATACGCCAGTGCAGAAATTTTGCCAGGGCCCAGATTGGGGCCGGATCAGACTGCCCTATTAGGAAATGAAACGCCGCGCCTGATGTGGCCCTGATTAGGAAATCCACATTTTCTGGTCGCCCTGATTAGGCCCTAATCAGGTGTGGCGTTTCATTCCCTACTATGGTCCTGGTAGGGCAATTTTTACACGGGGCGAATCCGAGGCTTTCCAAAATAGGCCCTAACAGGTCCACACCAGGGCCTGGTCAAAGCGTAGTTTTAATCCTTGTACAAATTCAGGCGACATTGAGGCTTCCCTACTTGAGCCCTGGTCAGTGCTTTTTTTTCATTGAAAATTTGGAAATAAAATTCAGAAAATACTTTGAAATGATAAATAATAAATATTACATGCCTCATTAAAAAAGAGAATGGTATGAACTAGATTTTGTAGGGTTGATAATAATCATTGGGTTAGAGTATATTATACACACGGCTGAGCAACCACCAACGAACGTCACGATTCTCGGTTCGATATATCGAGAGAGCAAAGAGAGCCTGGAGATGCTGGCTGCCGCCTTCCATTAATCTCGCGGCAATCGAAATTAGCATAATTGACGGAACGTAGAATGGGGCGCTGTTCGACTCTGAAACGCCATCTCGCATAATCTCACCATATATCTCACTCAGTGTTTTCCGATAGAACTTACTGCGCCATGCGTATATACCTGAAAGAGAGAGAGAGAGGAAGACCATCCCCATCACACCCACTCTTTTTTTTTTTTAACGCAACCCCGCTAAAATATGAGAATTTTTTTTCAATGAAATAGACAGTAAAAAGGGGGAAAAAGTTACTTTGGTTACTATTTAGCTATCTTAGCTAATTTTTACCTAACTTTGCTAATTTTTAGCTCTCGATACCGACAAAAGTAATATACTCCGCGCTTATTTAAATAATGTATTTTCTTATATTTGATTTGAATTAATTTTTTTTATTGAAAAATAAATTCCCAAATTGTAATTTTATATATATTGAAAAACTCTGAAAGTCCAGCTGCCTTGAACCGCATCGATATATAATCTCGATTCAACGTTTCGCCGTTCTTCTTCTTCTTTCTCTCGTCTCGAGCGCATCTCTTCTTGAACAAGACGTATCGACGCGGGATTTTTTCCCGACAGTCATTTATCAAAGCCCTTATACCCCTCTTCTTTCGTTCCCATCTCTTCACAACATATATACCCCGCAGCCACTCGATGCAACACGAAGCGCGAGTAGTCGAACGTGCTGCTATGTCAAGAGAAAAGAAGTAGAAGATGAAGAAGAATAGGAAGACGATGAAAAGAAGTGGGAGAAGATGCTGTGTGTGAGTGAGGAGAGAGAAAAAAAAGGATCAAATAAGAGCCCTCCCTTTTCTAAGTTGAACGTGAGGTCGAGAGGGTGCAAAGCTGACCTCTATATCTGTATCACCCGAAGATTCATCTCATAAAGAAATATAATATAAATGATAAAAATAAATACATACACTGAAAAAAAAAAAAATATTTCAAACGATCTACTTGACTATTATCGAAAATATTTATTTGAATTGTATTTAATAAAACTTCAGTTTAAGAGAAAAATTAAGTTTAAATGTTAAAAATTTAATTATTATGGTGGAAATAACCAAAAATTAGAAATAACCTTGGTTAAATAAATTATAACTTTTTTTTTACTGGAAAATAATATCTTAATCAAAATTTTTTTTTGAAAATAGTAAATTTTTTTCTTTTGAATTTTTCGAGAACATTTTTCAAAAAAAAGAAATAAAAGCAGGGACATAATATGTAAAGTAGAGATTTCTTTTTTTTCTCCTATCTTGACGAAAGAAGTCCAATCTATCATATATATATATATATATAAAATTAGAAAAGTCGTTGACTATATAAAGTGAGTTTATTTAGTTAGGAGAGATTGAACCCATCGCGCGGGTTATCCAGAGTGTGCTGGCGCATACGTAAATACACTGACGTCCAAAAGCAAATACATGTGTCCGAAAGATAAGACCATGGGGTATATGCTGATGAGCTATAGGGAATCGTACAAAAAAAAAGAAATTAACATCAAATTATGATTAATTCATTGAAATCAATAACGGAATTTTTTAATCTTACCCCACAGAAAAAAACGATTTATTTATTATTTTCATTATATTTATTACATTTATTATAAATCTATTTATCCATTATTGATATTTTTGAAAACAAAAATTATAATCAAATCGCAAAATTAATTATAGAAATTAAACGCAAATTAACGAGATTGGATATAAATTTTGTTTGAACAATAAAACAAACACAAGGTTATATATTTGAATATTTGAGTAACAACATATAAAATGTTATTTAGTTGATAAATTGATAAGGAAATGAATTTAAAAAAATATCATTTTTTTTTTTTGAAAAGTTAATCAAGTTTTCCATTTACGAGTGAAAACTTGTGTTATAATTTTACAAGTTAACACACATATTCTCCATCTGCCTACGGGTTTTAATGCTTTGCATTTTAGACTATTTTATGAAGGACATAGGTGTGTAGCGGAAATGATGACAGTGGAGAGAGCGAAGTGCTCTAATTATTAATCAAACACATTGCAGGACTCACCCTCCCCTCTACATCTCTCTCTCTCTCTCTCTCTTTCTCTATCGCTCGCCCCCTCATAGTTATAATGCATTTACTGTGAAAACGAAATTATTTCAGACTCGCTATACATTCCTGACTCATCGTCGAAAACTGCAGTTACTTTCATATTTGTTTATCAAAAAAGAAGACAAAAAAAATACATTTCATACGATAAAAACTGATTTTTTTTTTCTTTAACTTATTATCAAAATATTGTTAATACAAGGTAATTTCCTTTTTTTGAAACTGATTTTTTTTCAGTTTTTATTATTTTTATGTTATTTTTTTTATCTAATTATCGTTAATAAAATTTCCTTTTATTGTTATTTTCTTCTCTTCAACACTGATACTTTTTTTTTTACTTTTCTATTGATTTCTTCAATTTACATTCTTTATCTTTATTCTTCGTTTTAAATATCTTTTTCCTTCTCTTTATTTGATTTTTGTAAGAGTTATATTTATATTTAAAAAGTGAATAGAATCAAATAATAAGATATAAGATTAAAATTATATATAGTTTTCGTATATATATATATATATATATTTATAGAGATTGAAGTCATGGTGACTAGAACATTTTTATATATAAACTTTCATTGATATATTGGAAAATGATTCGAATGACTTGAACAAAAAAATCAATTTCAGGGGATTTATATTTTTTTAATTTGCATCCTAAAATTATACAGATAACGATAAAAAAAATATGATATGCGTGTATTTTAATAAAAAAAAAATGTATCAATTATAAATAAATAATTAAAAAAATATAAATATCGATTATAATTGAATTAAATTAATTAATTTTCGTTTTTTAATTTTTTTGATATTTTCTTTATATCACATTTTAAAAAAAAATTTTCACTAAAAAGCTGATTCAGTAAGAAGGAAAAAAAAAAATTTTTGTGATAAAAGATAATTTTTGAAGTTAGATAATATGACTTGAAAAAAAAATTCTAAATATTATCTCTCTATATTTAAACTTAGAACATAAGAGCAACAGATTACAGTTACATATTTATAGGTAAACACACACTTGAATAAATTCTCTAGTTTATTGTTAGTCAAACCCTTTTGTGTACTTAAATGTCAATAGACATACAGAAACGAAGAGAATAGGTCAGGAACTTTATATCTATACTTTTTATAAAGAAAGGGAATAAGCCTTGGGAAAAAATCAGAGATAACGGAATTATACTTCATTTTTTTTTCTATTCGTGATAAATTTTAATTTTTACCATAGTCATAAAAAATTAATTTTTCAAGAAAATAAAAAAATTGTTACTATTATATTAAAAAAAAAAATTATTATTACTATTTTATTATAAAATCTTCATACCAAGAATTTTTTAAAATATACAAATTATATTAATAATAATAATAATAATAATAATATAATTTATCATTATAATTTTTATTATAATAACAAAAAATTTCAGTAAAATGAACTAATCGTTTCTGATACATATTAATAAAAAAAAAACCATAAAAGTTAAAATATCCTCCACAAATACATTACTGTACCTATTTTTAAAGATGATGTTTTTCACCCTTTAACCAAAAATGGAATAATTTAAAATTTCCTATACACAAAATTCTATTTTCAAATGTGCTATTGTATTTTCTATATAAATATGGATCATTTTACTTCATACCACATTCATGTGCGTCTGTAAAAATTTTGTGAAGAAAAAATATTTTTATTTCCTCATAAAACTAATTAATATTTATAAAATATATATTCGAAAAGACATATTTTATTACATATAACTATAAACTATTTTTTTTAACTCAATCTCCAATTTCCATAAAAAGCGATTGTAAAAATCTTTTTTCTATTACAAATTCATTTATTTATTTTATAGAGAAATAATTTTAATTTTATAGATGAAATAAATAATTTGAATAAATTCTTTATTAAAGAAGAATTTTAATCGAAAAGAAAATCATATATTTTTTTTTGTTAATCACATTCCAATAAAAAAAATTTTGAAACAACTAAATTTTTGTTGAATCAACCAAATTTTTGTATGTATAATAAATTTAGAAATAGAAAAATTGGTATAAAAAATATTTTCTCTTAAAGAAAAATCATTTAAAAAAAAAAATTATATTCTTCTGTTCAAACAAACAATACGATTATTAGAAAAAATTGAATTTCTTAAAAATGAATTGGTACTTAGAAGTGCATCATCAGTATATAGAAAAGAAAGAAAATATATATATATAGGAGAGTCGAAATCGTCAAGTGGAGGGGTAAAGATCTTGGTTCTCCATACATTATTAGTAGCCGGGGCATTTCCGTATCCAAGACAGTTTCGTCTTATAGTCGAAGAAGAAACTATCATTTAAGAAGAAGAATCTCGACTACAAAAATCATTAAATTATTTATTTTCCCTTTTTTTTATTCGAAAAAAAAATATTTTTAATATTCTATTTATTATAATCTTATTCAAACAAATTTTTTTTTTGTGTAATTTTTTTTTTTTTTTTAAACATTAAACATGGATAATGTTGAGGAGTATATTAAAGCCAATGACCTTCAGACTCGTGATGCCTGTGATGTTATCGAAGAATTTACTGATGAAATTTATCGAATGAGAGGCAGGTGCATTGACATTGGATGTGGACCCGGAACTTTTAGTAAAAATTTCCTACTATCAAAATTGCATCCCGATTCTGTATTGATTGGTAAGTTTGTTCTCTTCATAAATTCATTTTAATGGGAAAATTTTCAAATTCTTTTCAACTAACTTTTACTATTATTTTTTATATTCTTTATTTATTGTTTTTTTAAAAATGGTAACAAAGTTACGAGAATAAATTTTTTTTTAATTAATAATTTAATTTTCCCTAAATAAAATTTACTTGCGCTATAAATATTTTTTATTTATATTATTATTATTAATTTTTACTTATTAGACTGTGAGAAATATATTTTTATTCGTCTCAAATAAAAGCAAGTTAAAAAATTCTCTTGTTACAAATTAATATATTTATTGGATAGTAAAATATTTTAAATCAAATAATTTTTTTTTAACAAATTTTTTTCCTTCAATTATACGAGTAATTGATAATTATGGGATATTATGTGATATTCAGAAATGAAAAAAAAAATGAAATTAACGTAAATTTCGTAAAATTTCGTGTTTAAAATATCAATCGACGATGACAGTTTAATTATACTATGCGGATATAATGACGAAAATAAAAAACGATAACGGACCTAAACTAATGAAATCGATTGATTACAGCGATTACTCGGTGTGCCTTCAAAAATCGATTATTTGCGAAAAACATAAGGGTTTCAATAATAATCAGATTGTTATCTAGTCCCATTTCGTTTTTCTCTTTCTCTTTTTATTTATTGTGTATACGTTTGAACAAAATGAATAAATTATATTCTTCTTTCAGTAAAAGTAATTTAGAATTTTTTTTTTTTTTTCAAATAATCTACTATTTTCAAATAAATATTTACTTGAATCGAATAATTTTTATTTGAATAAAATAAATTATATAAATATCCCGCTAAAAATGCTTTAAAATATTTGAGAAAAATGATATTGATTATTTTAATTAATGCCCGTCGAAAATAATAATTTAATAGCCCTATTTGATGTAAATTAATTAAAGATAAACATTAAATTATTTCTATTGTATTAATGTAAATGCATAATATAGGTGCTGACATATCCAAACAAATGATTGAATATGCACGAAAGACTAGCACCGATGAGGACAGAATTGATTTCATAGAATTAGATATTGAAACGGCGAAAATTCCGGCAAATGAAATTGGACGTTATGATAATGCATTTTCCTTTTATTGTCTCCATTGGATACAAAATCCAAGGTAAATGAAATTTCCATTCAATTGATTTTAAAACATATCTAAGTCTAATTTTCTTCATCTAATCAATTTTTTTTAATTCTTTACTTTTTTAAATATTAATTATATACAGGTAATTATAGAGGATTTTAATTTATTTATTGATTTATAGGAAAGTCAAAAGTATTTTAATATTAATAATTTTAATGAAATAAATTGAAAATAAATAAAATTTTGAAATATTTTTTTCTTTATGTAATTTCAGACGAGCGTATGAGAATATATATCAATTGTTGCAACCTGGGGGAAAAGTTGTGATAACATTTTTAACTTTTAACAGTGGATTTCAAGCTTATTTGAAAATAAGTGAAGATCCAAAATACAAACCCTATATGAAGGTAAGAAAAAAAGTGATAATTTTTAAATTTCAATTTTTAATTAAATAAAAATTTATAAAATTAAATGAAAATAAATTTTTTTTTTGAAAAATTCTGTAAATTTTATTCTTTTTAGGATGTTCAAAAATTTATACCACCAACATTGACGTACAACAATGTAAGAGCAGAATTAAAAAAAATGTTAGAAGAAACTGGCTTCGAAGTAATTCATTGCAGCAATAGAGAAAAAACTTTTGTTTACAAGAGCATGAAAATTCTAAAAGGTAAAAATATATATCTTATTTTTATTATTGTTAAACAAAAATTTTGAATATTATATAAATTTTCTTTTTAATTTTTAACTTCTTTTTTATTATTTACAAATTTAATTTTCTTTTATTAATTTTTGTACAAAAATAAAATTTTTTCGAAATTAATTTATTAATTAGTTTCGATCATTTATTTTTTAGGTCACGTTCGTGCTGTTAATCCATTTCTTCATCGAATGCCAGATAATGTCGCAGAAGAATATATGACGGATCTTATGTGTGAAATTGTTAATGAAAAAATGATATGCATTAACAAAAATAATATAAACAAAGAAGAATATAGTATATTAGACAAATATCAAGTTTTAGTCGCATATTTTAAAAAACCATTAAACAGTGATAATTGAAAATATAGTGTCATATAAAAATTATGCCTGTATATTATATATATAGTGTAATATTTATTGAAAAATAAAAATAGAAAATAATTTTTATAATATTTTCCTTTAGTAAATTATTTAAAAAGTAAAATTAGAAAAAATAGAAATTTTCACTAAAATTTTTAGTAAAATATTATTTAGCAAGTTTTTTTTTAAGAAGAGATATATAAAAAAAATGATGGGAGAGTGTGACATTAAAGTGCATATAATAAAATGCGGAAAAAAATTTTCTATAACATTACATTTTATTTTAATCTATCGCTATGACCTTACATGTGTGCGGTATAGCCATTTATAGAATAATGTTATTATTCTCAAATCGTCTCATAGATATACGTAGCTATGTATTTATATTACTGAGTTTTCACACAGCTGGTAACAATTGTCACTAATCTAAATTCTAAAAAATACATTCAGGTTTACATGTTTTTTTCTTAACTACAAACATCGATTTACGACACATGTCGTGTATCAATCGTTATCGAAGACGTACGTATTTTTTTAAATGACTGTGATATACATATTGTATATTTTATATTAAGGGTATGTGACACATATTATAATGTCATGAATTGTTTAAATTAAAAAAAATTCCCAATCATTTGTTCACGATTATTTTCACATATAAACAAAGAAGAATTTATGTTAATTGAAATTAAAATTTCAAATATTTATCTTATCTTGAAAGAAAATTATTTCTTTTTTGGAATCGATTAATTTGTAATGTATCACGTACCCTTATATATTGTCTAAGAAAAGAAAATCTTGATTTTCATCATTTTTTTAATTATTATATAATTAATTGCGAGAATAATTATGAATTTATTGATTCATAATTAAATGATAAAAAAGAAATTTTTTAACATTTTATTTTTTAGATATTCTTTTTGTTTTTGATATTAATGTCGAGTTTGATGTTAATTATATTCTGAATATCACAGATATTGTAGAACAAAACAAAATTTTCGTCCTCAATGCGATATCAACACGACTAACTTTATATTCAAGTGGAAGGAACTTAAGTATATAGACAATTATTTTTATCAAATAATCGCAATAACAATTTTTTTTTTAATTTATTTTATTGTTTTTTTTTCAAATTATTAATGTCATTATTATCGTCATTTTATTAAGATATATATAGAGTTTTATCATTTTGGTTTTGGATTTACAGGACATAATTTCACACATCACTTTTTTTTTAAAACACTTCACAACTTTTATACTTTCTCATATTTTTTTTTCTCTCTTGGAAAGTTGTTTTTTTTAGTAGTAAAAATTTTAACGTAGATGTTACAGGAGCGCGTTTAGAGGTATGATAAAAATTAATAAGTAAAACCAAATTGTCACATATATTATTTGTAATTATATTTAAATATAATTAGACTTTTTTTATCTAATTTTCTAAATTATAATTTAGTTATGATTTTTGGATAAAAATTTCGTATACACGATAAATCAGTGTAACGATAACAAAAATTTCATAATTTTGTTATTGTGGCTAACTATTAAAAAATAATGAGAAAAATTAAAGGATTTTTTTTTCTGGAAGTATAGATTTTTAGTTAGTACAATTTTTATTACGAATATTTCAGTTTTATTATTTTGAGAAACTATTTAAAAACTATTTTACTATTAAAAATAATATTTAAATTGATAAAATAATATGCTAATAAATTATTATAATAATCTATGAAATAAAGAATATTTTCTTTTTAATATTTAATATTAAAATAATATATATGTATATTTCGTACTGCAGCGATTACATCTATTTAATTTTTTTCTTTTTTTTTAAATATAAATGCAGTAATATAAGGTACTGTTCAATCCTTAAAAGCGACATCGAACATTGAAGACATTTATTTTTTGAGAAAATTAACACATAAGACAATTACATGAATGATGACAAAGAGCAAGGCACAAGTGAATGAGAGAAGAAAAAGTAGCTAAAGAAAAAAATTTTTACAGAAAAAAATTATAATGAAAAAAAATTTTTTTTTCTTTATTTTCATAACTGAAAAATATTTCTTTTTAATGATTTATGTATTTTAGCAAAATGTTTCGATTTATATTATATATTTTAGTAAAAATAGTTAATGATTAGAGAAAAAATAAATTATTCCTAGATAAAAATTGAAAATAAAAAAAAATTTCAAAAACTGATTTTCTTTTAAAAAAATGTAATTATTAAAATATAATTATCATGAAAAAAATGTTTAAATAAACAAAAATTATGTTTAGAAAATAGGTGTACATTTATGTACTTTCAAGTTAGTTGGATTATCATTTGCTATAGGGGGCAACATATTTTTTATCAATAGCTAATTCAACAATTTTAGAAAATTTTTAAATAAACATAAAATCGTTTTAAAAATTGAGATAGAGGCTAATACGTAATATATTCGTAAATGTGTATCGATACTTTCATTTCGTATAAAGTTTCGTGTTTTTTTTCACAGGGTGCCCAAAAATACTTCCCACGGTGTTAATTGAGAAGATATTCTACAGGAGCAAGAATCAACTTAAGAGCTGTTAAAGTATTCGGATATATATTTTTTTTTCAAAAAAAAAAAAATTTTTTTTTTAAATTATTTTATTTTAAGTTAAACAATATATTTTTTTAATATCTTCAAATAAAAGAGTAAAATTAAAATTTTATTACTTATCAACACCCTTAAGAAATATTCTTAGCTCCAGAATAATTTTTTAACCACTCTGCATTTGCAAATAATTTTTATAAGTATTATATAGTAATAGAGCAGAGAATAAAAAATATATATAATATAGTAGTTTATACATATATAGCTATATAGACGAAATTTTTTTGCAGCAAGATTCATCAGTATAATTTTTGCGAGTTTCTTATATAATAATATTAAAGAATTACTATAACTTTTACTGTGAAACTATATATTTTATGATTTTAATTGTAATGAACCGAGTTCTATTATTTTTTTTTATCATCAGGTACACTTTTTAATGAGCAATTCATAAAACTGGCAAAGTAGTAAAAAAAAAAAAAACCGTTGGTTTTTTCGAAATTTGCGCAATATTTTATATTTATTTAAGAAAACAGAAATAGTTTTTTATATCCAAATTATTAATTTTAATTTTTATAATTAATTAATTGTAATTATGCGCACATTAAAAGCAATTCCATCGCATTTATATTTTATATATGACAATTAAATTAACTTTACAATCAATATTGATTAAAAGCTGGTAATATAATTTTTTTTCCATCCTAAATAGAGAAGATGTTAATTTTGAAGAAAGCAAAATTAACAGAATTCATTGAGTAAATTTTTTACTATCTTATGATTTTTTTTTTTTTATTATTCTCATTTGTGCGACATTGAAGAACTAAAAATTTATATTTTAAGGAAATAAGTGAAAATTCAAATTAGTTCGAAATTTCCTCAAAATCACCTTAATTTCACGCAATTAATATGACAATAAATTAATAGAATCATTTGTTTAAAATATAATCTTAAAATTAATAAATTGTATGATAATGATTAAAAGTCCCTGATTTGACAATAAATTTGTAATAATTCCACACCACCAGGCAAGTGCTGACACATCAACTTAGATTTAAGATACATTTGAATAAATAACATATACAGTGACTAACATACTTTCATAAAGAACTAATCCCAAATTTTTTTTTTATGATTTTTCTTTGCATAAAACTTAAATTTTAATTCTATTGCTTGCGAATATATATATATTCAGTTTTAAAATTCGAAGTTTTAGAAAAATCAGGAAATTCAATTTTAAAAATTGAATTTTATAAATATAAAGAAATAGAAATATTCTCAACAAGAAATTCCTGACTTCTCTTTTTCTAACACTTATAACGAATAAAATTTCGTAATCAGTAATCGGAATAGTGATATAAAAAAAAGTTAACTATTCTTATTCATGAAAGTAAATACACTACAATTTCAACAAAAAAAAATTAAGAAATATAAAAAGAATTTACTCATTCATAATAGAAAATTAGACATTTTTTATTTCACTATTCCGTTTACGAAAAAAAAAATTGTTCAGTGCCCTAAACATTTTTTTTTGTCTGCTTTTGATATAATTTCGATTATATTCTATCTTGAAAGTAGACTTTGGTAATTCTTGATAAAAGTCTAGCTCATTAAAATGTTTATAATATATATATATATATTTTTTTTTAAAATATAAACGTGATTAAACATTTGAGATACTTGACGAGATTCTGTATACATTTTGAGATGATTTTCTATATAAGAGAAAAGTATATTTTATATATCGTTCGTTCGTCAATGAATATCGTTGATAACTAGACCACTGTTCTAATATATTTTAACTTCAATTAAAACTATACACTTAATCTCTTGCGCAGTGTTCGTTATACATTTTTTTTTGTCACTATTATAAACTTATAAATTCGATAAATTCGGAAGGTAAAGCGGAACGATAACAGGTACCCAAAAATCGTTGGAAGAACACTATTGATCAACTTTCTAAAACAGTTTAGTCGATGAATATATAACTCGGAGCAGTATAACAATATTTATCGATTATCTATATATTTATATAATTAAATTTATTATAACTGCAGAAAAATAATCTGCGACTGTCAACAATTATACGACACATTATTATTACACAAATTTTTTTTTCTAATTTTCAAAATGAAGATTCAAATAATCGATAAAAAAAAGTTGTAAAATAATTATAATTACAATTTATTCGTTGTAATTTACATCTTATTAAATTCTGATTAGAAAGACAAATATTTTAAATAATTATAAGAATTTAAAAAAGTTCTGTCTGACTTTCCTGCATTTCTACTAAACAATAAAAAAATTGTATACTTATTGAATAATTATAATTATAATCGATTATTTTAGTTTGCATAAAATTTGAATAAATTAGCAAAATTAAAATTTTATGTAATAATTTAGCGTCCCATAAATTGTGTATTTCAGTCATAACAATATAAGAAAAAAAACGCTTTTCGTCTGGTTTGACAATATATTGAAAAAAGTTTCCAACATTCATATATTATTTATATGCGAGAGCTCATTTTCACTTCACAATAATAATTATTTACGACGATTAATTATAATTCTATATATGTATATATTTACAATAATCTTTTACAAATAAATATATTACTTGAGACACTATCGTACATTATGTTATGATTAACAACAATAACAGCAATAACATATAATGTATAACGCGGATTCAGCTAAATGTTACTATTCTATTTTTTTTATTATAAATCACAAGGTGCCCTTTTTGCTATTATAAGAAGAATAATTTTAATTATAAAAAAAAATAATATTCCTGATTTAATTACAATTTAGAATTTGATTTTGATTCTAGAATAAATAAGACAATTTAAAAATTATTTGACAATAGGAGGCACCTTGGATTAAAAATTTTTGGATGATGAAAATGTTTTCAATTCGATAATATTGATGAACATAATCGATGAAACATATTGCCTGAGTTATATTGCGAATTATTTTAATTGGTACAGGTGTAGTTTCTATATAACAATGTTTGTTTTTTTTAAAACTGTTTATAAGATGAACCACATTTCACCAAATTTTTATAAGAATCCTAAACTGTTATCGAATATAGCCATGAAATATTCTAATTTGATGGGTTAAGAGATGTAAATTCAAAAATCTACTTTTTTTTTCTTGGAAGAGACGACAATTTGTTATGCATCATGCTACAGGAATTGACATTGAATTTTCTAAATATTTCAGTTCTTTTCTTATTCATTTTTTTTTTGCGCATAATTTTAAACAATAAATTGTGCATTAAATTAGAAGCATCTGTTTCATTGCTAAAGCAATAATAAAATAATAATCTTTTTTTTTAAATTAATTACTAATTAATTATTAATTACCGAAAAAATGAATTTTTATGTCAAATATTCATTTAGAAGTTTCTGAATTTAAATTCACTAAAAAATTTAAATAAAATTAGATATTCAAAGTATTTGTAATAGATTTCATTTTCTAAACTTTTGAAAAAGAATGAAATTTATAATCGCATTGAGAAATGAATGCATAATGACTAAAGTAGATCAGTCAAGTGTTATACATATTTTTTTTTTTTTTTTTTTTTTTTTTATTTCCCCAGAAACACTGGTGTGTAATCGATCAACTATTTAATTTATAAAGTATTATTTTAACCCATAGAACGGCATTTATGGTGTTTCCTTAAATTTTTGACATTGGACTTACAATTATTAACAATTTTTTTTTTACCCTTTTTTATATTTATTTATTAATAAGCGGTAATGAATGCTCTCTTTTTTTCTGAAAAAGTATTCAAAAACTAAAATATTCATTTTAAAAATTTATCATGTTAGAGCATTAATTGAAAATACTCGAAAAATTTTCTATTACAACAAAACTCGGTTTAAAGGAGTTCAGAAAATTTTTTTTTCAAAAGTGCACTTTTAGACAAGTTTCAATAATAATTCAAATTATTTACGATCTTTTCTTTTAAATCAACTCGTTTCTATTCAGCGAACAAAATTGAATACATTTTTTTCTAAACTTAAAATAATAAAACTAAAGCGTTATTTTTCTTTTTAAGTTGTACACATTTTTTTTTGTACAATACAAATATGAAATATAAGTGTTTTTATTTCTAATGAAGTTTAAAAAAAAAACCCATTAACGATTCCTCGTTAATATTTCAATTAAAAGAAAGAATTCTTTTTATAATAGATTCCTTAAAACTCAATTTCTAACACGGCACGTCAATAATTGTCTTTTCCATAAATCGCAATAGGTCGATAACATTTACACTTCGCCGTTTTCAAAATTTGTAAAGACTCATAATTTAGAGTGTGTTTACCAAAAAAAACGTATCAGTTTTTTTGTTTGTTAATAAATTTGTCGATATATATTTATATTTAATATATGTATATAATTTTTTTTTACCTTTTGTATCGCGAGCCTACGATTGCTTTGAGATCAATTAATATCACAACGCGTCGTGTCTACTTTATAATCATGCTATTTATACAATTATTACATCAATCGGTGGTTGGACGAAGAAACACGATCGCGGCAGATTATACCAAGCGATCTCTAGATAAGAAATTTACAAAATATACAGACTGGCTTTTGTTTTTTTTCTTAAATAATTCAAATTTTTATTCTCTTCCTTAATTTGTTGAATTCGCATTATATCGAAAACGCTTTTAACGATATAGAATTTCTGCGATTATGATTATACATCAATCAGAAAAATCGCAGTAAATATTTTAACGAGGATTTTTCTTAAATTTTCACTTTCATTAATTATTCGATTAATTAAATTTGATCCATCAATTAACAAATTACTGGAATTTTTAATTTAATTCATTCTTTTTTTATCTTTCCAATTTATTAATTTGTACTTGATTTAAAATTTTTGCTCAATTGCTTTTATTTTATGTACGAAAAACTATAGTTTAAATTTTATTAATTTTTATTTCAAATACTTGAAAATAGTACAAATTACAAAAATAATATATTAAAAATTAAAAGAAAATCTAAAAAAATGAAAAAGAAGAATTTTAGTAACTTGTTAATGAATCAATCAAATTCTTATTAGAACGTTAATGAAAGTAAAAGAATCATTAAAATATGTTTATAATTACAACAAATAGAAATTACAAACGAATTAGCGCAGTTGTATAAGAAGTAGAATTAGATTACGCAGAATTTTATCCTAGTTTTCGTTACCATATTTCTAAGATATTCTTACAAGATTAGAAATAACAAGGAAAATGTTACCATCAAATTAACCGGGTAACACTTTTGATTGTCTTCTCAAAGAGGTCACAATTCGACAGATGGATAAATAATTGTTCGTGATTTTCAATTCGAACAATTTTCCCTTACTTCCGGTTTTTAATGCAATGCTGGAATTCATATAGTTGTCAAGCAAAATTCAAATGATATAATTTACCATCACCGGGTATTATCAATCGATTTCAATAATTATTAATAATCCTTTTAAGATCTTTCTCTTCATAGAATTTTTATTTCTTAAAATTGCATAATTACCGAATTTTTAAATGCCATTTGTAAATAAGAGATTCATTCCACAAATACTTGTAATTTCATTCGGATCTCTAAATTAAAAATCGATAGTTAATGCCTTGAATTCAAGCTTGTCCAACTTTCAATCGAAATTCTTTGCTCAAGTTTATCTGTGTGTTTGTTTTTTCTAGGCCAATGAGATTCACAGAAAAATATTTTACACTGGAGAGCGCAATGATTTTCCAACGACGAATCGATTTAAAACGCGAATATCGATCGATTAATAACGCCTTATGTATATAACAACAAGGTTAATATAGTTATGACTAAAAAAGATTACACTTATTTAGAATCACATGCCCCTCACCCCTTTTTTTAAATAAAGGACAGTCCATTCGTTTTTTTTCTCTGACTCGACAATCAGTTCGTATTTTTTCAACGATACGATACAAAATCATTTGCCTCCTTTTTTTTTGTTTTACTTCAAAAACTTCAATTTAATACTGAAGAAAATCAAATAGAATGTCCGTTCAATAAATATTTAAATTGAATTATCAAATTCGTTATTTAAAAATTAGGAATGTTGGACGGAAACGTATTTCACGTTTACCATCAAGAATATGAAAAACAAAATAAAAATTAAAAGCTTTTTTTAAAAAAAATAAAATTTAAAGAAGGCAATTTGCAATTAAACTAAAAAAAAATTGAACTTAAAAAAACTAACTTTAAATCGATTAAAATTAAAAGAGAAAAAAAGAAGAAATAATAATTCAAAGTTCTAACCAATTGATGAAATTTGAAACACGATCTGCTGACCAGCTCCGCCAAACGTGTGAATCTTCATGACGAATATCCACGGTAGGTAAATTAAATAATTATTCATTTACCCAGCAATTCAATTATATGACAACGATCACAGTTTCACTGCTTGTTGCTTTTTTTTTCTTTTGCTTCATGTTAACAACATGTTTTGTCACTATTTGGAAAATGTTATCCAGCTCTAACAATCAATTCATTTAGCGACATAGTTCAATTTCCCGCTCAATGCTTTTGAAACGCTGCTTTCACCCAATAATGATAAGAACATTTCCTCACTTTCATATTCGCTACATCGATTATTGTACTCTGCTTGTAAAGCTCCTCGCACCTATAAAATTACAGGAAAAAAAAAATTTATGAAACAATTACATAATATTATTTGTCGAAAAACAAAAATTAAGAGAAAAATAAATTAATTATAAACTAAAAAAATGTTAAACCTTAGTTTTCTCCTCCTCCAATTTCTGTCGAACCTCCTCATGTTGTCTTTCGAGATCAGATTTTTTTTTTTCATAAATTGTTGTCAGTCTTGTACATTCGTTTACACCTTTTTCCACCGTTGATTTCGCAACTTCGCGTTTCATACGGTCTAATTCGGCTTTATCCTTATGATTTTTTGCTAAATTTTTAACCTATCAAAATGAAATTCATAAATTAATAACAATAATAAATAAGTATTCGAAAAAGACGTCACAGTGACGTTAACTAACAAATTATACTAACTTCCTCGTGTCTTTTAGATTGAAGTTTCCTCATGACGTCAGCTCTTTCTCGATCCAACATATTTTTCAATGCCTTCAATTGATTGGATTGTGAAGATTTCATAACTTTTTCTAATGTTGAAAATACACTTTCGTGATATTTTTCTTGTAATTCACGCTCTTGAAGAATATGCTCTTTGCAAACAGCTAAAAGACGTTCACTTTGACTTCTTGGTAGTCCTTTTGGTAATGCTTCAACTGTGTCGCGTGAATCTTCTGAACATTCGGTAGTTTCCGTTAGAGCTGTACTACTTGAACCAACATCATTTGAGATACTGCGAAACATATAACTGAGAATAAGAAAAAACATAGCATCAAATTTAGATTCACTTGCGCACATAAAATTCTAAAACCCACTTTGGGTAAAAATAATCAAAAATAAAATCGTTACAGTCTGAAAAAAGTTTTAAAAATTCCTCTCTAATATTAAGTAGTACAAGTAAATAACTGTCAGACAGAATATTGACAAATTCTTGAAATTCGAGTTTAAGTAGTAAAATACCGTCTCAGTCAGACAAAACATTAAAAATTGTCTTTCAATTGGACTCCCTTTTCTACGTAATTTTTTCTAATTGTATAAATAATTACTATTAATAATAATAAAAAAAAAGTTACAAATAAGTTTATAAGTTAAATAAAATTACTCACATGTTGTTGCTCGACAAACGTTTAATGAACCTGCGGCTAATATAAAACTTTGTCTTGGATTTCTCTCCGTCAATCTGAGATTGTATTCTCATTTTCTCCTAAAGAGAACATCAATATTTACATTAATTCAATAATTTCGACGATAAAATAGTTTTTCTAAACTTTAATTAAAAAAGATAAAATTTTATTTTAATACCAATAAAATACCTTCTCGTGTTTCTTCTTTAAAGATTCCAATTTCTTATCAAGTTCCGTTTTCTTTTCTTGCACGAGTTTATTTTCCATTAATTTTTCAAGAGATTCTGCTGATATTTCTTCATTCACTGAAGAAGAAAAAAAGTGTTTTTTTTAAAGAAGAAAAAATGTAAAATAATTAAAGAAAAATTACGAAAAAAAAGTACTCACTGCTACTTGCATTTATTGGACTCTTACTGGCGGAAGAATCAACAACAGAAGACGTGGTTACTGAAAAAACGACACTATCGTCTACTTCTTGTGATTCAGCAGATGTTATTGCACTAATCGAAGGCCTTGCATGTGAAGTTCCTAATGCTTGTAGTAAATTTGCCGGCATTTCTCCTATAGATTGCATTCTCTTCGGTTTCACTCCATCCTCCTGAAAAAAAAAATAATTATTAAAAATTCTATGGATTTAATTTTCTCTCATCTGATATTTCAAACTTACAGCCGGTTTAGAGGAACTCGGCCCACAAGCAGATTTATCTTTTTCCTATAAAATGTTAGTAGATAAGAAAATGGGTTACTGGTTATTAAAATGATTATCATGAATTAAATTAGTTCTAATGAATTTCTCGAGAAAAAGAAAGATTTCACTAAAAGGGAAATAAAAGAAAAAATACCAACCTCCTCTTCTCCTTCGGTAGGTTCCTCCATATCGTCAGTTAAAACAGCTAATTGTTTTTCACGTTTCTCCAGTTCGCTTTGATATTTAATGGGATTTGCCAGTGCTTCGGCAAAATCACTAAGACCATCAGGTACATAATCCTTGACAATCACGTGTAAAAATAAACTCGCCAATGGAAGAGGTTGTCCACATTCGTTTCGCAGTGCCACATGACGATATCCTGGACAAAGACCAACCACAGGTAACACACGATGACCTATCATTTTTCCCGACTCCTCATAAGCAGCTATTCGAATTGATGCAAGTTCCGGTAAAACCACCTTAATGATAAATCCAAAAATTATCGAATATTAGTTTTCAAAAAATTTCTTAAAAAAAGGAAAAAAAATATATTTCTTCACCTTCTTAAAAACAAATGGTTCCTCATCGTAAATTGGATTAATTCCATTATTTTGTACGATTTTCGTTCTGAACTTTTTTCTCACTGTATCCGCTGGCAAACCATACATATCGACCTCAACATATGTTCCAACTCTTTTATCGCTCAGAAATTGCGCAGATATCACATGAATATGAACAGTTCCGGCTATAATCCCATCGACTGTTGACTCAGCAAAAGGATCCAATCGTCTATCCTTCCGTCTCATGAACTCTGGTTTCAGCAAGTAACCACAACGTTGATTGTACTCGAAAATCCCCAAATTGAGCTGCATCGCGAGGTCTAATATACACAATATACACACAAAGAAACAATTAATTATCACAAGAAAACAATAATTCACCAATTCATATATAGAATTATAATTTACCATCCAAAAAAATGCTGAAAACATGAAAATTAGAGTAGAAAAAAAATTTGTTCATTTAATAAAAAAAAAAAAATGCTAATTTGTAATCAATTTTTGCTTCATTTTATTTTCTTTATTTTAACTCACCGAGTGTTTGATAGTTGAGAGCGACCAGTTGACAGCCAGCATTCCAGAACACCTGCGGCATGAAGTTGCTGGAGTCGAATCTCGTGCCAGCCGGATAAACACGCGAGAGCTGATGTTTATTGTAGTTGACAAACTCGAGAGGCCTTTCCTTCAACAATGTCGTTGCTTGCTTCTCATCGAACGAAGACATTTCGTACATTCGATTTTTCTCTGCCAATTGAGATTGAGCAAGCCAAGTGATAACAGGGGTCAATCGACTGACGTAAATAGTAGCAAACTGTTTATACACATTGGAAATTGTTGGTTGGGGAAACAAATCATCGAACATAAAATGATCCACAAAAAAATAAATAAGAAACGAACAAGTCATTATATTTTTAAATAGATTACTCACTTTCAGCTGATTCGAAGCTATTAAAGTGCACCGGCTGGACATAATTAACGAGGGCTGAAATCTCTGCACCAGCTTCCGTCTCCTTAGCTGAGGCCACCGCTTTATCTGGCACAGCAACTTTATCACCTTCCACATTGCTCTCGTCCTCCTCTGAACTAGATTCGTCCTCGTCGTCTTTAAACATAAATTTTTTATATTACTTTTTTCTCAAAATTGAATTTCACAATTAAAATTAACTTGAAATTCTATTAAAAATTGTATTAACTTTAAATTATTATTAAAAAAAAAACAAAAATTGAATACAAACCTTCGTCCTCTTGCGTACTGTCTTTGCTGCCCTGTCTGTGTTGAAGCATCGGCGCATGTGAAATTTCTCCGTTACCTATTTGATGCTCACTATTACTACTAACGACAACGCCATCAACAACTTCATTCTGTGGAATAATATCAGGAGGTGGACCATTTTCTCCTTCCGCTCCTTGATTCACGACACCATTGTCTTCCACGTCCTGATTTCCTTCTTCAGTGCCTGGTGTTTGAATTTGCTGTTTTTTATGATGCTTCTTATGATGATGATGGTGATGGTGTTTCTTTTTATTCTTGATGATAATTTTTCTTCTAAGTAACGACGGTGGTGGAAGTTCTTGGCCCGGTATCAACTAGAGCAGAAAAAAAACCCAAATAAATCATTTTTGCAGTAGAATAAAATATTCCACTTTTTTTTATTAAAAAGAAAATTGATTAAAATAAATATTTAAAAAAAAAATGAAAAATTTAACGGAATTTTTTAATATTATTTTGATAAAGTAAATTAAAATCAATTAATTACATTGTGAGATTCAAGTGGACTATCCAACAGCATATCACCAAAATATTCCCTACAATATTGTGCAATTTTCGCTTGTTGTCTTGGATTACAGTGATTTTCAAAACTGAGAATAACTGGAAATTCTGATGTTTTAAAGGCACTGTCAGCTATTGCCTCTATTACATCACGCGCGCATATTTCAGGCACAAATGTATAACTGTAAAAAAAATTAATTTCAATTAATTTAATAGAATTCTTAATAAAAATCAAAAATACAAAATATTGTAAATATTAAAAAATTAAAAGCTAATACTAACCCGTGAACAATAACAGGTTCGTCGAACTTGCCATTCCAAAAATCGAGTTCAACACAACGACACCCAGCAAGTAAACACTGTCTATAGATTTCCACAGAGCTCTTTCCAGTAAGTTGATGACCTAAAAGAAATTAATTAATTTCGCAATTTCTTAAATTACAATTTGAGTTTTTAATATTTTTTCAAAAGGTCAATATTCTCATTTATTTTCAAATTATGTACAACAAATATTTGCAAATTTTGATGATAAAACAAATTTTTCTTCGTCCAAAAATTTAACAATCAGCAAATTCTTCAAACTATTAATTATAATTGACTTTTAATTTTTACTCAATATAAAATATAAAAATTAAAAAAAAAATTATAAAATACATACAATATTTCTTCAATTTGCAAATAATAATAATAATATCGCGTAGGTAATAAATTTAAATAAAATAGAATGATAATTACTAATAAGATAGCAGAAAAAAAAAAACAATATTTACCAGAGAGGTACGTATTGTGACTAGAATTGATAAAATAATGAGCAAGCGGTTGATCCATGTCGTCCGATAATTCAAACTTAGACACAGCAACAATGGGATTATCTTCACTCATCAAATACCTCAGGAAACCATCGCAACTCAATTGTCCCCTTGTGGCATTACATTTATTTGATTCATATTCATTAATAATATCCTTTGCTCGTGCCGCATTTGCATATGGATATAAAATTTCATTCAATCGTGGATCCCTTTGTGTTTTATTTAAAAAATCAACTAGTTGCGGTACAGACATGAGTTTACGTTTAGAATTGCCAATAATATCGTCAAAAACTTTTTCCACCTCACTGCGTTGAGTAAGAGTTTTATAGAAATTGAAGAATTCCTCAAATTCAAATTTCTGCAATGGTACACCGTCGGTCTAAAAAGGAAATTATTTTCATTAAAAAATTTCTCTTTGTTATTTTATTAATTTTTCTTTTTCTATATATTATACACTTGTATTTCATTATATTGTTCTCATTAATAAAATTGTATGAAGCCATTAAATTTCAGTGTTTAATTAAAACTTTTCAACATTTCGATGACTCATTTAATGTGAATTTTATGAAAGATATTTAATATAAACTCATTAGTGTCGAGAGACCGTTTAATTTTTATTTATTTTCAGAGACGTATATTTTCCCTAAAATTCATTTATTAAATCAAATTTTATAAAATTGAATTTTTATATAAAATATAATTAACATTGAAATGTATATAATTTTTTATATTTTTATTTAACAAATCATTTTCATTTGTAGATTTTTTTTTTTTATATGATATAAAGAAACATTTCTAAGGGATAGATATGAGATCTTCTTTTAGTACAACTTTTATCTAAGTGAAAGGCTTTCTAGACTTTATAAATTTTTCTACAAAGATTGAGTGAATTTATCGTTTCCTGCGGTATTATTGGCTCGATGCCAATGTCATGAAGTTGAAACGTACGACCACCTTTCATGAATCGTGACAAATTTATATACACAGGCAAAATTCATCATTCTGCAAACTCCTTTCGTACAATTAATGTGCAAATTGAGAACTTTAACGTTTATATTTAGTAGGAGACTTTAAATAATTGTTTTTCTTAAGGATTATCACATCACTTAAAATTATTAAGGTACTTGTTATAAAGAAATAATTTTACCTTGCCAGATGGTATCCCCGAGGAATCAAGTGCTTTCTCCACTCTTTTTTTATCGTCCTTATTTTGTGTGAACATTTTTATAATACTGCAAATAAAAAAATTAAAACACAATTTTCAAATAAAATTATTTATTTTTCAATTCGTAAATTTTTAAAATTACCATTAACCAACTTATTTACTTTGAAAATAAGAAAGAATATATTGGTCATCCGTTCTATTTATAAAAAAAGCATTTTAAAACTTGAAGAAGCTTGAAAAAATATATTTTTTATTTTCGCCAATCCTGATTGAAAACACGTATTTAATATTTTTTAAAATTAAAATAAATAAATAAACTTTTCAAAAAAAAATATATAATTTTGACAATTATTATTTTTAAATTTTCAATTGAACAATGTGAATAAAAGTCGATTTGAAAAGTTTTCAACTAAATTTTTTATTGGAATGTTTGGCAAAATGTCTAAAACTAAATTTACGAATACCAATGTGTAACTCTGAAACTTTATAAGATAGAAATTAGAGTGCTTTTAAAACTTTAAGTAATACTTAAAATTTACGGCTATTAAATTCGTGGAAACATAAAAATTTGAAATGTTAAAACTTTAGATTTAATATAGAAAAAAATTTATACTCTCTTTAATTTCAAAAAAATATATAATAAAAAAACTTGAATTTTACTAATTTAAAAAGTAAATAGTTAATCAACAATATTATGCGATAATTTATATAAAGAAAATCAATTTCATGCACAAAGATTATGAAAATCTTATTAATAAAGATTTATTGAAATTCTGAAGGTTCAAATTCATCAAATTTTTATTTGATCTACATTAAAATTCAAATTTATTCCAAAATACTATTGATTATGATATAAAAAAAAAATAATAATTTATGGAAAATATTCGTTTTAAAATGGAATAAAAAGTCTTGGATTATGTAATAATTTAGAAATACATAACATCGGAAGGTGTTTAACTCACTGACGTATCAATTTAAAGGAACAATTATATAATAATAATAATAGCTAAAAAGATTTAATTAAAATCGTTATGTATACGAATTTTGAATTAAAATAAATATTCAATTTAAAAATTTTAACTTTAAATTGTAAAAAGAAAATAAATAAAAATCAACTTACTTTTTTGAAGGTATTTTTCCAGATTTATCAGCTGTCAATGTCAGACGTATATGTGCTTTTTGCAAAAACATAATTGTACTTGTATTGAGTTGAGTAAGATTGTACGCTAATTGAAGAAGCTGATCCGTCCAATGTTGAGCAATCTCTGCTCTATTTGTACAAAAATTTATGAATGTCACATTCACAAAATCTGATCCATAGCAAATTGTTACAGTTTTTTCTTCCAATAAATCTTGTGAGCCCATTGTTACGCAAGCTTTCAATTTAGGATCCTAAGAAATTATTCAATTATTACAACATGCATAAACAAATAAACATAAATTAATTAGTTTAACACGGAATTATGTAATTTAAAAAAATCGCTTAGAAAAGTAGCAGTTTATAAACATAAAAATTTTTTTAAAAATTTTATTTTCTATTTTTTTAGAGTGTATTTTCTTAAAAGATGCTTTATTCATTAAAAAAAAAATGTTTTTCATTAAAAAAATTGATGAAAATAATGAGTACTAAAAAGAAAATTAAATTTTTTAGTGAATCTTTCGTATAATAAAAAAAACTTTTTCAATTTCAAGATATTTGTATTTAAAGAGAGGGAAAGAAAAAAGGTTCCTTTTAAATGTTAATATATATATGTAGAGCAGGTGAAATCATTTATAATGAATAACGTCTGGTTTTGAAACCTTGACACTGTGATTTATGAAAACGATGTGTACAGGTTTATAGTATTGTTAATGTATAACATAATTATTGATTATTGGAAAACCTATTGAGAAAATTTCAATCTGCAACAAACTATTGTTTTCAATACATTTGTAAACTTGGCTTCCGTTAAGGTGCAAAGTTAGGTGTGACTAAGGATAAAAATTATCTATATTTATACAGGACATTATAGGCAATGATCTATTTATAAAATTATGCCAATATACTTATTACGTTATGATACGTTGGATTTCATTATTATTTTCTACATAGTGAAATTCTATAGGAGAATCAAAAATTAATTTACAACGAGCTTAGCAGTTTTTATGGCATTTCAAAATAAAAAGAATAATTTATAAATTATTTTTCTTATTAATAAAATTTAAATTATATAGATATCAAAATCGGATATAATTAGAATATTTAAAAAAAAATTTAATTATAAAATAAAATCCAATTAAAAAAACTTTATCTTTTATATTAACTTTAGATTCTATGGAATTTATTAAAATAAAGTTTTGTTTCAAACTATAAAATTATAAGTTTTATTTTCTAATTTATGGCAGCAAATACAACTTTTTTTTTTCTAATTTCTCTAAACGTCACCTGAAAGGGGGAGGCAAAAAAAGGTGGATGAACAGATAAAGGATGACATAAAAAAAGAAAAGATGAAAAGAAAGATGAAGCTGTATATATATCGCTATATGCCATCCCTCGAGCGTATTGTAAATGCAAATTTTAACAAAACGACACTTGTCCTAGTTTGTCCCGAAAGGTTTAATACTTAAATACAGCTTTCTAAGAAAGTGAAAATGTCTTTAGTCTTAAAGAATTTTTAATTTTTTTCTACTGCTACACTCGTTTGTAAAAACCAATTTTTTTCTTCAATGCAAAATAACAAATTAATTTCATTCAAAAAAAAATTATAAATATTATTAATTAGTATATTAGATTTTGTTAAAATCAGATTCGAGAATTTCGTTTTTTGTGTTATAAATGAAATTTAGAAAAGAAAATTAGAGCTTTACAATTCATGCAGTGCTCTAAAAATCACCTTTGGTACTTTTGCATATTTTCCAGTTCGTGTGTCTCTTATGTTGGCTATATCGAGCACTTCCATTTCGTTGTGCTGGTCTACCCAATGCAAGTAAAAGCCGAATTTGTCGACCCTTAAAGTGACTGGGGTTGCTACTCCTGAATCCTATATTCAACAGGGAAATTTGACAGATACTAAATCAAGACAACTGTCAAATATTGTGTGGTTTATATTATATCTAGCATTATTTAATTAAAATAATTACACCCAGAAAAAAGTTATCTCATATAAATTATTGAAAATAAAATTCCTCTTAAATCCTTTTATATATAATATTAATATATAGATGAAGTTTACTGTGGCATAGAACTTTTTGTTGCTACAGAAAACTTTGCTCATTAAAATAGAGACAGATAATAAGTTCGTAGGCAAAAAGTTCGCTCCAACAACAAACTTGCTAGTTGTCCTGGCAAATAGTTGCTGCAGCAAATGACTGCAAAAATCAGTTAATTTATTTCTTTTCATCTATGTCTCAAAAAATATTTGTATTTTTAAATTGTATATTTTAAAAGCTTTTTTCAATTGTAAATTTAAATAATTATATAATTTTTACCTGATAAAATCACAATTTATCAAAATAGAATTTCAATTTTTAAGAAATGAAAGTTTTCATTTTTTTTAAGTAAATTTTTTAAAGTCTCTATACGCTAAAAATGAGAGAAAACATAGAATACTTTTTTCTGAGTGTACAATCTTAATTTATACAATGATAAAAAAAAAATAAAACAGTGCAGGTATATCAATACAAGGTACAAGCTTGGATAAAATTTCAAGTCTAAATCATGCATACATTATTTTTATATATATACACAAATGTATTGTCTTAAAGAAAAAGAAAAATTTCATAAATAATTTTATTTAATTAATTTCCATTAATATTAAATTTAGTTTTTACATAAAAATATTTAAACAAAAAAAAAAGCTTTTTGGAAAAGCAAATGGAAATTAATTTATTATTATATGAAATCACATATTATATTTTATGTACATTGAATATAATACATCATTATTTTAATAGATGATTGCGTATATAAACGCACTTATAATAATTATTCACGAGGGGTATTTTTATTACCAATATGTACTTAGCCTCAATTTTTGAAGTATTTTAATCTGATATCAAACGGTAGATACACAATGTAAATTTTGATAAAATATATAAATGTACAATTCAAAATATCATTGGGAAAAATAAAAAATAATCTATAATTTCAACACAGTAACTATACAAAATATAATTCTCCCCTATCTTCATTATTCCCACATAAAACGTAACAAATTAGACAAAAATTAATTTAAAAAAAAAACATTTAAGATACGATAAATAAAAAAAAAATTTATTTAATTGTTATGTGGGCGATTCTCAAATAGATTTAACTTTCACGTCCTTGAAAGTTTAATCAGTGTTTCTAGACCTATTTTAACTTTTCAAAAGACCTCTACTATATTATGATCTAATTTTTATTTTCTATTTCCCCGTAAATTAAAATTTAAGAAATAACCATTTTCTTCGATACCATCGATAATAATATTTCTAAAAAAGTTATTATACTTTGAGATAAAAGTATCTTTTATCTTCAGAAACAATGTTTTGTTGAATTTCTAGTTTCTGTATAGAAAATCTCCATTTTAAGTCCTTCACTTTTGACACTATAACTTGAGAGTTTCATTTATAAATTATAAAGAATTTATAATAAATTAAAAGAAATAATATTACAAAAATTATTTTTAAATTATATTTCATCTCCTTAATAATTTACATAAAAGAATTTATTTATAAAATATTTTCCTTTATTTGGAGAAAAATAAAATGAAAGATAAAAAAGAAATTTGGATATAATAATAATTAATAAATATAAAATTCTTGTTTAGATTATATAAATATGCAAATCCTGAACTCAAAGTCCCTCTAACTCTCTCAAACCTAACGCATAATTATTACATTAAACATTAGCAGTTTATGTCAAACAGCTTCCGCACTTCACCAAATGTATATATATATATCTACAGTACGGTACATCAAATAGATAGAATATATAGATAATTCACAAACATATCTATTAAAACTGATAAGTATTATTCCATTATATAACTAATATTTGCTCCAGTTTCCAAATATTACATTTATTTCAAAAAATTTACCATGTACTTTTTCAAATTGCTCTCTCAGTGAGATAAAATTGTGTGCATAAAATCTTCATCAGAAATACTGTAATTTCATCCCCTTGACATGATTATATTCTTGCAGATATCGACTAAATATAAGAGATAAGAGTTTAATGATTAACTTAATGAAAAACTTGACGCCAGGAAGTATATATATATATATATATATAGTATTCCTTCAAATGCTTGCATTGGGCGAGCAAATGGCGGACATTCGTGCGTCATTTATGCTCTCAAATTATTTTTGCAAATATTTAGTGCACGCATTTTTATCTCAATCAAAGAATATTTTAAGGGATTAAATTTCACAGTTTTAAATATTATTTATATCTTTTCTATATGGAAAAAGTCTATAGTAAAATTCATTGATTATTTTTATACTGTTTGTACAATTTATTATTTGTCCATTTCGAGTTAATCCTATTCGGAATCCCTTTCTACGCAAACAGAATTAATTCGTTTTGGATTGACTCGAAATGAAGGCACAGTGACGAGAGGATCAAATGAAGCTTCAGTGTGGTCCAAATTTGATATATATATATATAGATAACACCTAAAATTACATCAATGATTGTCATTATTTCTACAATTATTATACAGAAAATTGTAATATTACTAATATCCAATTCAGGTATCTCAATTTATAAAGATATAAAAAAAAATAAATTTTGCAGCTTCATATATTTATTTGCAAATGGTATATATTAAAGGGTTAAGAAAGAAGATTGTATTTATCTTCTGATAAATATGAATTATATTTATTTTTCCACTATAGTATATCCAGTATAATCTAATTAAAATTCCTTACAAAATATATATAAACAAGTACAAAAGTAATTACTAACATCAAAAATAATACACCAATAAACTCCTAAACTTAAATCAGTAAAAAAAAAATTCACTAAAATCTGAAGATTATGAATTTATAATCTCACTGTTTGAAATTGTAAAAACATATGTCAGTAAATTTTCCACTTCGCCCAGAAAAATAGTTGAATGAATAAAACATTTTGTTTGTTATACAATCTTAAAGTAAGATTGAAAATTTATTTGATTTCACCTTATTTCAGAATTGAATTAAGGTTTAATGAAGCTTTTATTTAACTTCCTTTTATATATATAAAAGAATCAAATATTAGGGTGACTTCAATCAAACTATTTTCTGGGTGTGATTCATATTTAGAGAAGCTAGCTCTTTTCATACACACAAAAAAAATCATGTACCTGAAACATTTGTATATTTAAAAAAAGAACATTAATTAATCCAAAATTAATGAAATTCATACCTCGTCCCATTTGACGAACTTTTCGCCATCCTGGAGTTCCTGAGAAATCTCAACAGGCTTCGTTTGCACTGCATTTCCCACCTTGGTACCTGCCATGTCTCAAGTTTTTTTATTTTTTCGCCAGAAGAAAAAAGAATATTTAAATCAAATATACACAGAATATAAAAAGTTATTTTCCTGTTAGGCAGGATATACTCCGAATAACCTCAAATTCATGTCCATTGAATTTGTTCAAAAACAAAAAAAATAACACTTGACTTAAACGTGTGTGTGAATAAATTACTCCGTTTTTCGCGTCGACTAGAGTTTTCCAATTCGTTGCTTTGTCGACAATATTGATGATGATGACGATGGAAAATTGTAATTTCGGTGAACATTGACAAATATACACTGATTTTGACCCTACTTCGTAAGGGTATTATCGCGAGGCTATATAGAATTTATTTTGTCAAATTCACATATATATAGCACGGGCGATGTGCAAGTCAAACATAATATAAATATTAAGTCTCGTTTTAAATTCTCATATTTTTTTTGTTCCGAAGTCCAATAGGAAGACTACGCACTAGCATTGACTCAAAGAAAATAACGATTGTGACACACACACTTGTTCAGGACGAACATTCTGATCACCTAAATTGTGATCAATCCTAGCTGACTGGTCCTGACTATTTTCTTTTTTTTTTCTTATGTCAAAATAGGACGGACCCACACTACACTCTGCGGTGGCCTATCGCTTTACTCTGGCTCGTACCTTTCGCCCGAACACCAGGAGGCGCTGTTCCTAGAATTTACGCAAGCGTGCATCATCTTCAAATTGATTTTAGGAACCGCGCAGTTTAAAAGAAGCTAATAAACAAATTTTCAAAATAAATTGATAAAAGAGACAATAGATTATAAATCAAAAGAAAAATTGTTTATTTGAAAAAAAAGTTGATCTTCACTATAAGAAGTTGAAGAAATCTATTTCAAATAAGAATATTGACTGTAAATTTTGTAAAAAAAAAAAAAAAAAGTTAATTAAATGAACTAATAATTATACTCATAAATTGTATCTAGACCTTTTTTTTTTAATGTAATTATCTAATTTCTTTCTTTTCTCAAAAAAGCGAAACTTTTATTAAAAAGCAAACATAAAATCCATTACGAAATGAAATAAATCCGTTTATTGATTTTAGCTTATCATTATTTTCATTTTTAGTATATACTTCAGTCCTGATGACGTAAGCCAATTTTCGTGCGTGATATTATCCTTTGTAACAAATAATGAATTTATAGATATTTTATTTTTTTTTTGTAAATAACTTTTATCTAAATAATAGACTTGCATAAATATCGTATAACTAATTCTTAAGCTTAATATAACTTATCATTATCAGAGACTATTTCAATTTTTTATTTTAATTTAAAACAAAGTTTTATTAACATTCTTTTGTTATTTCACAGAGAATGAGATTATTTTCTTATTTTTGATAAGAAGACTATACAATAATATATTTAAATTGAAAAATTTTTCACGCGTCATAAAATTATCTATATATATATTTTTAGTATTTAAAAAAAATGTCTTTGTATTTAAAAATCTTCATTACTGAATGTATTAAGAACTCAAGAATTGTTCGGAAAATTAAACTTCAAAATACACCGCATTCAGAAATATTTCATAGAAAAATAATAGAATTTAGAAGAATTGAAGATAAGTTAGAAATCTTCAGAAATTCTCAATAATTGAAAGAAGCTAAAAGCGAAAATCAACAGAGGTCGGGACTATAACGATAAATGTGACTTGTTCAAACATGAACGAAACAAGTACTGAAAATGAAAAATGGATAAAATAATTATTATCAGATAATAATTTTATTTTCTCGATATAACAATTTTTTTGTTTTATTTTTCAGCTGAAATAAAATGTTTGACACCCTCTATATAGTGGCTTTATAATTTAAAAAATTCTTCAAAAAAAAATGTTTAAGATTCTTTTTTTTTTGTCGCTTCTTATTAATTTCGACTTGTTGTCGATGACAATTTGGCATCAGGATCACATCTACAAACACAACAGCTTGGATAAAGAAACCAATCCATAAATATTCCTTTACAATCATTATCAGGATCATAGGCCAATAATCTGTGCCATTTGTATTTTTGTTCGCATCCACAATCACCTGTGCATCTTCCTGTTTGAGATTTTCTGCAATTTTATATATATTTATTATTTAATTTAAAATTTTTTTTTTATTTAAAATTAAATTATAGATACTAACGAGCACACTTCCTGATGAATAGCTTGCTCGAAATGTTGTGTGTTTACAATTGCACGAACTTTTCCTGCACTATTTGTCGACCAATAGGGAGTGACAATCTCGACTCTTGACTCACACGCATCAACTCTTTTAGAAATAAAAAAAAAAAAAAACAGACGTATTAAATGTAAAAATGATTTTTTTATACTTAAATATTTATAATATACCGTCCACTTTCGTTGACTGCATGAGTCTTTCCAAAAGATTGTCTGGGACTTCTAATTTTACTAAAATATGAATCTCCCGATCCAGAATGAGGATTTGATTTATCATCTCGTGGACCACCATCAGGAATATCATGATTCAATGAACTTCTTTTTCTTCGACTCTTCGGATCTTTTTTTGGTGGTGAAAATTCGTTCATCTCAAAATCACCATACATTCTTTTCATTAGAGCTTTATTTTCATCTATAAATTGTTCTATTCTCTCTCTGAAATGAATTTGATATAAATATAAAAAATAAATTTTTATATATATTAATAATAATAATAATAAATTTACATATAAATAATTTTATATAATATAAGAAAGCGTGAAATATTAACTTACATGGGATAAGTATTTCCGGCAGTGGGACAAAAAAGTTGATGATTTTTTTTAATACACGGTGCGCCTTTTATCAAATCACCTCGAAGTTCCACGCCCAATGCTACCGAAAGTGCTGTCCACAGTATCTGTGAAATTGAAATATACCTGGAATTAATTATAGATTAAAGTATAAGACCAAATAAAAAATAAATAAAAAAAAAAAAAAATTTAAACGAATTTCCTTATTTGTATATTGGATTCATATATATATTTCAACCTATCGATCAAAGTCAAAAGATATTTTCTTTTATATTTATAAAATGAAATCCTATTTTGCGTAGGACTCGAGAAAAGTTTTCTAAAATAATATTTAAAGTAGATTGAGTAATACATATATAGTTATATATAATGTGTACGTATATAAAAGAAAATGATAAAAACTAAAAATACACATGTTGAGAACGTGAAGAAAATTTTAAATGTCCTTTTTTTATTTATGTTTTATTCCTAAGTTTATTGATGTAAAATTTGTTTAATATAATATTTTCTTGAAGACACGATATGTTATATATTACCTATTTTGTTACCAAATAAATTGTGTAATCGCGCACATAGAAATATAATTTATTTCAAAAATTGGAAAACATAAAGTTTTTTAAAAAAAATTTATTTCACGCAATAATAAGCGTCTAGTATATATGACTCATAAAATCCGAATATCAAATCACTTCAATAAATCGAAGATTCTTAATGAATCTTAAAATCAGGTTCAATATGTATATCCGTAAATAATAATAATTTATTTTCAAAACTTAAAATATAAATAATTTATTTATTTTACAAAAAAAAAATGTAATATAATTTAATATAAAATAATATAACAAAAATTATTATTGAAATTGTGACTTTAAAATTATATTAATAATATAATCAATCTCTTTCAAAAATGCAATATTTAAATTCGATAATCGTTTCATATATTTTCATCGAATGGATTACGCGTGGGCATTATTCAAAACTTAAAAATAATTTTCGGAAGCAAGTCTTTTAAATCGATTTATCTCAGAATAATTAGAATTTCTAAAGCAATTCTTTAAAAAATACAAATTTATTAATTATTATTTTATTATTATTATTATAGTTTAATTTTTGTTCCAAATTTTTATTTACATATGAATGAGATGAACGTCATTCAATTATTCTTTCTATACAATATCAATCTCTAGGACAAATTCATAAAAAAAAAATAAATTATTACCTAACATTTGTCGTCGCAGTTAATTTTCCATTTCTTAAAATAATTCTATTTATAATTTTCTTCAATGCACATTATTTTTTTTCTTTATGGCATTTCGATTCTTTTTTAAAAATTCATTTTGAAAAAAAATATCTATACCCCGCGAGTGTAAATTAGCTAATTGTGTAATAATAGTAATAATAAAAAAAAATCAATATCTCGTTTGGCTGTTATTACTATCATCTTCTGATTTTATTACCCTTCTCTTCATAAAGGCGCAGATATTGTGCAAATATATACTTGTAACGCACATATTGAATATCCTTTCCACTTCAGAGGCAATATAAATACTTTTTACTCCTCAGTAATTTTATATCATTATCATCTGATTATCTACTTTCTTGAAAAATTTTTGTTACCCACAATTTCTCATGGCAATGCTTTGTTTATTTATGTATAATAAAAACAAAAAATTTATATATATAAATATAAAAACAAGGGATTAATTGATCATAAACGCCTGGGCTGTGATTTAATGGCCCATTTCGTGCAATTTAAACAGGTGCAAAAAAAATTAAAGTTTGTTAACTTGATTTAAAAGTATTAAAAAAAAAGTCTTGTCGAATTTATAACCAGGAAACAAGGTAAACATACATATAATTGTGATTTAAGATTCTTTTAATTTTTTTAACTTTTATTATACATACTATTCTTTGGGGAAAATTTTATTCTTATGAAACATAACGTGTACCATAAAATTGTATATATATTTGAAATAAAAATAAAAAAAAAAAAAAAACGTAAATGGAAGATTTTTCACTATTTTTTAATTATTTTTGATATATAATATCAAAAAGAAATTGTAACGAGATTTTTTTCAGTCATCAATGAAATGCGACGAAATTGTATATATATTTTATTTTTTAGATTATCACACATATACAACCAGTTCAATGTCAATTTATATGACGAATCCTTTCACTACAATTCTGTAATGCTCATTTTCTAAGTTAAAATGTTCCATTGACACTTAATTGCCAAGCAGAATTACAAAGAATATAATATTGTGAAATGTTAAACGACCATATTAAGTTCGATTTTAAAATTCTTTGCGTAAATAAAAATATTATTTTAATGTCTTTTACATATGTATCATTATTTTTTTTTCCACACTTCATTGGATGGAAAAAATATAATATAATAAAGGGATAAATTTTTATTACACTAATTTGCATTCTATGAAAAAATAATGTAAAATAATTTTTTTTGTGAAGAAATAAAAAGTTGTTTTTTTTTGTAAAAGTAATAATTAAAGAAACATAACTAAAAATATTTGAATTTGGTGCTTGGGACAAATGTGTCTTAATTTCTTATCCCATGCAATGCATTTGTTTTTAATCTAAATTCTGATCTATTTAAGTGTTCAATGATCAAACATTCTCTTGAGGTGGGGGCAACAAGGACATAACACTAAAGTGAAATTTACAGTTCAAGAGGTTACTATCTCAATGCCATTATGCGAATAACCATTGTATTATGAAAGTCACAAATAATTATGAAAGAAAATCGTTTCAAAAAATAGAAATAATTGACAAAAAAAAATTGCCAATATAAAAAAAAAATGGTAAAAACAAATTTTTTTTCTATTTATAATTTAAAAAAAGAGATTTTTTCAATTTAGTAGAATTTTTGTAATACAAAACGAAATCACGTAATATTTTTTATATTTTATTTTCGAAAAAGAAAATTTTTTTTTAAATATTTAAATATAAGAATCGAGAGCAAAAGTAGGCACTTTCTCCTCTTAAAATATTTTTACATCGTTTTAAAATACGGTTTTGACATAAACGTTTGAAATTTTTGTATTTAAAAATTGTATTTGTAAAAATAATAATTAAATTACTTACTGGTATTTGTACTAAAGTTCCATTATTTAATTGTGGATAAGAATAAAGTGGAACGACGGGTACCGATCCATTTTTCAAAAAAATTGGTCCCTGAATTGGCGTCACGTGTGCGTCACTTGGAATTTCTGGATTTTCATCGTCATAATAATCAAAATCATCATCATCATCATCGTCGTAATCAAGAACTGCATGAACTGTCGTTTTTGCACCTGAACCCGTAAAAGATCCACTATTCACTCTAGTGTACCTAAAAATTTTTATTTATTTATCAAAAATATTATTAATAATTGAATAAATCTAGAAAATGATAAAATAAATTTTTAAAAAATTATTACTTAAAAGAATTTTTAATTTTATTTTTTTAATTATAAAATTATAAATTGTTAATAATTTATAATAGTATTTATGATAATGTGAACATTATATAGTATATAATTTAACAGGCAATTTATCCTTTTTCAACAAAATTTGAATTGAATTAATAAATTCTTTTCGACGTTCTGACCATGACTTCGAGGCGCCAGATAAAATATTATGCCAAGATCAGAAATGAAAAAAAGTGAATTTTTTATTTTTGCGATAAATTCTTTAATAGAAATTGTTATTGCACTTCTTTAAATAAAAATATTCTTTTAAGAAACCTTTTTTTGTGTGAATTAAAAAAAATACGATTTTAGTAATTAAATACAACTTAATTAAAATCGTTATAGGGTAGAGCGTATAAAAAAATTTGAAAACATTTTTTTTTTTTGTTCTGTTTGTGAGATTAAATTTTTTTTTTAAAAATAATTTCGGGATTCTATTCCTACGTGATTATTTAACTTCTCCGTTCTATACAGAAAAAAAGGACAATTTCAGCGCGCGGTAAACGACAAACGAGATGATAAAAAAAAATGTAATCTTGTAAAAAAAAATTCGTTGACCTTGCATTCTTTATGATTCAATATTAAATTCACATTTCTTATATTCATTGGCGAAATTTTCTTTCATCTAAAAATAGAAGTTGAAACAATTTTTGAATAATATTTTTGCTAACTCAGATTATTGATATTGAATAACAGAAAAAATTATCAGAATTAAATTATATTGCTACCTAGGAATATAATTAAAATTAAATAATTATTTAATTTTATGATTAGAATTATTTTTTTTTATTCGAAATTTTGAACTAAAATAAAAAAAAAAATTAAGTATTGTCGAAATATGTATAGGTCTTTTTATAATGCTGTACAGGTGTTGAAAATATAAATAAAAAAAGGAGTGGTTATGTGTCGTTGAGGTCACCCAGAGAAGCTACCTGTTGCCGCATCATCAAGGTCTTAAATGAGTCTCAACATTTACATTATCCACCATTTCATCATTGGGTCAATGTTCTGCGCGAGTGCAATTGAAAATCTTCCTGATTTTTTTATTTTTTAATTTCAAAATGAAAAATAAAATTATAATAAAATCGTAATGACAATGTTTCTAAAAATTCTAACGCTTCTAATATTATATAATTTTTTCATACTTTTCTAAAAAAAAAAAAATTTTGGTAATATTAATATTATAAAATAATAAACTCACCCATTTGGTCTTTCAGGATAATTATCCTGCGACGTATCACTGGAATTTGTCACTTGATCCTTTTCAGATTGAAAAGAAATTCGTTGTTGAAGATTAATTTGCTGCCTTTCATGATGATGTAAATCCTGCTGTTGTTGATTATTTTGTTGATTATTTTGTTGATGATTTTGTTGTTGACTTTGTTGCTGATAAATTTGTTGATGCTGTTGATATTGACGATTTTGTTGATCCTTCTGCTGTAATGGCTGATAATGATGTTGAAAACTCGCTTGTTGATGTGTCCTTCGTTGATCCTGTTGTAATTGTGATTTTTTAAAATTCTCATCATACTCTGAATATCTTGTATTTTGAGGTAAATAAGATCTTGACGAAGTGCCTGTAAAAATTTCTTGTCCACGTGATTGTGAATGATAGCGAAATGGTTGTTGCTGTTGTTGCTGGTATCGATTGTAAGGATCATTGCGATATTGTTTGACATTGTCTATAGGAGCCGTTTGGGGTGGCAATGCAGCATTTAGTCGTATATTATTTATAACCGATTGTCCCTCATTACTACCTGAATATAAGAATGGAGTTGGCGTTGCATAAGGTAATGAGAAATTGGCCAGTGCCATTTTCTTCCAAATAGAAATTCTTGATATTTCAAATGGCAAGGTGGTTATATTCATAACACATTCTTATAAGGTATTTGAATTATTGACTATAATATACTTTCCTCAGTCATAAATTCAGACTGAATCACCCTTTTTGGTAAATTTTTTTTTTTTTTTTTTCTAATTTTTCCAAAAGTGTCCCGACGTTTAGATAATTATTTCCTGTCTGTCCATCTTGTGGGAATTTCCCATATTGAAAAAACAATAAAAAGAATTTACAATTCCCCTTTAATGAATTTCAATTATATATATATTATATATTATAAATAATTACAATTAGGCAATGTTATTTCCTTTTCGATTTGAGTATCTGCAAAAAATAAACACTTTTTTTATTTATAAACTATTAAGATTAAAATTTTGTAAAATATTTTTGAGATTTTATAAATCTAATATAGAAAATAATTTTTGGTTTATTTAAGTTCATTTTTTAAAATATATAATAAAATAAAAATGTAAAATAAAATCGAAAATAAGGATAAATTAAACTAATTTTTAAGAGCTGAGGAGTTTAAAAACTTTTTTTTTTTCATGTACCGCATCATTAAGAAGTTTATACTTTCTTCCTTTCTCGCGTTCGATCAGATCTGCTTAAGATTTCTGATGTTATTTCGAAGCCAATCATAATACTAATGAAAGGCATACAAAGACTCTGTCTGTCAATACGTGAGAATTTTTTTTTCTTTTTTTTTACAAGAACTACCTATCAACGAATGAATTTTAAATTTATAAGTCAAAATACTCAAAATTCTCGTGATTATCGTAAATAATTTTTTTTTTCATTGAAAATAAATTTGTTCAAAAATAATCTATTTTAGATTGTAATTTACAGTGTAAATTGCACAACGTGCATATCAATATTCAAAAATTACAAAACAACAAATTCAATTTGAATAGAAATATTTTTACAGCTTTTGAGTTTTTTTATATATTTTTTTTTGCAATTAAATTAATATTAAGAAATAATAATTAAATATAAATTTATCAATTTAGAAAAAAAGAATTTTTTTCCTGCGGAAATAATTTATTATATAGTCAAGAATGGAATAACCTTGGAATCGATATATTTACAGTTTATTCGCAGGTTTATGAAGTGATAAGTGATTTTAATTTCTTGGTCAAAATTGTATTTGCAACGTATGTATAAATCTTCTAAAGGGGAAATTCGATAATGTTAAAAAGCAGTGCAGCCGGGGAACTTTCACTGAAAAAAGAAGGCCTTTTTTCATTAATGAGGCCGCATAACTTGTCACGTAAGGCAGATCGATCGGAAAAAAAAAATTTTTTAAGTCCAATTTTTTTTCACTTTTTCTATATATATTGACAATAAATCTAAGAAACTTTATAGAGTATATAAAATACAAAATGAAGATAAAAATTATTTGTTCTGTAATCCTAATTTTTATAAATTTTTATTTATATATTTTAATTTCGTGTATCAATTTTTCATGTTATTTCAAATCGTTATATTTACATTAATTTTTCAGACACGTTTCTTTTTTCTTGGTAAATTAACTTAATATCGACAATTAGGTTTTCATTGAACGTTCGGTTTAGTGTGAACGGAATAAAAATGGATATTATCTCTTTTAATGAACATGTCAGAAAATGTTGTGTCAATGAGGTCGCAACTCAATCACGTGCACGTTTCTCACAAAGTAGATATTATGTGCACGACATTATTGGTTTAAAAAATTACCAATTTTGACGACTTTACTATAAAAAAAAAAAATTAATTTTTTACGATTCTCTTTTTTTTAGCAGCAATTATATTATTTATAGTTTTTTGTAATTGTAAAATTTAATTGTTTTTTTAAACTATTTAGATTGTTAAATTAATAAAATAAAAAAATGAAATAAATTTGACAGAATAAGAAAAATTTCTTTAAAATCATTTCAATTAAAAATGAAGAATAATATGCAAATACCATTAAGTAAAAAAAAAAGTTTATCTGATAATTCGTTAATTACAGATCGCGCAACCTTTTGTGACTGTTAAAAAAAAAAAAATTTTAATAATATTTAATTATAGCGCGTGAAACTAACGTGCAATTATCAATTTTTTTATATTTGAATATTAAAACATCGAGTAAATGCAAATATATCTGTCACTGAATCAGTAAAATGAGATTAAAAATCTAAATATGTAATTTATTTATCAATTCTGTTAAATAATTTAACGATTTAACTGCGTATAAAATTTTCCGAAAATAAAAATTTACTAAAATCACTAAATTTGAAAGATAACAAATTGCGTGCAATATTGACTATAATTGTTACACATTAATAATGCCACAAGAAAAGTAATTCACATTCAAAATTTTATATACGATTTCCATAATAGACCAAAAAAAAAAAAGTCAAAGTAATTTTTTCTTCGAAATTACCTTCAAGTCCTCAACGAAAAAAAAATCGTTCTTCAAAATTTAACTAAGACCAAAAAAAAAAAATTATAGTTGTCTTCAAAACATCAGAAGAATCGTTGCGACAAATCTACGTTAAAAAAAAAAATAAACTTTCACTTTTCGCCACGAACTACTATTTTCGGAACCGGCGAAACATTTAAAAGATTCACGCGGGCTTTTGATGATTTTTTTTTTTCAAATTGACGTGAGCGTGATAAATTAATTTTATCTTATAAAAAATGATTTTTTAAAAAGACAAAGGAAGAAGAAGAAAAAAACTGTTTGAAATCTTTTTGCGATTGTCACCTCGTGAAGAATAATAGTGACCGCATGAGATTCAAAAATTAATAATTTAAGTATCATGAACGCAACGTGTAACGCTTCGTTGGCGAACGTCAACTGAAGGAAGCTGTGGCTATATTGAAAAGGGGATAAAGAAGAAGAAGAGGTGTCCAAGTCGATTGTAGAGAGTGAATGTTCTCTCCTTATTATACACACATATGGATATTTTTTTTTCTTTATTCATTTTTTCTCCTACTCTTTTACGATGACTTGTTATCGTTTGTCTTTTATATTGCTTTTACATGTATAATAGTCAATGTCTCTTTTCTTCCACCTTTTGACAATTACTCCCACCTTTTTTTTTACCACCTTCGCATTGATTCTACCTTATACTTGTTGCATGCAATAAGTGATTTCGGATTAAATCCAGACACGGAAGTTATATTAATTTAAATAGATTTGAAAAAAAAAACTCAAAATTTCTATCGCTGTAAGAAATAAATGTTTATAATTATTTCAACGTAAAAATTAAATTGTTGGCCCTGAAAAGGGCCGATTGTTTTCAAAAAATATTAATATGAAAGAACCAAAAATAATTTCCAAACGTTATGAAAGAATTGTTGGCCCTGAAAAGGGCCGATTAAATAAAATTTCCTTATTTTCTAAAGAATCTCAATTTATTTATCGAAATAATATAATCCTTGACGGTGAATTTTGTCACCATACTTATTTCTCCGCTAAGTATATCGACGGGTATCCTTACAATTTCCATTGCCGTGACTGTTTTCTCACCAGAATGACTAGATTCGAAGGACCATTTATTTAAATCCTTCCCTTTGAATACCAATTTTTGTTCCATACAAAACCATGGTATTGTTTTAAATGAGGAAAATTTAATTTCCCTAATAATTCCACCGCACGTCACAGGAATTTCGACACGTTGTTCAATTTCGGAAAATGTCATGTCTTCTTGACTCTCCCAAAGTATTTCTTGTGTTTCAACGTCACGAATTCGCATCCACAACACTTGAAAATGTAATGATTCTTGAAGACATTGTGAGTACATTTTGACAGGTATAGGAAATTTTTGAAACACGTCTTGTTAAAGCAAGTCTTAAACTAAAACTAAAACTAAAACTAAAGGGTTGCTTTGAACCACTCCGAAAAGTGTCAAACTCATTAGGGTTTTGCTGGTCACTGCAGGTATAGACCAATGGGCTTAAAGGGAGGAGTAAATTTTGGAAAATTAGCCAAATATGAAGATGATTTTGGGAAAAAGGATCACACCCCCTTTAAGGCTATTGGTCCACTTCAACTACCTGCAAACATAATGGGTCTCCATTAGCTAATCCTTTAGTTTAGCGGTACTTTAGTTTTCATTTTCCTTTTTTTGAGACCTTTAACAAGACCTGTTTCAACAAAACTTTTCCTTTTTGACAAAATGTACTTACAATGTCTTCAAAAATCATTACATTTTCGTGGATTTGGGAAAGTCAAGAAGACATATATGACATTTCCGGATTTTCATTACGTTTGGAAAATTATTTTTTGAAAACAAAACCAATCGGCCCTTTTCAGGGCCAACAAATTTTATTTGCATTGCGGAGCAATTCATTTGGTTTTATAAACATTTTTAATTTTATTTTTAACTAATTTTTTTGTAATTAAATTTTTCCAATTGTCTTATCCTTTTTATTGTTTAAATATTGTATTTTTAAATTCTAAATTCTACACATTCTTTACCAAGATCAGCGATATGTTTCACTAAAACAGCGAAAGTTTTCCCTATTCTGGAGAAATGCAATCGCTATTCCAGGTGCACAGAAAATTATAATTAAAATAAGCTGCAACTATTATTTTAATTCAATTTTGCTTATTTTAATACCAAAATGGATTAAAATAAGCAAAATTGGATTAAAATAATAGTTGCAGCTTATTTTAATACCTTTTAATTTTCTGTGTGAAGATTTTTTTTTGCATGTAATTTGTAATATATTCTAATCCCAATTTTTAAAACTGAAATTATTATAAACAATATCTATATGACTCATGTTTGAGTGACTCTCAAAAATGAACGAATCTTCTCCCTAAAATCCATTTTCTCTGATTTATTGTCAAAATGTTAGTTTAGTAATAAACAATTTTTAAAATTTGAGACATATCTTGTCTGAATATATAAAGTAAAACCCAATGTAGAGACAGGAAACTTGTAAGGCAGCATGATGTTTCCGGTTTAGTGGATGGTACAATTTAAAAATTTTATTGTCTTCAAAAAGGAAAGTGAAATTATTTTCAAAACATTGTTGTGGAAAATTTATTATATTTCTTTTATGTCTGTATATCGTCCACTGGCCCTACCTGCACTATGTCGACTGTCGGCATAATGAGTTAATCTGCTAAGGGATTATCTCAATAGTTATTTACTTACCCCCCGCAGTTAGTTTTGAAAATCAATGTATTCACTTTTTCTTACAATGTATATATATCTCAATAAGGAAATTAATTCCATTAAAACCATACCATTGGGTATTTCATACTTTTAAAAAATATTTAATTTTTTCGATACAAAAAAATTCAAAAATTGTTTTTGGAATTTTTATTTTATGGTTGAATTTTCATTAGGTCCAATATAGGAATTTTGCCTTAACACGTTTTTTTTTATTCATGTACTTTTATAGTTTATCTTCCAAGAACGATCATAGTTTTTCTAAAGCATTGCCAAGTAGTGAATCATGAAAATGCAAAATATCTAGGCCTACCTAACGTGTTCTTGAATTTAAATCCGGCTACGTTTATATGTATTATATACTAAGGTGGGTACCTATGACAAGAAATTGATAACAATATATTTCATTTCAAATTATATTTATCAATAATTTTCATTTTTATATATTAGAAATATAAAATTAGTTTTTAAAAATATAAACGCTTTTTTAATTATGTAAAATGAAATATATGACCTTGAGAATTATACGTTCACCCACGATATACAGGAATTTCCTTATGTATCTCTAAAAAGTCATTTTTCATAAGTTTGAGACAGTTACATTTTAATCTGTCACTTTTTCATATATGTGACTTGAAATAATACACCAAAAGTCATTAATAATGAATTTCTTCCTTTATCTCGTTTCATATATATAATGACAGATTTGATTAGCATCGCGACTAGTTTTAATAAGTACAAAGTTTGATTTATTTGACAATGGAGCCCAGTAGCATGACGTGAATGCGGCATTATACCATATAGACATTGAAAAAAATATCTATATATAATTATGAAATAAATATTTATTAGTATTTAAATAATTTATCCAGTAAATTAGTTTTAATATGCATTTTTGGCTATTATAATAATTAATGGAAATTAAATTAATATAAAATAATTGTAAAATCATAATTTTTACTATCAAAAAAAGATATACAAATAATTTTTAATTATAAAAATTATTGATTTTTTAAATTATTAAATATATTTATCACAGAAAATTATAAGGTATTAAAATAAGCTGCAACGCTTATTATTTTAATCCAATTTTGCTTATTTTAATACCAAAATGGATTAAAATAAGCAAAATTGGATTAAAATAATAAGCGTTGCAGCTTATTTTAATGCCTTTTAATTTTCTATGATTTCATAACAGCCAAGATTATATTTGAACCAAATAAATTTTTTTTCAATATTACATAATCAATAATTGAAATAGATTGAAAAGTATAATATTTCAATATACCATCATCATTTTCCGTTTAAGATTTTCAAAATTATCATCGTCAAAGGATCAGCAATTAATTTTATTACACAAGCCTTGTCTATTGTTAAAACAATATGCAGTGCATATATACCTATATATAAAAACTGTTAGAGAAAAAAGTAAAATAAATTTTAACAAGCCTGTAAACTTTAGAAGTGTTATAAAAATAAAAAAATGTTACTTGGAGGTCAAATAAGTACAAGTAATCGTATATATGTGGAGGAAAAAAAAATGAACTCGTTTCATATAACCACGCCCAGAACCATGAACAATGTTAAGTTGTTTATTTATACACTCAAGGAGCAAATGATCCTAATATGATAAGAATATTTCCGGTGATTTATTAGATCCGGTATTTACCGATCAGAAATCGAAATTATATCGATAAAACATTGCCCTTTTTGTATATTTTTATTTTCTCATAAGAATATAAAAAATTGTTCTAAAAATTCTTAATATATCGCTTTCTTAACAAAAATTGATTTTATTTTCATTCTCTTTATAAGAAACAGGCGGGGCCTTACCTATATTAAAATATCATTTTAAGATATCATAGGCTGAAAAATATAATACGTTTGAGAAAAAATGAATTTTATTCCTTACAGTAATATTTATAAATCATCAAACATTTATAAATTTATAGTGCAAATATATAATTGAAAGAACAGATATGTTATATGTTTAAATTTGAAATTGAAATTTATTTTTTTATTTATTATAGTACGTTCAGATTATTTATTATTTATAATCTCAATAAAATTGTACATTTAAAGCATGTAGATTAATTATTGAGTACAATTAAATTATATAATATTATATTGTAATTCGTATTTCATATATAAATCGTAATTTTTATTTCAAGATTCTTTTATTTAATAATCATGCCCTTATGTATAAAATTCTAAATAATAAATTGAAAATATTTTGTACTTTTATGTTTTTTTTTTCTTATGTAGCGCAAATTAAAATAATCTTATAAATAATTAAAACTATATTAACTAAAATTCGTTTTACAGTGAAGGTGAACTGTCCTTTAAAATATAAATATTAATATAATATTACTGTTAATTTTTAAAACATTATTTTATATCTATTTACGTATTTTGTAAAAGTCAACAGATTTTAACAGATATAAGAATATGAATAAAAATTTTATTACAGAAATAATGGAATAAATTTTCAAATCTTTTTTTTTTAATAATTTTGTTCTACTAAAAAGTTTTAAACTTTAATTCATAAATTTTATGATTATAAATAATTTTTTTTTTTTTCTAATGTAGAAAATTATTTCGAATATTTTTTTTTTAACAATTTCGAAAATTGTTTTTAATTTACTTTTGCCATTATAATTTAGAGTCAGATCTCCATGAAAATTTATTTAAATCTAATATCATTTATTTTATACTAAATAACAAAATTATTTTTTCATAGAGTAACGAAAATCAATCATTAATTGTAACGTTTATTTTTATGAGAACTAACATTCTCGGGAAGAATTGTTTTTTATTAATTTTAGACACGAATCACTATTTTCTAACCGATTCTATCACTATTATATTATAACAATGAGATTCTAAATTCTATTTTTCTAGGAGGTATATAACGTTTAAAGATAATTAATTACAGTAGCTTTGAATAGTTCTCAATGGCTTAAACTACAAAAAATAAATTTTGTTTAATTCCGAATTTTTGTAATTGTTAGAAATCTTCCAATTTGTGTCGAAAATAAAATAAATTAATGTGAGAGTTAAAAAATATAGTCAAAATAAATAAAATGTAATTAGAATTAATAAAATAGTAAAAGTAATATTGAATAATAAAAAACAAATTTTAATTTATCGAGAACTATTCAAAGTTAATAATATCAGTCGAATATACTTATGAAAACTTGAATTCGTTTTTTACTTAATTAAAATATTGAGCACATAAATGGAAAAAGTTTAAAAATATATATAATAAAATATTGAATAAAACTATTTAAAAATGTGTTTTTAACTCTTAATTAAATAAAATAAAAATTGCAATAAATTTTCATAAATAAATAATTTTACCCTAAAAAAAAATTATAAAAAATTGTATCTATGTTGTCAATATATTATTTTTCTAAAATTTTTTTTACAGAATATCCTAATAAAGAATTAAAAAGAAAAAAAACTAAAATATCATTTGAGAGTTAAAAACACAATGATCAAAATCACATACGGATAGAAAACAAATTTGTATAGACAACACAAATTTTAATTTTCTGGAAGGTACATAATATAATTTACTGGCTGCTTTTTTTTGCATTGTCTGCTCTTTAGTAATTTTTCTATTTATTTTGAGAAAACTAGAGAGAGAAATTTAATTTTTATCTGTACTATATACAAAATTGATCGACGAATAATAAAAGCTAAAAAAAAAAAATAATTAAAAGAAACGTGCGCGGAAAAAGATAATATTTTTATTTCATTAAATTATTCTAATTATTTCAAATTTTTTTTTTTCGAAATAAAAAAAATTTCTTTGGTACTCTATGAGACAATATTTATTTTTTTTTTATACAAAATAATTAATATTTTGATATTAAAAATAATGTATAATTTCTTATATATTTATATGAATAATTTGTCTCTTATTTAGATTTCAAACATTAATTTCATAAATAATGAAAATTATTAAAATTGAAATTTAGAGTCAATGGCACATTTCAAAGAGTATTTAAATTTTTTTTGCATTGTTTTCATTGTAATAATTAATTTTGATAAAAATTATTATCGACTAGTTGTTAAAAATCATGTGTAAGACAAATAACGCCATCCAAATAATATTAGTAATGTTATTTATTTATTTTGTTATGAAATAACTTTTTCATAGTATCCATAGTTTACTAAATCCAAAATTTTAAGTATCAATTTTAAAAAATTGTTCATCAATTGCCTGAAATTTGATGGCATATATTTACAATTTTTTTCTGTTGAAAAAGTACTGTGTTGGCAATATTTGTCTAAGACATAATCTTAATTGGACAATATCACTCTTAAAATTTGGGAAATAAAAAAGAAAAATGTTTTTCTTTCTCTTAAGGAGGTTCAGAATCAAACTATTCATTTTAAAAGAATTACTGTTTCAAATTATAAATATGAGTAATTTTTGTTTTCTTTTCCCATAAAAAAAAAAATCATGAATTATATGACTGCTCGCTGAAAACTTACATTTAAGGATCCTCACTATCACTATCTTGTTGTTCAGGTGGTTCTTCAATTTTGGGATTTGCTTCCGAATTTCTCTCGGCATTATTTCTATCAACATTTTGTGTTACCCAGGAAGGTAACCATTTATTAACGAACCACCAATGTAACGAAAGTCTTCCTGCATGTTGACATTCACTTCTTTCGCAACGACCTAAAAATTGACAAACCCCAGTGTTTAAATTGCCTTGATTCCTGATACAAGAATCATCACAGGTGTGATGTCGATTCACAGTATTATTCACAGGATAAATGGAAGTAGAAGACGTTGAGGGAACATTTGAATTGGCAGTACTTCTTCCAATAGATGGATCTAAATCGTTTGACGCTGAATTTCCAGCAATTGGATTTGAATTCGAGCTGGAGGTTGAATTTGATGTTGACGAAGTGTCAGCAGTCATTAAGCTATTTAATCCTGAACCGTAAGATCTGTCGATTCTACCAACGTAAATTGTTGGATTGCCATAAATTGGATTATTCACTGATTGATCGTAACGTCCAATGTAAATGGCAGAATTTAATGAAAAACAACGAGGACAATTTCCAGGATCTCTGCATTGACATTCACGACGAAGTGATTCAGCGAGACGATTAGAATTTATCGGGAATCTTGAGTAAGCAAATTCACCACGACAAAATGAACACTTACAACTACGAGCAACTTGATAAATATAATTTCTTGAGTTGCCAAACGCTGTTGTTGCATTTCCTGAATCTTGATATCGCCATCGATCTTGAATATTGAAACACTGATGACACAAATGTCTGCACACTTGACACGAACAATTACGACTACCTTGATAAATATATCTTCTATATGAGGCATAGGCAATATTCTCCGTTGAAAAACAATTTCGACCAAGTCTTCCAATTTGATATGGACAAAATTGATTTCTTATATTTCTCATTGATTCGAGATATAAATTTCTAGGTTGATCGTAATGACCAAAATTTCTAGCGTCAAATTCATTAAGGACATTGTGTCCTGGCAGGTTATTGGCTATATAAAAATTATTTCTATTCTGCAATCCCGAACGATAAGTGGAACGATTATCAATCCTTTCGTATGTATGATTATCAACGGCATTTTGTACACTCACGATATTTTCATTTCGAATTAATTCAACGTCCTCAATTTCATCTTCGTCATTGTCAAGTCTTTCGTAAATATTCTCCTCTGGCTCTTGTTGTTGCCTATATCTTTGATGGCGAATCAAATCAACGGGATTTTGATAATTTGGATTAAGATTCGGATGATTTTGTCGATTTTGGAATGTTCGATTTCCACGACCCACGTTCTGATAAGCTTCATTTCTCTCCTGATTACGATTTTGATTCATCACAACAACTGCCAATTCTCCATTTTCATATCTATGACAGAGGCATCGGGGACCCTCGCAATCATGACTCGCAGCTCTAACATTCTGATCCGGATTATGGACACTAACACCGCTGGGCCCGGCTTCCCTTTGTGGTTCAGATGCTTCAGCATCTTGTTCATTATTTTGATCTGATGAATGCCCAGCGGTCTGCTGACCTCACATACTCGATGTCGAGGTCAATGATTTATCAATTATCGCAACTCCCGCGTAACTACGGCCAATACTCATGCAAGTTGGCAATGTTGTCCAAGTGTCTGTTCTCGGCGAATAAACTTCCACTGAATCTAAATTCGATGATCCATCATCACCTCCGACAACATAGAGCAATCCATTCAGTGCAACAACACCTAAAAAATCAAATTTCAATCAAACTTTAGAGAAATTGTTTAAAATATAACATAATTTACCTGCATTACGTCGACAGAGTGCCATATCACTAACAGGAGTCCATTGATTACTCTCTGGATTAAAAGCCTCGACACTTTTTCTAACCAAAGGACCATCGTGACCACCGACTGCATATAAAATCCCATCGAGAACTCCTACTCCAGCACCACTTCTTCTCGCCGACATTGATGGAACAGGTTTCCATTGATCCTTCTCTGGATTATAACACTCAACACTAGATAAACATTGACGTGATGCACCATCATAACCTCCAACCTTCAAAAATAAAATAAGATTTACAAAACGAAAATATTTTCCCTCCTTTTTTTGTAAATAACACTTACAGCGTACAAAAGACCTTTAACAACACCAACACCAACGCTACTTCTTCGCGTTGACATTGGAGCAATCATTCTCCACTCGTGTGTTCTCGGATCATAAACCTCAGCTGAATTTAATCCTGTTGATCCATCAAAGCCTCCAACCTGATAAATTTTACACGGTTATTAACTATATTTGAAAAGAAAATTACATTTATCAAATATACTCACTGCGTAAATACAATTTCCAAGGACTGCAACGCCTAACGTTGATCGTCTTGCTTCCATTCCAGGGCATGCTTGCCACTTATCAGCAGATGCATCGTAAACATCCACTGTACGCACTCGTAAAGATCCATTAAAACCACCAACAGCGTATACTCGATCGCCAAGTACAGATAATCCTGTCAATAAAAAAAAATATATACTTTCTGATTTTATTTTATTTTTTTTTCAATTTCTTACCAGCTCTACATCTTCGAGTAGGAAGCTCAGAAACTTGATACCATCTTTCTTTTTTGAAATCATAACACTCGACGCTTCGAATTGCTTTTGGTGCTTGACCACCGACAACCAATAAAACTTTCGGTAAACCTCGCGGTTGTCTAGGTTTTGTTCTCGGCGTTTTAAAAAGTGATTTTTGTTCTCCTTTCAATAGATGATATTTCAGGGCTTCTATTAGAAAATCTTTACCTGTAGGAAAAAAAAACGTCGCAAATAATAATTTAAAAATAATTATTAATAATAATTTTAAAAAATAAAAAAATTCTTACACTGTGAATTAGTTTTTAAAAGTGGTTCCTCTTCGACACGTTGTACCAAATATTCCTGTGACAAAAGTGGCAATCTCACATGTTCCATTAATTCCGCCAGTACATGCTGTCGTTTCTCAAGATCATGATGAACCCAAGAAATAACACATTCAAATACTTTTTCCTCCGATGTAACAGTCAAACGATCACTACAAATCAATTTTCCAACTTGTAGTGGTGTCAATGTTAAAAATTCCTCCCCCTCCACAACTTCCCTGTGAAGAAAATAGAATTCATTGACTGTCGCACAAAATTGAAAAACAAAAAATTTACTTACGAAAAATTTTGTTCAATATAACTGTCGGCATGTGTAAGTAATTCTAAACAACCATGAAGATCGGCAAATGCTCTTATTCCTAAACAATTTGATGGATGAAGTTGTGCTTGTAAAAAATCACAACACGCATCTCGAACATCCGTTAATTGAAGTAAATTTGCTGCTGGCAATAGAACTTGAACATTATCTTCTGTGACATAAACTTCAGCTGAATAAACATATTCAACAAGTAATTCTAATGCCGAATGATCAACTCCTTGAAGTTTTATTTTATCTTGATCTCGTTCCTCAAAACTTGTGAACATTGCATAAAAATAAGGGCTACAAGCAGCTAAAATCATTTTATGTGCTGGTACTTCAATCCCACCGTCTGCTATGAGTATTACATCGCAAAGTAAATTTTGCCTGTAATAATAAATTTTAATAAATTTACAAAAAAAAACATGGTAAATAAAATTTTTTTTTTTAAATTTTAATCTTACTTGCGCATGGCATTCATAACTTCAAAGGCTCGATCCGTATGATGATGATTTCTATACGGTGGTTTGTCCTTGCCATTTTCACGTGGCACATGCTTTTGCGAACTTTCGTCTAGAGAATTTTGACTCGCATAGCGCAATAGTAGACAGCTAAAAAGAATTTTGTTTTTTTAATAATAATTGAAGTATTAAATACGATAGAATGTTAAAAAAAAATTTTTTTCATATAAAAATTATAAACTTAAGAAAATTTAGAATATTTAAGACGTAACGTATTCCATTACCAATGAAGGCTATCCTAACAAGGTTATTATGTACATATATATACAAAATGACATAAGCATGCTTGTCTCACCTTGCTTTTAAATTTTTATAAGCTAGCGATTAACAATTTTACAGAATTTTAAAGTGTTTTTGATATTCTTTTTCTTTCAATATCTATTATAAATACACTATTTTTAAAAAATCTTATTATATATTCAAATAATACTTGGAAAAATTTATATGTTCAGATTTCTTGTGAAATATTAAAAAAAAACACTAATAAAATTGAATCATCATGACAAGCTTGAAATGCAAAGAAAAATATAATTAATACAAAATGCAAATGTAATTTTTTTTCATCAAATTTTTATAAGACTCTTAGGATATACATTTAAATGTCTTAAAGATTATAAAAGAACAATAACAAAAAAATGTGTAATACAATTAAATCTGCAACAAAAGAGAAACATTAATTAATTATTATATTTTAATAAAAATGCTGAAAAATTTTCATTACCTGCCCTTATTTTCTCCTCCATCTCCAATGGGATTCACTAAATTTTGATTTGCAGGATTCATTGTTTTCAAATAAATTTGAGTATATAAACAAATGGGAGAAAGAGATTTATTTTATTGTTGTAAATAAAAAATATTCTGAAAAATTAATTTCTACATTGCACTTAGAAAATGGAGAAAAATGTATGAAAAATAGTCATGTTATTTATAATATGAAAAATGCACTGTTGTACACAAGAAATATAAATACAAACAAGCATTGAATAAAGTGGAGGCGTCTCTTGATTATAGAGATAGAAAATAATCAGTAAAGTAAAGATGTATTGATTGATTTCGTGAATTCACAAGAAATATAAATCACTATTCAAACAGATGAAATTATAAAAAATAAATAAATAAATTTAAAACTGTGATTTTGTTGCCAATATTTTTCTTTTTTTCTTTTCACGATACATGATGAGATTTTACTGATTTTTTTTGTCTGCAACAAGGATTGTCAAGTGGCGTCGTGTAACGGACATTTTTGACACTTTAAACAGCTGATTAAATAGTATATCGATTACCATTGGCTGGTAATGTACCTTCAAGCCAATCAGAACCTGTCAGAACCAATAGAAAAGTTCGCACATATTTGCGACTATCTTCATTCCCTTGTTTTGATTTAAAAAAAAGAATTGTTTAATTAATAATAAATTGTAAATAATAACAATTGCAAACAAAAACTTTTACCTCTTTTCGAACAATAAATACAAAAATTTGATAATTCTTTCTATTTTTTTAAAATACCCGCCTCTTGTCAGCAATGACCTATTTTAACCTGAGCGACGCTGTCAGTCTGTCACAAAAGGAATATTCTTGCTCAAAAAGTTCGAGTCATTCGTAAACCTCAATTTTTTAGAGTAACAATAAAATAGTGATAATTATTAATGGAAGAAATAGGAATTATTTTACCAGATAAGGTAAATTTAATGTTATAAATATTATTAAAGTGTATTTAAACTTATATACTCTATTTTAAGTTTTCTTATGATTTTATCAATTAATAAAATTTCTGCAATTTTATAAATAATATCCAATTTGTAATAAATAAATACTAACAGGCAATTGATTTTTCATCTTTAAACAATAATATTATTGATAAATATCAATTTTTTTGAATATATAATCTTTGTTGGATTTTCTTTCAATGGGTTGTTACTTAACCTCAAAAACAAAGGATTCTAATTTATTCTTGTTTTTATTTTTTTTCAAATTTGCATTAAGAGTTGTAAATTAAGTTTTTTTTCGCAATTAATGAACTTAGTGATTAATGTTGAAAATTTGGAATTTTATAATTTAGTATATTTAATTTTATAGGACATGTGTGAAATTGATTCCAAACCGGCCATTGGACATTATGCTGCTTTGGAGGAGTTGGACATTGAAGATCTTTACACGAAATATAAGGTATTAAATAAATAAATAAATATTTAAAATTGAAGATGTTTAAAACAAATTTTGTTCTATTGTTTGTTTAAATAGAAACTACAGCGAATGTTAGAGTTTCTGGAAGTACAGGAAGAATATATAAAAGATGAACAACGAAATTTGAAAAAAGAGTATTTACACGCTCAGGAAGAAGTAAAACGAATACAAAGTGTTCCATTAGTTATTGGACAATTTTTAGAAGCAGTTGATCAAAATACTGGTATCGTTGGTTCAACAACTGGTTCGAATTATTATGTTCGCATTTTGTCAACAATTGATAGGGAATTGTTAAAACCATCTGCTAGTGTTGCTCTTCATAAACACAGTAATGCATTAGTAGACGTTCTTCCACCTGAGGCAGACTCCAGTATATCAATGCTTCAAGCTGGCAAGTGTTATTTTTGTTTATTTAAAAATTTATTCCATTTTCTTGTAAATTGATTGGATATTAATTTAATGATTTTATGTTATAGATGAAAAGCCTGACATTCAATACAGTGATATTGGAGGAATGGATATGCAAAAGCAGGAAATTCGAGAAGCTGTGGAATTGCCACTTACACATTTTGAATTGTATAAGCAAATTGGTATTGATCCCCCTAGGGGTGTATTGATGTATGGACCACCAGGATGTGGTAAAACGATGCTCGCTAAAGCTGTTGCCAGACATACAACAGGTTTGGTTTTTTTTTTCATTAATATAAATATCGATTTATTATAATTATTTCTCCAAATAATGTAATTTTTTGTCAAATAGCTGCATTTATTCGCGTTGTGGGATCGGAATTTGTGCAAAAATATTTGGGAGAAGGACCTAGAATGGTTAGAGATGTTTTTCGTTTAGCTAAAGAAAATTCACCGGCTATTATTTTTGTTGATGAAATTGATGCAATTGCAACTAAACGTTTTGATGCCCAAACTGGAGCAGATCGGGAGGTTCAACGTATTCTTCTTGAATTATTAAATCAAATGGATGGTTTTGATCAAACTACTAATGTCAAAGTTATTATGGCTACCAACAGGTACACTTTTTTAAAAATTAATATTCTGTTATTTATTAATTTAACTAAAAAAAAAATGCATTATTTTCTAAGAGAATGATTTTTTATATTTTCAAATTTTTAAAGGGCCGATACATTGGATCCAGCGCTATTGCGTCCTGGGAGATTGGATCGAAAAATTGAATTTCCATTACCTGATCGACGACAAAAGCGTTTGATATTTTCAACGATAACAACAAAAATGAATTTAAGCGAGGAAGTTGATTTGGAGGATTATGTTGCGCGACCAGATAGAATTTCCGGTGCTGATATTAATGCAATTTGTCAAGAGGCTGGTATGCATGCGGTGCGAGAAAATCGTTACATTGTTTTGGCTAAAGACTTTGAAAAGGGTTACAAGAATAATATCAAAAAAGACGAGTCTGAACATGAATTCTATAAATAAGCGTATAGTGTTAGAAAAATAAAAAATCTATCCGCTTTTTTTCCTGACTCACAATATTTTAAGCTATTGTAATTGATTTATATATTAAATACAAATTTGATTCACAAAATATTGTAGAAATTATTTTTCACTTTTATTTTCTTTAAATATTCTATATTACCTGTTTTTTAATTTTATTCATCAAAACTAGTTTGACATGTCTGGTGGTAAATTCTGGAAGCTTCGAGCATTTACTAACCTAACCTTATATATAAAAATAACATCAACAGCTGATTAAATGTTTTGTCAGTTTATTTTTTATTATTAAATGGATAACTTATTTGTAAAGTTATATGTTTGATGACTGAATAATATATATTTATTGTGCATCGTATTATGGTGATAACCTAGGAAGAATATATATACATATACAACAAATGAAACGTATTCAAAGTGAAATTATGGAATTGGCTAATAATTCAACTTCAAAATTAGAAAAAAAGTGTGAATGTTCTTCACTTGATTGTTATTGTGATGTATTTATTAGTAAGTATTGTTTTTAAAAAATATATCATAGTTATTTGCAGAATATTTTTTGAGGTTATGCTCATTATATTTATTATTCTCATTTTTTTTAGGACATGAGTGGACATGGGACTCTTCATTAGCATCGACAAAAGTGAAATTGTTTAATGAAAATTTAGCAGTGAAATTTAATCCAGGTTATAGTAATGGAACAACTGCAATTCGTGGAACGGAATGCATGTTGAAAGGAAGACATCATTATTGGGAAATAAAAATTCTCACTCCTGTTTATGGAACAGATATTGTAAGAATCCATTAAAATAAAATGTTCTTTAACATTCTGTTTTAATTTAGAGTCTAACAATTAGAATATTTTTTTATCTAGATGATAGGAGTGGGAACACTTAAAACTGACACAATAATCGATGCTTATTGTTCACTTTTGGGTCGTGATTGCGAATCTTGGGGTCTTTCGTACAGAGGATATACACAACATGGAGGAGTTAAGATGAATTATTGTCGTGGATTCGTAAAAAATAATGTCGTTGGAATTCATTTAGATACTTGGAAAGGTACTCTTCAATTTTTCGTGGATCGAAAACCATTAGGTATGATTATTTTGATAATAAATCATAAAATTAAATAATCTAAAATTCTTCAATAGAAATAAAATGAATTTTTTCTTTTTATACAGGAGTTGCTTTTACTGGCCTCAGAGGTAGACAACTATATCCAATGGCTTGTTCAACAGCTGCAGAAAGTAATATGCGAATAATTTATAATTCATCAGAGCCAGCGTCTCTACAAATGAATTGTTTGGAAATTCTTAGACCAATTCATCGTGCATATCTTAGTGCAGCATTTCCAGGGATGAGATACATTTTTAAAAGTGTATTTGCCGATATTCTTCAAAAGCCTTACGGTAAGTAAACACAACTTTTCATATACAAAATACTTGACTTAAATTTGAAAATTATTATATGAACAATTTTACAGATGATGATGATAATGATGATGAATTTTTCAAAAAAATTACGTATCTCGACAAACTTGATCATCCATTTGCGTTGGAACATGAGGAACAAAAACGTGTTCGTTTAGACAATTATCAACCATCGGCACTACAACTTGATTCTCTAAATATATGAACTTTCTTCTGCTCAAGAATCATTTCCAATTAAAAAAAAAATTCCATTCTATTTCATTCAATTTATAATTAGTGATTATGATTTAATACCTCCTATAAAAATAGTGCAATGATTTGTACATTATTTTATCTCATATATTACCCTAGTAATACTCATTTAGAAAAAAATGTTTAAATCTGTCAAAAAATGATTGTGATTTTAAACCTTTCGTATAATATTTGTAAGTTATGAAAATATTTATTTATTCAAAAAAATGTTAATTTATAAATTGTTCTACGTAATAAAAAAAATTTTTTAAATCTGACTTATTCATGTTACCTTATCATTATTTCATTTTTCCTTTTGTTTCTTTGTTTTCACTGAGTCACTGACGTTTTTCCGCTTTGTTGTTTGCTTTTTTTCTGACAGTGACACTGATGATTGATTGTTAATTTTTGCACAAAAAACAATTGCCTGAGCCCATCCAGCGAGAGGACCCCATAATTCACGTAAATGTTCGCTTACTTCTTGATGAATTTTAGGCGTGACGCTGTTTTGCTTTTTTAAATGAGGCATATAATTAGCCATAGCAACTTGATAAATGTGTGTGTCAACTGGAATTGCCTCTAAATGTCCTAAAGACATAAGGCAAATGCAATCTGCAACCTTTGGACCAACTCCAGATAGAGTTATGAGATTTTCCTTTGCCAATTTATATGTTGAACTATTTTTATGAAAATTTATCAACCATTTTCGTCCGCCTAATTCTAATAATTTTTTTGCTGTATTTGCAATATAGGCAGCACGATATCCAAATCCCTCTTTTCTTAATATTGATTCCACATTGTCTGCTGCAAGTGAATTAATTTTTGGAAAATCGTAATATTCTTTATCATCGAGATCGCAAATTTTTTCCCCAAAGAAACGACTCAATTTCTCAACCATACTGGAAATTCTAAACAATATTTTCTATTTTAAAATCATTTAAATTCGTTAGCTATAATAATTTAATAATTGTAGAATAATATAAATAAATAATGTTTAAATAAATTTAAACTTACCGAACTATATTATTATTTGAACTACATATGAAAGAGAAAAGATTCTCAACTACATCTTGATTTAAAATTCTTACTCCATCAACTTTTTCAAGGGCTTTTTTAAAATGTTTATCGTCAGCAGACCATTTTTCTAAATTCGTCTTTAGTGAAACTTCAAAGCGAAAATAGTCTGACAATAGTTTTTCGCAATTTATATTTTTTGAAGGTCCATGTATTGTATAATGAAGATTATTGTCATCTTGACTTAAAGTCCAAACTTGTCCCGCAAAAACACCTCTGTAAGTTTTTTCATTTTCTAAACTGATCCATCTAAAAGAAAAAAAATTTTCAAAATTAAATATAACACATGCGCATTATTAACTTCACGCATGCGTATTACTTTTGTTGTAGATTTTTAGGTTATGTTGATTCAATTATAATTAAAAAATTGTTAAATTTCTTCAAAAAGAAAATAACTCACCGAAAACTTTGTCCACCGTTTAATGTAATTCCAAGGTCTAATTCTTCTTTTAAACATTTTATTTGTCCTGTCTTCATTTTTGTTTTATTTGATAAAATTTGTTTACAATAAAGTTGTTGAATTTTTGAAAATTTTCTGCTTTTTACAATACTTTTTAAACATTCTTTTATATAAAACGTAATGATAAGATATTTAAAATCACTATATAATAAAATAAACAGATTAATTAGTTATTTTTGCTTTTTAAATGAACAATACAAACTTTCAGGGTTTTGTTTTGATACATTTGTGAGTCAGGGACGTAGCATTTTGTAGGTGTCTTATTGATTTTCCCGCCAAAATTGATGGGTAACGAAATTTAAAAAAATGTATTTTATACATTTTTGAAATAATGAATAATTTTAAGAAAATAAAGTTAAAAAACAAAGAATTATTAGGAACAATAAAACTAATAAAAAATCAATATTTTTATTATTTATTCGTTTGCTTAGGCAAGTGTCACCATAAAATATTATCTTACATATTTACAAATAAAAATGACTAAATTATATATATCTTCAATATGGATTTATAAATGTGCAATTTATATAATTTATTCTGAATTTTTTTTTTGTAATTTAAAAAAAAACACCTATTGTTTTTTTGGGAATTGATAATATTTTTCTTACTAGTATGTAAGACAATAACTTAATTTAAAAAATCGAATTATAATATATTTCTTTTTTTTAATATTAGTTTATAACTCATCTATTTCTATTGAATTAATTTTCTAACGTTATCAAAAATCAGTATATAAATTTTATTAGTAATTTTAATGTAATTTATAAATTTTGTAATTATCGTTTGTCTATATATTAATAATTTTATTATAATTTATTTATTTAATACTTTTACTTTGATAATTGTAATAAAAATTGATATGTTGCTATTAGTTCTTATAAAAAATTTTAATACAATATGTATTAAACTTTTTTGATTAGTTTAATATTTTTAAAAGTTTTCATACGTATCTGCAAATTTTTATTCCCTTCAAATTTGCATATAAAAAAATTTTTCAAAAAATGCGATTAACGTTTTTTGTTTAATTTACTTTAAAAAGTGAAAATCTTTGTGTTCATATATAAATTAAAATTAATTATCGGGAACATATTACATAAAATTTATCAAAATCACAAACACGGTAAGTGACAGCAAATAAAACTGCATATCGAAATGCAGAAGTTTGTAAATATTATTAGAATTTTAAGAAGAGATATTTTTTATCAATTGCGGTCATACGATCATTTTTTGTTACCGCATTTCTTTAAAAAAAAAAAAAAACTCATTTATATTAATTTTTAATATCACAATTTAAAAAACCGGGAAACAAATTTGGAAAAATATTAATGAAAGGTAAATCAACAAAATTGTATATAAATAAGAAACAATTCGATAAAAATATAAACAATAAAACTTTATTAAATATAGAAAATTAATATCTATTATCACATGGTTATATAAATTATATACAATATATAATTATATTTAGATGTAATTATAATTATAATATTACTGTCAATAACAAATTGTTAATCACAATCATAATGTTATTATTAATCACGACAAATAGAAATATTATAATTATAATTTCTCTAATTATAATAAATCTAAGTAAATAATAAGATAGAAAATTCTATAATACTAACATTAAAAAAAAAATCTAAAATAATAAAAATCGCATTTTTTGAAAGATAAGAATGATTAATTTTTGCAAAATAAATATCTTTAAAATATAAAATTCAATGTAAGTACTATTGATTGCAATTCGATTTTTTTGTGTTATAAATAAACATTTTGAATCTAGGAATAGAAACAATTATTTCTTCACTTGGAAACATATCACATCCCTGAGAACTACTATTGACACATTTTTTTTTTGTTTTTGAAGATTTTTGTTTTTCATAAAAATTTAACTAATTGCTAATAGTAAAGATTTTTTTTTAAAACTGCTTTATATTTTTCATACTCTAGACATTTGCTTTTCGTTGCCCATTTTTTGCATATCTTTTTCTTCCTTTTTTTCAAAATAAAACACTTTAATCGAATGACATTGAAGAAGATTTTTCCTACCATATTTGCTGATGAGGACTGGGCCATTTTCAGGCACGTTCGAAACCTAAAAATATGATAGTTTTTTATATATAGAGGTAAGAAAAAAAATTTTTCGCGAATGAATCTTAAAATAGCTAAACCGTTAACGTATATAGTCATTTTAAGATTTCAAAGAAGAGGAAGAAGAAGAAGAAGTAATATTTGAATCTGTTGAAAGTAGATTTTGAAATGTGTTCACCAGATGCGAAGAAAAGATTAAAGGTGCATTTGTTTTCATATACGATCTTTGACGTTATGATCTTATGTAATATCATTTGCTTATTATCGTTTTATATGAGCTTTATAATCACTCTCTCATTATAGAGAAAGCACATAATTTTATAATTAGCTAGCACATAAGCAAAGATACTAAACTTTTTTTTCAAGTAATAACCGATTCATTTGAGAGTTAATTCAAATTTCATTTAAAATAAATTAATTTTTATTTATAGTTAATTCAATTTGTGATTTTAATTAAAAATATTTTATTACTTTTCAATGTCTGATTTTAAGGAAATGAAATAAAAAAAAAATTTTTTTTACCGTTCATCGCATGCGCAATGCATCATTGTTGAAACGCCCCAATTGTAGAGACCATAACGTGATTCAAAAGCAGGAATCCAAAAAGGACAAGAGGTATCATGTTTTCGGCAACAGGAATCAGCTGTCCCAAAACCACCTAAACTTGTATACTTCGTTGCCGAGTAACCTTTGCCACACCATTTTGTACCAGGAATTAAAAAAAGATCTCTTCTTGATCGATTGTGATTTTCTTCCGATTTCCGGAATCTTTCCAAACGAGTCTGTTGATTCCTGCGTTAAAATATTATTATTATATAATTTTAGATTAGATAAGTTATATGAAAATCGAGAGATTCGTCAAAAAAAATTGTTATTCAAATTATTTTACAGTATAATATATAGAGAATATTGATGGTACCATTGTCGTTGTTGGTGAATAATTTGATTTCTGTTCCGAGATTTTATGTCCCGACATTGCTTATACAAATTTTCAACATTCCAAAGCCAGGGAAACTTTGTTATTATTGATAAACTATTGTTTTCTTGTTTATACAATGAAATTGATGATTTTAAATTTCCAGAAGACAAAATTTCCTCGGTACACTGTTTGGGAAATTTATTTTCATAATTGCAATCTGTTAAAATTCCATTTTCCAATAAAAGCAAAAGTTTACGATTATTCTTCTTTAGGCAAATTTCTCGCAAAGTAACTTCAGCATCTCTGAAAAAAAATTAATATAACCCTTTAAAAAGAACCACAAAAGGATGAAGCGAAAAAAGGTACTTTTTAAAAGTGCAAATATATAGTATAGAGGAGAATAAGACTACTTTCGCGTAGATATCCTCGTGAGAACATTGACAGATGAAATACCGTGATGCTTGGACCCTAATCCTTGCTTACTTAACTTTTCGCTTTCCGGGGGGAGAAAGGGGGGGGCTTACTTAAAACCTTGTTCGCTTTTGCGGTCATTACCGACAGTCTGAGGCTTTTCGCGAGCGTTTTTCTTTTCATTCCTTTGGCACAAATCCCATCTTGTTTTTGCGCCTCTCTCTCTCATAGACAAAATCAAATACTCTTTTTCCTCTTTTGCCTCCTCGTAATCTGCACGATCTCTAAATACCACATTGGACCTTCCATTAGAGGGAGAGGGGTACAGTCCGGATCGCGATAGTGGAAAGGGGTGCCCATAAAGTATAACTTAGATTAAGAGACTACTGCTATCGTCATACACCCGCGCACTCACGTATAGTATTTAACGAACCCATTGCAATTGCAAATTAGGGATATTAGAGGATTAATTCGAGTCTAATTTTTCACTTCAATCTATTTTCTTTTACAATCATTTTATAGAAAATTAAGAAATATATAAATTTTCTTTCTAAATAAATATTATATTTTTTAAATTCCAAGATAAGATTGTGTTTAGTTTATATTTATTTATTTCTAATAACTTTTAAAGCGCTAAAAAAAAATTGTTAAGAAAGGTTATATCCTTTTGTTTGTTTACGATGAACGTTATGAAGTTTGCGTCAAACAGCTGCCGATTCTCGAAATATCGGTTATCGATTGAACTCGATCCATTACAGCATACTTCATTGGTTACTTTTTGCGCGTTTAGTTTGCAACAGAAGAAATGAATTAACATAGTTTTTCTTACAAAAAAATAGTAATTTATGTGTAAAAATATAATTATTTATATTAATTAATCATTTTTAATCTGTTTTCAACTGATTTCAAACAATATTTTTGTCTATATCGACTTACTGTTGATCTAGCCGTGTGAGTATAACTTCTTTGTTTATTTACTCTAATCACTCTAATATATTTTATAGTTTATATATTTTATTTATATAAATATATATTTATATTTAAGAATGAATTTTTTTTTAAAGATTAATGAATTAATTATTTGTCCAATAAATCGATAACGGGAGTAAATGTAATACTTCAAATGTAGTTGTATTTTGTGGTTATGTTTAATTTTAAATTTGCACGCATAACATTTTAACAATTTTATTGATCATTTTCTAATTAATAAAACAATTTTTATAAAATATATATCATTCTTAACGAATAGTTTATAAATGTTAGATTTTTAGAAGTTTATTAATCTTTGGATTTTTTTTTTTTTAAATTCTTAATTGTGATCATATATATTATCGGAAGACTCAAATAAATTTTTATAATTTCGGCTCGTTACAAAGTGTCCAAATGATAAAATTTACATATCAGAGAATTTGTACCACAATATATATATATATCGTTCTTTTCTGGTTCACATATTACGTTAATTGTGCGCGATTTCCGAAGAAATGGTTTAATCTTTGTGATTACAAATTTATTCATTATTCAATATAATATAGCAGATTGCTAATTATAATTACTTAATAACAAAATTCTTTTTGGGAAATTTCAACATAATTTTTCAATTCTTTTATTTTTCCGTTTGTATATACTTGAAACTAAGAAGTAGCGGATAGCTTCAGCTTCATGAATAAGGGTATATTTTTTTACAATTTCTTTATAATTTACAGGTTAATAAAAATGTATAACATGTCACTTATGCAGGAAAACGTCAAAAAGGATTAAAAGAAACAGGTTTCTCGTATCATCAAAGAAGAGACAAAATCATAAAATCTCTTATTTATTGTGAATAAAATTGGCGCATCGTTAACAGAGAAAACTTTCCTTAAAAGAAGACTAATTTTACGGATTTCCTTATTGATGACGTGTACGGTAAGTTAATAGAAAAAATAATTAAAATATATAATTTTGAATTAGTAAATTTAATTAATTGAAAGTTTAATTTACTTTTATAAATATATACATGTTTATAGAAGTAAATTTGACTAAGTAGCAAAAAAAAAAAAAAAAACATTCAACTCACCCCCTGTGAAATGTGGTTTCTTTTACACTAAATTCCTGGCTTTCAATGAAGATTTCGTTTTCTTCATTAGAGGATGTTTCATTTAAAATAACATTCCCTTGATAAAAGCTGCCCATTGAATGGTTTGCAAGACGATAAAAGTCTTTGGTTTGCAAACTAGCTCCGGCAAGCTGCAGAAACAACAACCCCAATGTTAGCAACATTGGGCACCGGTTTCTCGAGAATTTTCTATTTTATCAAAAACATCAAAATTATTGTGTGTGTGTTTAATTTTTTTAATTTATTTAATTAAAATTTGAAAATATTTTTAAAAGATTATTTTCAAATTAAAAATTTTTTTTAATTAATATTTATTATTTTATCAAATTAAATGTCCTTTAAAAGATGTATAGATAGAATATTATATTTCCGCATCAGTTTATTAATAATTTTCTTTGATTTTGAAAAATCTGATAAATTTTATTTAACTGAATCATCAGACAGTCTGGTGAAGAATCACGCCACCCGCGTAATTCTCTTATCGCATAAATAACATTATATTTCAGAATTCAAATATTATGAGTATAAACAATAGGAGGGAATATTTTTATATAATTAATAAACATACATATAAGAGAGGAAAGTCTATAACTACTCTCATTTTCATTTTTTTGCTATAACAAATGTAAATTTTAGAAAAATTTATTTTTGAGTGAGCAAAAATTTTGTGGAACATTTATATATATATATTATATTAGTTGAATATGGTTCAATTTCTTAGACGATATAAGGTGTGTCCTATAATGAAATTGACAACCGTTTCTTGACACATTCATCCGTGAAGAAATTTTATTGTTGTTTTATGCTAATGATACGTATATTATTACGTTCTGATTAGATTTTTCTTTTTAAATTTATTAGTTTATACTCGTCTGTATATTTTATTTACTGTATAGCTGTAATTTTCTTGAGGAGTTAATTTTCAAATAAATCCAAAATAATTAATTTTTTTTTTTTTAAATTAAGAATCCTCTAAAAGTAACGGTGAAATTGAAAGAACATTCTCAAGCAGAAACATTTTTTTTAAATAATAATGAATCGGAATATTTTTTTAAATCAAAGAGAATTATTTTAGAATTTTATTTTAATAATAATAATGAAAATTATAATTCGTTTACGTTACAAAGGTTTTTGCATCAATTTGTTCGCTTCATATAAACTTATAAACAAATGTTTATTAAAAAGAATAAAATAAAGACAAGATTATTTTGTTTGTTATTTTCTAGGTTATTCAAATAATTTTTTTTAAGACACATTAAACTTTAGAGTAAAAAAAATTAAAAATTTTTTTTAAAAAAATATTTTACAACTGCTGATTAAATTTTGCTGACAACATCTAGCACATTAAGCACCATTTGCACATATTTTAAAAATATCACTTATTTTTAACATCACAAAGCACATTTATATTTTTGTCATTAATAACATTTGCGCTCGTTAAATTTAAAATTAGTTTTATAATATAAAAATTAATATAATAATTTTTTTTCACTATTTCAATAATAATTATAAACTAACAAATATTCAGAATTTATTTTTTTAATTAATAAATTAAATTAATTTTAACGAACCTATTTTATGTAATACTTTTGGAGTCAATAATAAATTTTTAATTTAATTATTATTTGAATTTCACGTGGAAAAAATTAACTTTTGTTTTTTTTTTGTATAGCAAAAAAAAGATGAACCTCTCGGGGGCCAAGCGGCCGCAGAACTGGCGCGCGACTATCGCGAGTCACCCTTAAATACTTGCTACGATTCTGGTTTATCCATTCGTTTAAGCTATATATCCCCCGCTTTCTCTTTTCTTCCCTAAATTTATCCCCTGGATATCATTCTCGATCTACGATGAACGAAAATGAATGACCCATAGTTTGCCAAATCCAATCCAGTATAATAATCACTCTCCGATCATGGATCCATGCACTTTTGTATAATATTATCAATATCAACCCCCGCAAAGATAATACAAATTTTTTTTTTTTTGCTATAATAAAAGGAAAAAAAGTCCGATGATAAAGTCATGTTCAAATTGATTCATTTTTATGGTTTTTTTATATGAATTTTCCGCGTTATAACAAAAAAGAGGGGGGAAAAAACATATATATGAAATCAATGGAGAGTGGTGTGATAAGAAATTTTATACGACTCAATTTTACAACGGTCACAATAATTACTGGACCTTTTTTTGCTTACAGTATTTTTATATATTTTTTTTTTTCCTCTTGCATGTAAACATTTTCATTTTTCCTGCAATATTATTATTATTTACTATGCATAATATAAAAATAAGGAAATTAATTATAAATTTTGCTGGAAGATATTATATATTTGTAATTGGAGAAGGAAAATGGAACAAAGAAAAAAAAATAGGTTCATATGGAAGCCAATTTGAGGCTAAATTGTTCAATTTGATTTCCGTAAGTTCGCGCACGAATCCCTCGTAAAGTGTGAAGGGACAGTCAAGATTAAATTATGGGTGTCAGAATGAGCAAGAAAATCCACTAACTTCGATTTTCTGTTCATTGTGTTCATGCTCATATGGTTTTGACTCTTGAATGAGGAATTCATTTCTTTTAAGAGTTCACAGGTTGATAATTATTTCCTGCTTTTTCTATCGTTTATTCTTTTCTTATAATTCATAAGATATTTAAAAAAAAAAAAAATTTTCTTGTATAATCTTGAAATATAAATAATTATTTATCAATTAGTTGACTGAGAAAAATCACTTAAATTCTTTATGGAGTTTCTCTCTTTCTGCATGGAGAGAAATCCTTACTTGAATAAAAATAAAGTATAAATAAGGTGTTAAAACGATTAGAAAATTGTGTACTTAAACAGGTTTTAACTGAAAGAAAATGTTTTTATATCAACTTCAATTCTAGAAAAAAGAACTTTTATAATTTTGTTAATAATAAATAAATAATTTAAACAATGAAAGTTAAGGAAAAGTGAAAGAAAAAAAATAATGAGAGACATTTATTTTTGATTTTTTTTTTATAAGAGAAAGATTATTTGATTTTCTTTGAAAAAAATTCCAATTGTTTTATCCACAGTATCACTTAAAATTCTTTACTAAGCAGGATTCAAAAATTTCTTTATTGGATTTATCATTTCTCAGCATAATTTTTTAAGTATAGAGGTTCAAATTTTTCTTAATATAGACATTGTCCATATAATTGAGTGTCTATTGTATAGGGCTTCTTTATTTCGGTCAGGTAAAAAGGAAGTATCTTGACTTCTTTACTCATCGGAGAGATGGTAAAAAATATTGAGAGGCATTCAATATATATCCCGCCCGCCTTCCTAAAGAAAAAAAAAACCTATTCGTTGTGAAAAATCTCTATAAATAATACAAAGTCCTTCACGGTCAATAAATTATTTTTCAAGTTTTTCTAATTTTCTCCCAAATCAAAATCGAGAGCAATATTTTTCTTTCAATATAAATCATAATTTAATTCCAGGAAAGAAACATTTAATTTTTCTCAAAAAAATAGTATTTTCATAATGATAAATTATTATTTATAAACAATTATCCCTCCACCAGAAAATTGAAATTTACTTTTATATTAAATTGAAAAAAATTAAAAATAGAAAAATATTTTAAATAATAATAAATTTTTTTGCAGGTAATGAGGAGAAAAAAATGGAATTATTTGAATTAAACATGATGTCCACAAAATGAAATTAGGGGATTTTTAAATCAAGAACTGATTCTCTATACCGCAGTATTACTGAGAACAAAGAATAGTCGAGACTATATAACAGACACTAATTAGGTATAATTAATTTTTACATAGCTTCGAAGGAGTCGATTTTTCAAAACCTGAAAGAATACTTTCTCTTGTCAGGGCGAAGAATAGGGATTCGCTGGAATCGATATAAAGTCTGCTAAGATTAGCTTCTTAAAAAATCTAATAATTCTAAATAAGACTTTTCTGATAAATAATTTTTTTTTTTTAAATACGCAAAACTTTGACGTAATTTATAAATTAAAAATACTTTATCATTACCTTTTTGCAATACAAATGCAAAATATTCGTCACTATATATTAGAACGTACACAAAGTTTTGTAAATCGAGAAAAACTTTTTCTGTTATTGTTTCCTTTTTTTCTTTTTACACATACGTCAAGTGCGTCTATATGCCGCATCAATGGAAATATACGTAAGCAAAATGTGTAAATAATCTCTATGTGCGTTTATATATATATATATATGAATATTGAGAAAAGTTTCGAGTAGTCTCATCGCAGTTCGTGTAAAAAAGCAGCCTGTCACTCCAAATTCCTGAACGTCACAAATAGAGAGAGATTATATTTCTTTTTTATCCTTAGAAATGATCTAGTTATTCCCATTTTTTGTATATTTAGCACATTTATTAAAAATTATTTATTTTTGTTAAAATTGTTAAATAATGTTCATAAAGGAAAATCGAATTTTGTTTCTATAGATATATAAATTAATTTTCGTTCCAATTATTGATTCGAGTCGAAAACCTAATCAGGGCAATTAGAACTTATTTCCCACAAAGGGAGATGTAATGTGACAAAATACAAGTGACATTGGTTTTATATGAAGTAATGTCACACACTAAATCCCTCAGGACATTAATCTACATTTCAGAATTCATCAGGGAATCGATAATGAATTTTCTTCCTTCAAAATGAAACCTTTTGATCTGTCAGTATATTTTCTATATATATTGCCAAAGTGCTGTCCGCGAAAGAACAGATGTCAGTATAATTTGATCAATGTAATATACATTTTCATTAAAATGGAGTGCTAGAGAAATCCAATCAAGTTTGTTTTTTCCTCAATAGAAATAAATATATGCGCGGGAAAAACTTTCATACTGAAGACGATATGGAAAAATTTATTATTTCAAAAGTTTTACACAATTTCTTTTTACATTATCATCTGACGAAAGTTTGGATAATGAAAATTAAAAATTTGCATCGACAAAATTCGATATAAAAATATAAAATGTGATTAATTATTTTCTTATATCATAATTAATTCTCTATATATTTCAGATTCTGAGGAAACAATAATAAATTCTGAAATGGAAGAAGAAATTAGAATAGAAAATATCTGGATTCAAGAAAAATTAAATGTAATGAATTGGAGGAAGTGGAAATTTTCTGGAAGGTTTTTAATAATGAAATAATTTCGTCAATTTGAAAGAGTCGTTTACACTTCAAAAATAATTCAAGGTATTTTAAAGCTTTTACAATACTATTTGATATTTTTAAATAATTCTTCAAAATATTTATATTTCTATACCGGATATAATTCGAATTTTCCGATGTCATAGAAAATATGATTTATCAAACGTTTTTCATATAATTTCGATATTAGTAAAAGCAGGGATATTTTTTTCTGAAAGGTCCAAAAAAAGTAGAAAGGAATAGTATAAAAAAAAAAGTGAAAATACCGCACCCCTCAATATTAGGGCAACGTGCATCATCGTAAATGTCAATTAGTATCGAATTGTCCTCCCGAAATAATTCTGTTATTCTTTTAGTGACCACAGTTCATTTATGGATAACAAAAATTTGATATTTCCAATTTTTTTGATTATCCATAAAAAATTGTTCTTTCGTAAATTTGTGTGACAATTTTTTTTTCAAAATTTCCTTATTCTTCCTGTCATTTTTTCCGCATTTTTATTTCCCCTTTGCCAACGTCTGGAAAACATAAGTGTACTGGTACTTGAGAAAAAAAAAGTGCTGAACTACTTCCGCTCTTGGTGGGGTATATATGTGTATGAGGATTATAGACGCGGTGTGGCAATTGAGCAATTAATGTATCACGAAAACAATGCGATTGAAGCAACAAAAGCGCTGAAGGAAGAGAAAAAATTGCTTTCAAATTTACAATAATTGATAATTTAAAGCCATTCAATTTTTTAATATTTGCAAAAGTTTGCAAATGTTTAATCAGGTTTCGAATTTTAATATTAATTTTGAAAAAAAAATTCATTTCAAAAAAAAGGGAGTAATAGAATAAATAATGAAAAATTGATTCCCTTAATAGAGAGTAGTGAAATAAAAGGAAAATATATGCCCTGGACCCTCTTTGTGAAACCAATGCATATTCTATATATATATTTAACGGGGAAATATTGTCAAATCACGAGGGATGCAATCTTGTTGTACCTGTGGCCGTTGTGATAGGTGATAGAGTAAAAATCATGGGTTTCGATACGTTCAAAAAGTGGATAGTCGTGGCTTTTTTTTACGAGGAGATGCTAAAATTGAGGGGGATGAATCGGAGTGTAGTGGATAGAGAAAGGGACCTAGGGACGGAGGATATGGGGCTGAGGGTTGCGGATGAGAGGGCAGTCGACTGTGAATACGATAGACGATACCATAGAGTCGGCATCATGAGCAGAGCCGATTTTGTTGAGCAACTATATAATCCTTGTTCTCGTCGTGACTACCCTCGCGCGTGGATCCTCGACCCTCTCTTTCTCAACCATAGGCTTCCTGACTTAACTGAAATGACGACGACAACGACGACGACGACGATTTGTACGTTTCAATTGCCTCGACGATCATTTCAAGGCGTCGACTACATTGTTATCCCTTCCAACCATCTCAAAAGTCTCTTCTTGAAAGAATTCACCGGATCCCCCCTCTCCCCGACACACTCCCTCCGTCTTTTTCATCGAATAATAAATTAAGGAATCGAACCAATCCGATCTGCCAGGACCTCTCACTTTTCGTCCTCACAATTTATTCTAAACGCATAAAGAAACCTTTTCGTTCCTCTGAAAGGAATTTCGCGTTTAAAAATTCGAGGAATGCTTTCAGTTTATTGATAAATGATAGAATTACTTTTTAATTTGAATTTTTTGTTTTATTTCTATAATTTTTAATTATTGTTAAAATAATAATTATTAATAAACAATTAATATAAATTCAAAAAAAGTTATTAATCGATATAAATGGATAATTTAATAAGCTGAAATTAATATAAGAGAAAAAAAAACTTCTTTTCTCAAAGTTAACATTGAAATTTGTTTATTTTAATTTTTAATTATTTATTTTTTAACTTTGCGCCTGACAATATGCAACCGGATTTATCCCAATGCATACAAACCTAATAGAAAGATTATCAATAATAAAAAAAAATATTTGGCAATAAATATATAATTAAAATAAAATATATTTAAACACCTAAATATTCAAATTACAAATTAATTAATATTTGAAAAAAAAAAATTTGTTGCTTTTACCAACAAAGGGAAAATACATAATTTTATCGAGTTCCGAAACTTCCCATAGTTATATTATTTTAAAAAGATGTATTTTTAATCAATAAATTTATATTTTAAATTATAAAATATCGAAATATATACCAATATCGTAATTGATAAAATTAATCATATAAATACTAGTTTTTTTTGTAAATTCTTTTATTTTCGATTGAAATAAATTTGAAAAAAGAAAACATTAAAATATAGAGTAAATTCATTTTACTCAATATACACATTGGCTTTTTGCCAAACCACAAGTGCGAGCCATTAATGAATGGGGAGCTTATCAGTTGCTGAGTTCGCATTATACCGATTACCACGAGAGAAACGATTGCTTCAATTCAAAGCTATTTATCAAACCCCAGAAGTACCGTGACATTATATTTCAACGAAACCTAGTCATTCAATGATTACATTGACTTCCAATTTAATTGCGTTTTTTTTTATTGTCCTTAAAATAATAATTAATCGTTTTGGGTAATTAATTCTAATCTAATTGCAGATTTTAATCAAAAAATATCATTTTAAATTTGTTTGAGTTAATAATTTTTTAAAAATATTTTTCATTAATTAAATTATTTATTTTTTATAATAATATAATTAATTACATAAATAATTTTTTTCAGTATTAATGATTTTATTTTTTGAAAATTTTCAATTTCTTTTTTAAAAATGAATATTTACTAATAATTTTATCTGTATATTATAAACTTAATATTATCTTAAATATTTTTTCAACTTTTTAAACAATGCTACTTTTATATTTATTTCTTCAGAAAGAATAAAGTAACAAATATATTTTTATTTGTAATTAAATTCAAATGATCTGAAATTCCCGCTGTTTAGGATTCGTCAGAAAACTTCCACCAATTGACGTTCAGTATTTCTTTCCCTTTCACCAACTACGTCACTGATTCATTAAATTAAGAGATTCCATTTCTCTTTTTATTACGTCGTCATTTGAAAGTCAACCTTTCAATTTCGTATCATAACCCCTTCTCTCTTTTAATAAAAAAAATACGATAACAAACCTCTGATAACAATTGATTGTTGAAAAACATAAAGTTAGGTTACGTTTTCCTTACGAAAAAAGAATTGATTTCTCTTTCATATAAACAATTTTAATTTCCTTCTCTTCTTTCGATTAAAAAATAAAAATTCAACTGTAAAACAAACAGCGCATTAAGGAAGATTTAAAAAAAAAAAAAAACATTGCAAAAGCTGTGTCGATGATATTCAAATATGGCGGAAGGAGTTGTGTCGTCACTACAGTGCTGCCAGTCCGGAAGTATAACGCGGTGACGCTATAACTTGGCAGCTAGCTCCCTCCAAAAGTGCGCGTGCATTGGCAACATTGTTTTTTGGTAGTTTACAAATAAAATGGCCGATATGTGAAGCATATATTTTGTATGAAGAAATAAAATATGCGATTGCAGAAAATTAATGACCATCGGCCACTCGCGTCAGTGATTTAAAGTTAAAGCGACAAAGTGAAAAAACCAGTGATAATAACGTCGAGTGTTGGTGAGACTGTGGGAGTGCCGTGGGAAGAAGGTGGAGGTTGTCTTTTTAGAGAAACCGTGGACGCCGCGGGCCTCAAGACGAGACACGAAACGAGACAAAAAAAAATTGCCTAGGGGCCCACGATAACGAATAATTCATATGAATCAAACCGGCGTGCAATCAATTTCAATAGATGAGACCTTTTGTTACAAGAGACTCAAAATAAGTTCTTTGTAACAATTTTTTGAGAAGCTCTTCTGCTATTACAACTACTGCTGCCAATTGCCGCCGCTAAAACTCCTACCTTTTTTCCTCGTCGCTCAACACACGCTTGGATCTTCCTTTGCAATAATTTTCCACCCCCTTCTCTCTTTACCTCGTGCCAGACATTTTTCATTATCCATTTGTTATTTATTTTAGTGATTTCATCTGCTCCACTAACATAAAATTAGTTGCACGAGGTATTTGCGACTTGTTATTTGGAAATAAGCAGGGATTGCCTTTGATTTTCCACGCCACGCTCATTCGGGCGGAACTTTCAACCCTCACGCCATCCGGGCAGATATGATACCGATAGTGAAACCCCATCGCCGAGATACTGGAGTGTGACGGGTATCTTTATTTGGAGCCACTCAAGATATTTCCCGCCGACCAATTTGTCGTTGTGGAGCGAGTCGGCGTGGACAATGAATTGACAACAGTACTAGGTAAAAACAATCATGTGCTGAGAGAGAGAGAGAAAAGCGATTTTCATATTTTTTAAACAAACATTTTTTGCAATTTATTATGGATTTTTAAATTAAATTTAAATAATTGTTACATGCAAAGAATTGTCTACGGGTGTTTTTTTTTAAAAACTTTGTTTTGAAATTTCAAACTTATTATAATTCATTATCAAATGGAAATTGCATATCGCTCTTTTGGTAATAACAATAACATAATGAGCAAAACAATAAGCAGTTTTCTCTCATAATTATCTATTTAAGGTTATATTTTTCAGTTTAATTATAATAACAAATTATCAACACCCGTCAATGGTTTTCCGAATTTATGTCCGTAATTATCTTTATTAGAAGAAAAACAATTATACATGATTTCCTTCTTTTTTAAAAGTAAATGTGTTTCTTAAATTCTGAATATTGAAACATTAAATTGAAATTTTCTTCTAAGTTTAAATTATTAACTTTAAAAGATGTTATTGATATTCAGAATATGAGGTACATTTTATTATATAATTGTTTGGACTAATAATTAAAATATTAGATAAAAATCCATCATATTCATAACTCATTAGTTAAAATAATCAAAAAACATTTTCATTCATTTTTTGGCATAATCATAATTTAAAAATAATCAGTGGCCTTGAATTTTAGAAATCATTTTTCGCCTACAATCTCTCAACTTAAAAATTTGTTTTTTTAGTCAACCAATGTTGATCATTAGACGCTAAATATCGACTGATTAAGGAGAAAAATTAGACTTCAGATTTTGTAGGCATAAATTCACTAAAATGCAAGGTAACTATGAATTCTTTCAAAGAAAAAGACAATAAAATATATATATATATATACCTTTTGTGCATTTTAATGATATCAGTAAAGCTCGCAACGTTTGTAAAATTTCAAAAAATGAGTGAAAATAAAAAAATGTTTGAATAGAAAAGCAAGTTTAATAGAATAAAAAAAGAAACGTTGTGAACTTGATATTTTTGTATTTTAAATAGAGAAAACTAAAATAAAATATTTAATTCAACAGAGACGGAGGGGCCCACTTCAACAGCGGCTAGTCAAACTAATAGTTCGATTACACCGCTGACGAATATGTGTACCACTCCTGGTAATGCTGGCACTGGATTCGGTTATGCATGGTCATTCGGTGGACCCGGCACTGAGACACGTGAAAGCAGCCAAAATGATCTCACGACGAATATCAGCTATGCGGTTAACAATAATCAGGATCAGGGTTCAAGTCAAAAAATCCAAGTGGACATAAAACCACCAAAGGTTGCCAATAACGCTCATCGTCGTACAATGTTCACAATGAATGAGAATTGTCAACAAACCCCAACGACTCATCATGGTCACACAGGAGCACATAATCAAACAACACACGTTACACACGTGCGAACCAAAAAGCATCACGATGTATTTTCATTGACATGCGATAAAGGCGGTTGTAATTGTGATGCTGCACATCCAACCACTCAACCTTCATTATTTCCAAATACACTAGTTTTTACAACAACCGATAAGCATGCAATGAGTAAACATTTTATGACACCAATTGGTCCGCTGCAACTCACCGCGGAAGAGTGCAATGATATTCTAATGAAGAGGGCTGCAGCCGCCTCAAATCAACCGAATCCCAATAATGTTGCAGCTAGTCAAACCGATAATACAACACATTTTGGCCATGTTCTCACACACGTGAATACAACACAAATTGAAACCAAGGTGAAGACGCAACAAGATATGGGCAGTCAGGTACGTGTACCAAAAGAAAGACCCTATTCATGTTCCGAGTGCGGTAAATCATTTTTACTGAAACATCATTTAACAACACACGCGAGAGTTCATACTGGCGAACGTCCTCATATTTGTGTCCATTGTGGCAAAAGTTTCGCGCACAAACATTGTCTTCATACTCATCTTCTTTTACATAGTGCAGAGAGACCATATCAGTGTCGTGAATGTAAAAAATCTTTTACATTGAAACATCATTTAGTGACACACACTCGGGTACATACGCGTGAACGGCCGTTCGTTTGTCAAGAGTGTGGACGTGCATTTCCATTGAAACGTCATCTAGTGACACATAGTAAATTCCATTCAGGCGAACGACCATTTGTTTGTGAGGAGTGTGGCGAATCATTCTCGCAAAAAGATCATTTAACAATGCACTCGCGCTTCCATGGGAGTTTACATCCATTTGTTTGTCATGATTGTGGAGCAACATTTCAGAGGAAATTTGAATTGGTCAATCATGGACGATTACATGGACGTGTACCACATTCTTGTAATGTTTGTGGTAAGGAATTTTTACAAAAGAGAACATTGCTGGCACATATGCGATTGCACACGGGAGAAACGCCTTTTGCCTGCACTGTTTGTGGTGAAGCATTCCCAAGGAAGGCAGACCTAGTCGCGCATTCGAAAATTCATAATAATAATACTGATGTTGATGAAAAAGCACTCACTTGCAGGTATTTATTTTATTTATTTCTTTTTTTTATTCAGAGAAAAATAAGGGATTTTTATTAATAACAGATTTTCAATCATTCAAATTTGTTTTTGAGAAAAAATAAGGGAATTATTCTTTAAAGAAACCAGGAATTAAATAGTCCAAATTTAAATATTTGTTAGTCATGAAAGAAAAATCAATATTTTCTTTTTTTTTAAAAGAATAACAAAATTAACGAGGCTTCAAAGGAAAATGTTATTTTATTACTATAAAAATTTACGCTAAAATAGCTTTTCACACATTACTGATGTTATTTTATTTTCTATTTTTATTATATTCACTAAAATTTTGTCATATCTTTTTTGTTTCAGGATATTTGTTTTATTTTTGAAAATATTTAAATCTGATTTTTTCCTTTTTAGTCATTATATTATTTTCTGATTAGATTAACTTTTGTTTACTCAACTAAAGTAATGATTATTATAAAAAAAAACTGTTAAATGATATCTACTAATTGAAAAATGAATTTTTCCAGGGAATGCGGTTTGGGATTTCAGAATCGAGAGGCACTTACGTTGCATTTAAGGTTACATTCAGGTGATCGGACATTGGTAACAGATCTCTGTGGTTTAGCAGCTGCCTTCCAACAATCTCCAGGACACTTCCTTACTCCAAATACATCTGCAACTCATCAGGTAACTAACTATCAACAAGTAAAGTCCAATAAACACTGATTTTAATAATAAAAGACGGTGCATCACGTTGAAACTAAAAGGAGGAGCATTTACAGATAAATGGACCGATTGGGACACCAAGTGTGAGTCATATGCATGGTGCGACGCAAACATCACCACCATCAGGCTCTGGACCAAAACCAAAGCCCCACGTGTGTCCCGATTGTGGTCGTGGTTTTGCCCAAAAACATGGTCTTTCACAACATCAACGACGTCATTCGGACGGCAGTTGTCATATAAGGTCACATGTTTGTGACAAATGTGGGAAAGCCTTCTTTCAAAAAAATCATTTATTACTACATCAACGTCAACATATGGACCCACCACCAAGTATACTACGTCAACAGCAGCGACAAGCTGCTCAGGCTGCCGCACAAGCCCAACAAAATCAACAACAGGCGCAGCAAGTTCAACAACAAAATCAACAACAACAAACGTGTACTGTTGACACAAAATCTATTCAATTACAAGCCATACAACAACAAGTGCAACAGCAAGTTCAACAACAGGTTCAACAACAAGTTCAACAGCAACAACAACAGCAGCAGCAGCAGCAACAACAGCAACAGGCTTGTGCGGTAGACACGAAAGCAATTCAATTGAACGTCACCATGTGAGACGATATCGAAAATCGGGATTGGAATATCCCAAATTCAGTAGCACTCGAAAATGCGCACTCTGCTGCCACCCTCTGCACGCACTTCTCTTGTACTAACATTACACAATAGGTATATTTATTATCTCTAGAAAGCAAGTACGAAGTAATCAATTTTATTACAAGAGTATATATATACAAAGTATACATATTATATTCTAATAATGTAAGGCTTGTAACAAGAAAAAAAAATAAAAATAACCATATATTAGTGTTTTACAATATACTTTATAGTATATATCATTTAATTATATAGAAATGTAAAATGAACTACTAAACAGATTAGTTGCCTTATCGAGAAGAATTTTTAAAGATTATTTTAACTATTGTTTGGTGAAACCTCTTTTTTTAATTTACTTTTAATGATTGTAGGATATCAAGTTTATAAGGTAAAAAAAAAAATCAATGATAATATTGAAATAAAAGAGGAAAAGAAAATAAAGCAGCCAGTTCTGTATTATTGGAATAGTTGCATTTTTGTCGTCCTTCGCGTTGCGTATCGGTTCTGTGTGTGAATTTAGAATGTATTGACCGTGTGAATGATTTGGAAGGAAACAAACAATGAGAAGTGGGATTAAACAGAGGGTGGCAGATACTGTGCACTTTTTTCTAAGAGGTATCTTGAAACGTAAGGCCTGTTTTTGTTCTTTTTTTTGAAGAAAAAAAAAGAAAAAACGTTTCATTGTTACGATTATAAATCGTATACAAAAAAAATGCAACGGGTCGTCCCAGTGATTCTTATTGTTTTGTTTTTTAATTTTTTCATCGTGTTCCTTATTCGCTTTGCAGTTTTTTCTTCGACGAGCTTGAATGAAGATTTTTTAAAAATAAACGATATATTATAAAAATTAAACAGTAAACAAAAAAGTAAAAAATCTATATCCCTGCGATTTTACATAAATGCACAATTGTGTGTATATATTTGTTTTTCATTTCAAATTTATCATCACATTTTTATTTTGTCATTGTCAAAAGAAAAGAAAACTTAGGCATTTGAATGTATTTCAAATAATTTGGTTTTTTTTTTATTTTTTTCATTAAAGAAATCTTCGCTTTTGCTCTGAAGTGAATTATGTTTGTAAAATTTTCTTACATTTCCGCGTGACTTGAAATAGTCTTGGATAAAAAGGATGAAAAAATTTCTCTTTTTAAACGGCAATTTGAATAGATTATGTACATTTCAAAGAGAATAGTCACTCAAGTTATTTCAATAGAGTGAGAAGATTTTTTAATAATTTTGTATTATACATAGAGAAAATTTATTATGTGGCGCAAAAAAAAGAAAAATTTTTATTGTGAATTTTTGTACAATGTATCGTTGACATTTTACCGATATAATTTATATCGTTAATTATTAATGATTATTACAATTAATTAATAATTTATGGTATAATGTCAAATTTATATTGTATAATGATAAATAATAATTATAATGATAAGAAATAATATTAAAAATAATGAAACAAAAATAATTAACAACAAATGAGAATAAAGATTTTCTTGAAACAGCTGCAAAATTTTATTATGAATGACAGTTGCGCTACTTTTGAGAAATATTTTGTTGTTTCAGGATAAATCTTTATTTTCGTCTATTCAGATAAATGAAAACATTGGATATTTACTGGCCAATATTTACTGTATTTGTAAATATAGTGAAAAAAAATGGATTAGGAGTTCTTTTTACTTTATTTTTTTTTCCAAGAGTATACGGATTCTTTTTTCAAACTGACAACGTCCGTTATTTATTTGTATTTTATTTTTCTACAAAGTTAAAACGCTGATCGTTTTCATATTATATATATCATGTAAATGAGAGTCAATCGATGGTCAATGTGCCATTAATAATTATCTTTATCTTAATATTAATATATTAGTCGTAATCTTGAATCTTTTTCAATGTGTTAGAATCAAATAGAATAATTGTAAAGATTTTTCTGTTTTTTTTTTTTCTTTTTGAAAATAATTTCTATTTTACAAAAGAAAAAAAGAAAATTTATCATTATTCTAATTTGATTCTAAATAATAAAAAAATAGGGGCCATATATATTTATCAAAATAATTTGAATTTTATATTCTTGTTTTATTGGAATTTTCTTTTTTTGAGTCTACGTAATTTCGTTGATTTTCTTTTTATCCAAGCCTATCGAATTTTAGCCATTGACCTTGACTTATTAGTTGTACATTTTTTTTTTTAATAAATAAAGAACGGGTGTATGAATACGAGAATCCTTTTTTACGTATTCTACAAGTGCGTAGTAAGTATATATATATATTATATACATATATGCAAATCTCTGGCGCTGTGCTTGTACAAAAAGGCGTGAGATTCATCAAGACGATCAATCGATAGTATGACATAGCGTTATTCTGTTGTATTTCATTTATCTGATAAATAAATAAAGTTTGTTTCTTAATTTTTCCTTAATTATTTTCAAATGCAAATATGTATAATGATTTCATTGACATTATATTTATTTATCGGTTTATTAAAATTAAATAAATTAAAAAATAATTTTTAAATAATGAAATTACCTTTAATGTATGAATATTTCTTTCTTTATTTTGAATTATACCGCGCAAACTTTTAAAATGGACGTCGTTTGTACCGAGCGTTCATTGGTTGAATTTTGTTTATCTGCGCGTGGCGGGACCTTTTAATAATAAATCAATTATACAATACTTGAAACAGTAAAATTCAAAGTTTATTTTTATGGTTACAAAAACAATACATTATGTGGAAAGTAAGTGATTTCATTTTGGTTATAAACTGAATTGAATTAATTTTAATTATACTTTCATCAAAATAAAATTTAATATTTCAACGATAATGGATTTGAAATTAATTAAAAAAAAGAGAAATAATTTAATTAACTGTATAGATTTAAAAAAAAGAGTAATCAGTAGGTTTTTTTCACACTTTTTACCGGGCGGCGTAATTATAAAATAAAATAGTTGATTATTATAAAAATTCAATATTTACTTTCCTCAATTTTATACCGCGCGCATGCGTTTCATATATTTTTCAAAGAAATGAGAAAAAAATACATTTTTAATAATTTTTTTTTAGATTTGTGTTTATTAAAACAGTTTTTAATTTAATTATAATTTATTTGTCGAATAAATTTTACAATGAATATTTTTATGATTCTTGCCAGTGACAGCTGCTTACAAGTGGGTGCCGATCGATTTGAACTCAACGCACGCCCTCTTTTCACCTCTTCTTCTTCAATATACTCCAAAAATCAGTTAGTGCCACCGCTTTGCCGATATTAGATGTTCTACACTGTGATATTGTAATATTTTTGTGAAATGATGATTTAAACAGATATTAAAAATCGTATACAATCGATTCAAGTGATAAGTTCAAAGTGTCGCTTTGTACTTTTTTTTTTATTTGAATATGAATAATTGAAGACATTGTCACGCCCAGGTATTTTTTCTTTCATTATAGATATTAAGAATTTTAATTAAAAATAATAGATTTTTTTGTTTATTAATAAAAAAATAGTACATGTTATTATTATCAATTGAAGATTTACTTTAATTAATACTAGCGATAGAAAAGTTTGTTTTTTAATTTATAGAAAAGATATTTTTTCTCTTTAGCTAAAGTTGCCATACGGATATACGAATAGTGAAAAAAAAAAAATTACGCCTTTTACAAATAATAATCGAAAAAAGCTAATTTATTGTCAAAAATGTTTTTAATTTAATAAAATAGAGAATTTTAATTAATTTTCCATATAATACTTTTCGGTTTGAAAAAAAAAATATTTATTTATTAATGAAACACTTTATTATGGTCTAATAAAAGTTTTTGATAATAATAATAATAAGTAGTAATATAATAATAAAAAAAAAGTAACTTATGAAAAAATAATTTATTATTCAATGGAAAGAACTTTTTTTTGGGTGCGTCGTAGAAAATTTATTATTGAATACTTGACGCTTCAATCATATTTAATGTGTGTCAACTTAGGGTTGATAGAGAGCATCTTCGCGTTTCAATATCCTTTATTCTCTGAATGAACGGATGATTTCAATAGTTCAATTCTATTTTAACTAAAATGTCACATACGTAGAATTCCATTTCATATTTAATATCCTTTTAAAATGATTAGTAAAAGAAAATTTATTAATTTTTTATAACAATTTTTATTTCCCTTTCCGGTTAAAAAAATCCATAATATCAAAAATGATTTTTTTTTTTCATTACATATTAGTAATATTATATATGGAGTTTATTAATTCCACTATTAATTAATTAGTAATTTTTTATTTTAAATTTATAATCAAAAATACAATTTTATCCAATACAATAATATTATAATAAAATTAATAGCAAATTATTTTCAATATTTGGTATAAATATTATAATAATGTGTTACATAAACTAATTGGGTTTCATCAATAATAATTAAGCATCTAGCTTAATTGTCATTTTAGTATAAATAAGAATAAGAGATTTTCTTATAGGAAAATCCATGGGCCGTAAAAGGTGGTGGCGAGGAGGTTTGTGGGAGCTTATGTTATTGCTCTCTACCTTTAATCGTGTTATTGTAGGTGACGATGAAGTAGGTTTGTATTTTTATACACAGATTTAATTAATGATATCCAAAAATTTATTACTATAAATAAAATAAAAATATTATTGGTAATTGAATTACTATTTTAAATATATTTATATTTATTGAAAAAATTTATTTTAAAAAAATATTTTTTTTTTGAGAAATTTTGATAATAGATTTATATAAATTTTTTTTTTAATTTAATATTTTCTTTGTTTTTGAACGTTGTTGAAAGGCCTTTAAATCATAATATTATTTTTTTATCAGTATACATTTCAACGGATACATTGTATAAGATTTGTGGGTGTAAATATATGTATAGGAAATAATCCGGTACCATTCTAGTTTCATCAACCCACGCATTTTTCTTTAACATCAGTAGTATTATCGAACCGTACTTCCCACACACAGTGTGTTTTAACGTCATCTTTTCAATATAACCACCCCTTTTTGTATATACAACACACACACACATATCATATTTCATTATAAATTTGTGAATAATAAAAAACAAATGGGGAGATAAAATATTAAAATTTAGGTTTTTATTATTTTTTAATTAAATTAATTTTCAAATGTTATATAAAAAAAATTTTATATATCTTTTTATATTAAAAAATTAAAAATATATTAACATTATGTTTCAGGCTGTCTGTTTAGTAAAAATTTATGTGCACCGGAAACTTGTTTCAATGGTATGGATTTTATATCGATTTTTTTTTTGTTATAATAAATAAAAATAGAATAATTATTTAAAAAAAAATAATTTTACTGTTCAGATTTGGCGTTTGGACGATGTATACCTTTTTACATAGACGAAGGACTTAAAGATTTGTATCAGTAAGTTATTTGATAAATATAAATTTTATTCTTAAATTACAGAAAAAAATTATTATTGTAAATATTTATAATTGCGTTAATTTGAAAATAATTTGCGCAAAAAGAAAAAATATTTAAAAATTGTAGATATAATTTGGAAATAGAAGATTTGGAATTCCTAAAATTGCAACTTGAAAGACTTGAATCCAATGGATATAAATGGTCTCATCCATATACACAATGTATAATACAAAATTCATTACTCAATATTCGTTACAGGTTTGTAATTTCAGGTCCTATTTATTTAGATTCATAATAATTATTGTTAAAAACTAAATAAAATTTTTTAGATTGGACAAAGACCTAACATTTTGCGAGTATTTAAGCTCACAAACAGATAGTCAATTTATGGATAGAGAGAAAGAAGTTGATGATTCTGAGAATATAGTAAGAATTATTTGATGAATTTTTGTTTAAAAAACCTTTTTTTTGAAATTTATTTTTTATCATTATTATTTGCAGATTAGACCAATTGCTGTAGTAAAATTTACTCCTAGTGAATTTTATCCCCATGGAGATTATGCTGATGAATTATATTATCCACCTGAAATTGGTGAAAAGCCAAGTCGACATTTAAAAAATTTGCATTCATCAAGTTTTTCATCTCCTTCACTTTATCAATTTCCGTCCTTAAATGATGAATTTTCAAATGATCCATATAAAAATGAGAGAAAATTAAAGAGAAGTATTTTGGAACTTGTTGATAATGATGATGATGATGATAATTATTATCCGTCTCAAATTAGACAAAATCCCTCTTTATTCATTTCACCAAAACAAATACATATTTCAAAAAATATTATGAAACGAGTATATGATGATGAAGAAGAAGAAGAGGAAGACGAGGAAAATTTATATAAAAGAAAATTGGATTTAGAATTTTTGAAAAATAACATGAGAGAGGTAATTTTTTTCTATAAAAAAAAAATAAAATAAAAATTAAATTATGTGAACATTAAATAAGAATAATAAAATTTTGAATAATTTTCAAGCATCAGCAAAGTGTGTTTCGAAATATTCCCAAGGATATTTATAAAGTCGACGAGGATGATCCAATATCTACTAATGTTAAAGAAATAGAATTTTCTGATGAAAATAAAGAGAATCAAAATAAATATAATTTAGCTGATATTCCCATGGATTTTCTATCAGATTTAAGTCAAGTTTACACAGAAGATGATGTTGTACCTTTGCAGAATGATAAAATTGAAACACCTGGTTTGTTTTTTTTTCCTATTATTTAAAATTTATATTATTGTTAGACATTTTACATTGTTTTTGTTTTTACAGAAAATCTTGATTTAACATTTGATTTAAATTCTGATTTATGGGATCGTGAACTTGCTGGTTTTAAAAGAAGAGAACGACTGGATGTTAAGAAACCAGGCCCAGCTTTTGCTGTGAATCAATATAAATTGAAATCCAAATTTACGCCACGTTAGTTTTCTTTTAATAGAAATTAATAATTTTTTATAACACGGTTAATCAGAAATGTTTTTTTTTACAGATTTCAATGAAGAGAATCAAGATGAGGAAAATGTGAGTATTTATTTTGTAAAAGAAGATTTTTATGACGTTTCAATTTTAAATTTTATTTTCAGGATAAATTGTATGCACCGCAATCTAAAAAAGAATTAGGTTCAATATCTCACAATATAGGACAACAAATTGATTATAAAAATGTTGATTTAGATCATGTTTATATCGATTTTGAAGAGCCTATAAATGTTTGGATGAAGGGTTCACATATTATAAACGAGGTATTTTATCAAAAGATCATTTACCTCTAAACAAGGTAAATTTTGATTTGTTACCATAAATGTTTATATTTACAGGTAGAAAAACTGGCAGGCCTAAATAAAGGAGATTTAAATGATATAAGAGTTGAAAATAAAGAAATAACTTTTAAAGTAAATCACAATAATAAGAATATTACTGCTCTTGATGTTGTGAAGACTATTGGTAAATTTTTCAGTTTTATACGAAAAAACAAATGATGAATTTATATTTTAATTTAATAATAATATTTCAGAGAAATCTCGAAGCACATTGGAAGAGACATTTGGAGTGAATATTGTCAGATCTGGAATTGGCGATAAGGTGAGTTTTTATTTTCTAATTTTTTTTTTTTTAAATAAAAAATAAATTAAATTAATTATAGGCAAAACTTCCGGCAATGTTTGAAATTCGTCAAGAAGTGAATCCAATTATGTTTGGTGCTATTGTTGCAATGGGAGTTGCGGCAGCAATTGCTGGATGCACAGTATTTCTTGTGACAGCGCGACGTCAAGCAAAATATCGCGCTAAACTTGCTGGTTTAGCTGCACCTGATCCTGAAGCATCAAAGGATTATCAAGAACTTTGTCGCGCTCGAATGCAAGCAAAACAACACGCCGATAATAAGCAAGATTCACCACGAATATTCCCTCTATTAGGACGTATCAGTGAATCAAATAATTCATCATCTAATCGTTCCAGTACATCGTCATGGATTGAGGAATCAGCGCTGACAAATATGGATATATCAACAGGACACATGGTTTTAGTGAGTTTTTTTTTTAATTTTATAAAATAATTCGATATTAAAGTTTTTTGATAATTCTAAAAAATTTAACAGTCTTACATGGAGGATCATTTAAAGAATCAGGATCGTTTAGATGAAGAATGGTTGAGTATTTGTGCATATGAAGCAGAGCCATGTTCAACGGCAATTGCTGAAAAGAACGATAATGCGAAATTAAATCGTCCAGGTGCTTCATTGCCTTACGATCATTCGCGAATTGTTCTAAATGATCTTGCCAATGTGAACAATTCTGATTACATTAATGCTTCAACAATTGTAAGTATTTTTTTTTTTTTGATAAATTCAAGTATTTTAATTTACGTTTATGAGAATATTTTTTTTTTAGACCGATCACGATCCTCGAAATCCAGCGTATATTGCCACTCAGGGCGTAATGCAGGAGACAGCATCTGAATTTTGGCAATTGGTATGGGAACAAGGTAGTGTTGTGATTGTAATGTTGACACGATTAACTGAAGAAGGAAAGGGAATGTGCTATCGTTATTGGCCCGGTGAGGGTTCGGAACTTTATCATATCTATGAGGTTCATTTGGTCTCTGAACATATTTGGTGTGACGATTATCTTGTACGTTCGTTCTATTTGAAAAATCTTCGCACAGGCGAAACACGAACTGTCACTCAATTTCATTTTCTCTCATGGCCAGAAAATGGAGTTCCACATTCCACGAAAGCTCTACTCGAATTTCGAAGGTATTTATTTAAAAAAAAAAATGCCCCTCATTAATAATTTACAAACGTATTTATTTTCAGAAAAGTCAATAAATCATACAGAGGCAGATCGTGTCCAATAATTATACATTGCAGGTAAAATGATTAATAAAGATAAATAATAATTTTTATAATTAGATTTTAATAAATTTTTGTCGTATACTTTTTTTTCCACAAAAGTGACGGAGCTGGTCGAACTGGCACATATTGTTTAATCGACATGGTCCTAAATCGAATGGCAAAGGGTGCTAAAGAAATTGATATTGCCGCAACTTTAGAGCATATCAGAGATCAAAGGCCTGGAATGGTGTCAACTAAACAACAATTTGAATTTGTCCTTATGGCTGTTGCCGAAGAGGTACACGCAATTTTAAAAGCTTTACCTATTCCATCTAATGAAAAATCATCATCTTCCACTGCTATAAACAATAGTCTTCCTTTATCTTCAAATTCAGAACAGTAAATATCATTATTAATAATTTGATTTCAAAAAAAAAGAATAATTAAATATATTGTTGTCTCGTGTCTCTATTAATTATTATTGTCATATTACAAAAAATTTATTTTCATTATTTTTTTCAAGATCATGAAATTTCGATATTTTTATTTAATTGCAGAAAATGTTTTTAATTAAGGGAATTTTATGAAAAGAATTTTTTTTTTTAAATTTAATGCACAATTTATATTTAATAAGAGATTTGAAAAAAAAATTTTATATATTTTTACAATTTTTTTTTAATATTAAATCTTATCGACTTGTAGAATTTTATTCTAATTTCTGTCAGTCAGAAATATTTCTGTGATCTCATTTACTATTTCATTTTTTACTTGATTTTATAAGGGATTTATTTTTTATTTTCAATTTATTTATTTAGGTAAATAATATTTAATAGTAAAATTAATTTTTAATGTAACTTTTAATAGTGAAAATGTTATTAATCTTTATTTTCAAATTAATATTGTAATGAGAGAAAAAAAAGAGAGAGTTAATTCAAAATTGTTCTAGTACCGCATGAAAAGTTGAATAATTTTATTATTTATATAAAATTAAATCTTCAACATTCCATGCGGAATTTTATTAAATGAGAAAATTTCACCTATAACTCTAAACAATGAAAACGGATATAATTGTAACTGAATGTATTATTATTTTTTAATTATATTATGAATATTTATAACTGTGAACGTAAATTAAGATCGCTACTGAATTTCTACATGGTATTTAAAAAACAAAGAAAAAACTTATAATAAATATTAAATATACAAATATTATATATATATATATGTCAATATACATAAATGTATGTGTATGTATATACGATTGTATTGAAAGAAATTTGATAATTGAAGGTAAAAGAATTAGTTTTGCTCATATAGAAGACTTGTTACAGATAGTAAAAATTATTTTTTGTCTTTAAATCAATTTGAATTATTTTATTTGCTAATAAATTAATTAGTATATTTATATTATTATCGAAAATCGCATGGAAATTTTTTTTTTTATAGTGGACTCAATTATCTTTATATAAATACAGTTAAACCTAATTAAATGAGATTTCCCAGTTAACGAGGTTCGACTGTATTAAAAAAATGTTTAACCGTCATAGGTGTGTGAGTGGTTTTTTTTCATTGGAAAATATGAGTATCTCAGATATGTGTTTAAAAGAAATGGAAACGAAAATGCTTTATATCAACAGAAAAAAAAAACAAAATTCATAGAGACTAAAATTTAAATTATATTCTATCATAAATATATATAAAGCTCTCGTGTCATTTAAGTGAATGAGGATGACATGCACTTAAAAATATCTGTCGCAGTACAACTTCTTCAATAAATTTTATTCCATAGCTTCCCTTATTCCGGAAGAAGTGCTGACAGAATCTTTTTTTTTGCGCATGTATATATTATATATACAAAAACAGTCATATTAAGAATCAAATGAAGACGCTTATGTATGTACTCAAAAAAGAAAAAAAAACGATAAAAGAAAGTCATGATTCATTTTATTTTAATATATAATTTGAGAGATGTAAGCGCCTTAAAATGGTTCAGATATCAAATAACATACTTTTTTTTTGCTTCTAATTAGCCTCTCTAGCATCAAGCTAAAAAAAAATTCTATATTTTTGTGTAAAATGAAATATAATATATAAAATATAATTAAATATAAGTGAAAAAAAGTCTATATACGATATGTTATTCAGAAATATAACAATATGTTGTAACTGAATAAAATAATCTATGTTCAATAAATGTGAAGTAAATTCATTTCAATTACTTTTGAGTTTAAAAAAAAAACAATTTCCCTTTTGGTATTGGCAATAAAATCAACAATACATTATTTTAATAATTGTAAAGAATATATTTACAGATAATTGTATTTTAATTATGAAAATAGTTATTTATAGGAAAATAAAAATTTAATTTAATTCTTGTAATCTGCGCTATTTTCTTTTTATCATTATCGGCAGTATTAAAAATGTCAGGTACTTTATTTTTTTTCTCGTTCAGGTAATGAAGGACAAAGTGTATCGGGAAAAGCTGGATCCCAAAAACCTGAAACAAAATATCTTCTTTAAGAATCGCGGTGATTATAAAAAAGTAAAAATGGGGTGGCCACCCTGAAAAATAAATTTTTTTTTTTACTTCATACCTGGTGGAGTATAATAATAAGGATCGAATTTTGCCTTATGACGAGAACACTTTTTCATATATTCTTTAAGTTCATTCTCAGGAAGATTGAGTTCTTCATAATACTGTAGAAAAAAACATTTTATTAATTCATATTCATTTTTATTAATTTAAATATAAATTACCTTTTTGCAATCCCAACATGACCATCCATTAAGTCGTGCTCTTTCATTTTTCCGTCTAATAACCTGATCATCATACGCATATTCTGGAATGCATTTTTTCTTTTCAGAAATCCTGTAACAAAAACAATAAAAATATTCATGTTCATATAAAAATTGACATTAAAAAAAAAAAAAAATATTTACTTATCGAAATTTCTCATTGGAGGTCGTTTTATTTTTGGACTAGTTATTTCTCTTGAACTTCCTGGTTTAGGTGATGTTTTTTCTATTTTTATATCATTTTCATATTCTCCAGGTGAAAAGAATGTTTCATCATCCATCATTGTTTCATTGACATGAGTCTTATTTATTTGATTGTAATCTAGAAAAATTATATTTAAACAAAAAAAATAAACAATATTGTAAAATGTTTTAACATACCTTTGTGAGAATTTTCTTTTAAAACAGATGCTTTTTTGATAAAACCAACAAGATTTTTTCTTGCTACTCTGTGAGTAGTTTTTTTCTTCATTAAATGATGATCTTCTTGAAAACTAAAATCCGTATCAGAATCAGAATGATGCTTCTTTGGAGATAAAAATTGTGTTAGCGAAGCCTCTGGTTCATAACTCGAATTAATTTGAGAAATATTGTCTTTAATTTTAATTTTATTTTCCTTGGCAGGGCTAATTTTTTCAAAAACACATTCAATTGATTTAGTAATTCTTTTTGGTGTTGACGAACCCAATGTTGTGTCAATTGTTGATTTTGAACTTGCAAATGTCTCATCCATATCAATATCCATATTTTCAACATTTATATTGGAATTAAATAAAGACGTGTCAAATAGTGAATCAATTGTTCTATTTTCCGCTTTTGATGTTATATTTGTCTCTTTACTAATGTCTGTTTTCTCTTCGTCTGTTATAAATATAAGTTTCGTTTGTTTCAATTTATTTCCTTTACATGACATTTTCGAATTAACATTATATAAATTAGAGACACCTAATTTTTGACTAGGTTTTAATTTAGGACTTGTAAAAATATCATTTTCCTTCACTGAAGAAAAAAGTGATATATTCATATTTGACAAATTATTATCATTAGCGGATTTTGGAATTTCAGTAATTTTCTCCTTTTCAATATTGGGATAAATTTTACAAGAAAAATTCTTCTTCCCTCGAATTTTATTTCTTGAAAATACAGGACTTTTTTGTATTTGACTTTCGTTATTGTTTGAATTTAATTTTGATTCTTCAAATTGTTTCATTAAACTATGCTCAGATTCAGTATCAAACTGAACAGAAAGTATTTCTGGTATTTCATCTAATAGTAAATTATTTTCAACTATTTCTTGAACATCAAGATTATCTGGAGTTGATTTTTCTATCACATTATTGCATTCTATCATTGAAATGTCATTTTTATCTTCCGCAATTATTTCTGTTGTATCATGTACTCTGAAAATTCATAATTGAATCAAAATTTTCTTTTTTTTATCATAAGTAAAAATATAATACTTACTCTTTAATGCTGTCATTTGTTTTTGTAGAAGTAACACTAGTATCATCTTCTGATTGATTTGATAATTTACAATTTTTATGCGCTTTTCTTTCCTTTAGTAATTCTGCAATTAAAAAAAAAATAAGACACTTGTAAAAGTGTATTGTATGTTGTATTGCTAATACTTTAAAGTTTTCGTTTTGTAAAATATTGAATATATTCTCTAAGGTAGGAGAAAGTTAATTATACTTACTTCTGAATTGTCGTCTTAATGATTTTAAAGTTTCATCAAATTTTTCCAATAATTTCTCCTGTTCATTAACATCTGACAAAAGGCTTTCAGATAAAAGCATTTTTAAATTTCGTATTAATAGGTTAAATTTGATATTTTTAATGTTTTCTATTGTTTAAAACGATTAAAACTTTTTTTTACATTCCATCTTTATAAAATTATGCACAAAAGAATATAATTACAAATCTAAGAATGCAATTCTTAGAAAATAAACAATAACAAACAAAAAGAATGTTGTGACATATATAAACAAAAAAGAAAATAGATAAGCAACTCAAAGGGTCATTAAGCTGTGTCCACAAGTGATTTTACAGTATGTAACACTAGTTTACGTTCTTCTTTGTATGAACGCTTAACTTCTCAACCCTGTTTCCGTAAAAACAAAAAAGTTTCAACTACTTGTATTTTCGTTTGACGTTTTATTTATTTGATGTTAAGAATGGCTGTCAAAGAAAAACAATCGGACTCCACTGAGGAAATCGAGTGGAATGTGGAAAATGAAATTCAATTATTCTTCGCAATGAATGGTCACAAACCAGTTGGTAAGTTAATAGCGATAAAATTCTTTTCTCAAGATTCATTTTAATTTAGAGGTTATCTCAATTCTTTTCTTATTGACAAGAATTCTAATTTCAACAATATTTAACAGGAGTAAATAAATATTTCCACATGGTTTGTATTTGGGAGAAATTTCGAGCTGCTATTCACAAGGAAGTGTCCTTGAAAACAATTTGGGATCATCTGGAATCAATGTATGATTTAATGTCTCTGGTATGTTTACAATCTTTTCTTTTTTTTTTCTTTATCATATTAGAGAATATTAAATTTTTTAAATTAAATTCACATTATTAGGATGATATGGAGGATTTTCCATTTCCCAGCAACGAAGTTGATTTTAGCCTTCCGGAAGCGGAATTTCAAGATATTATTAAATATCGTCAAGAGGAACAGGAGGCTAAAATGAAAGAACAAAAGGAAAAGCAAAAAGAAGTGAAAAAGGAAAAAGAAATTAAAGAACCTGTGAAAAAAGAAGTACCACGAGAAACAAAAGCGCCAAAGGAAATTGAAAAGAAGAAAGAGGAAATTAAAAAAGTAGCCAAAGAACCAGAAGTCAAGAAAGAGAAACAAAAGGAAGTTAAAGATGTTAAAAAAGAACAGAAAACACCCGCCAAAGGTAGATTAAAAGGAAAAGACGATCAAGATGAACCAGGTATTTTTATTTACATTTCTTTATGTAATTCAATTTTTTATTTTTTTGCAAACATTTTTTTTTTCTCTTACAGTTGTTGTTATTAAAAAAGAGCGCAAAGAATCAGAATCAAATCGAGAAGGCCCAAAGAGAGCACCAAAACGACCGACAAGACAAAGTATTGACAGTTCATCTAAAGCATCTTCTAGTCCTCGCGATACACCACCTCCAAAACGTCGAAGAATTTAAAAATTGACTGTTTTATATCTATTTTCTATAAATGTTACATAGAATAGATTTACAAATACTAATAAATTTTACTGTTAATTTTTTCAAGTAAACGGCAGTGAAATTTCAAGTATTACCCACAAAAAAAAAATGTAAATATTTTTTTCTATTTGTATAATCAAAATCAATATTCACAATTACAGGAGAATTATTTCAGTGAAAACTGTAAAAATTCCAATGTTTCATTCTATATTTTTAAGAATCATTTTAACTGCAATTTTCTTTATAATTTAGCAGTTATCACACATTCAGTGTATGAATCTTTTTTTATTTTTAGAAAATAAATTTTATGTAAATAAAACCCGTATTTTTTTTTTAAATTAAATAATATGGTAATTGACTAATTAATATGACTAATTCAAGTCAATAATAAAAATGCAAAAATTTGTTTGGTTACCAGATGTATATTTTAAACATGATGGATGTATATAAATTCATTTATAAATAGTCGTAGAAAATAAGGGCATCATCAGCAAATTATCATTGTTACAATTCTTCCACAGCTGGTGATTCTCTTCCATTCTAAGAGAAAATACTGGTAACTGAAACATTTCAAAAAATAAATTTAATAAACAGAATTAGTTTTTTTTAAATGTACAGGTGAATTTTTAATACACAGAACAATTAAAAACAAAAGAAATTTTTAGGTTAGTTTACAATCCAGATTACATTATCATTATGTTGGTTTCTTAAAGTAAGTTTTAGTTGACAAAATAAGTTATAGCAATCAATTTCCATGTGATAAAAAAAATTTCTAACATGGAAGGAGCAAAATATTTAGTAAATTAAAATAAGAAAAAAATACTTTTTTTTTAGAAAATACGCTAATTAGTGCATTTATATAAAATTGTACGTTATAATTAATTTCCTCATGCTTAGTATACACAAGTTAACCTCAAAAATTACAAACTCATATACAATAATTCGCAAATGTATTAAATAAATTTACATAATAGAAAACTTACCCATTTTTTGTTTTTGAACAGTAGTTTCTTATTTTTTTGCAAAAATCATCGAAGCCTTCTTGCTTCACGTTCAGACTCGAGGAGGGTTAAAAGATCACCTTCTCTTACTGGACCTTTTACATTTCTGATAATTTGACGATTTTGTTCTCCCAAAAATTCAACTTTAACTTGAGTACACTGGCCCTGTGACCCAGTGCGGCCCAATACTTTAATAACACGCGCTAAAACGACTGGTTTATCCATTATTTTTAGGGAATGCACGTGTCTCTAAAAAGTCACTTAGGCAAAAGAGCGTTTCTTGCCGAAAAAGAGAGAAGTCACTATGCGCATGGTTAAAACTACTTACAACTTCCGGTAAAATTAATAACACAAATTTTTACACCAATTAGAAAAGAATCTTTTAAATTTTGCAGCATTCTCATTGGTTACTGGATGATGGTTTTTTAGGTTAGAAATGACAGGAAATGTTCATCTCATTGGTTATCTTATTTTTGACGTCATTGTGGCGCTTAATTTAAATTTCTTATATCAATTTTTTCATTATTTATATAAAAAAAAGTTCAATAATAAATAAAACCTATAATACGGAAAATAATTTTTCTATTAATATAAAATAATTACTTTTAATAGAAAGATAAAACACAATTTATTTGAATACGGACATCGAGTTAAATCTAATTTTATACGCTAGGTGGCTAAGGATGTTGTTTATGTACAAAATATCTCTCGCAAGTTCAGAAAAAAGGGTACGGTTAGTATATAAGGAAAATTTTTTGAAAACTCAGTGTACTTGCTTCGGCAGTACATATACTAAAATTGGAACGATACAGAGAAGATTAGCATGGCCCCTGCGCAAGGATGACACGCAAAATCGTGAAGCGTTCCACATTTTTTGCTTCTAAATTATACTTTTAAAAAAAAAATTTAATTAGGTTTTTCAGAATAAAATTAACAATTTTTTTTTACATATGAATTATATATATATTTCTTCACGCGCAGGATTTAAATCTTGACGTTTAGCACACTGTATTACTGGTCATTGTACAATTTAGAAGTAATAAATGCAATTATTATTTAATCAAAATTGCCATTAACACACATAAATGAATTAAAAAAACAAAAAACACTTTTTGTGTGATCAGGACTAATTCGGCTATGTGCACGAATTTTCTGTATTTGCGTCATTATAAAAAAAAGAGCTAAATATTATTTTCTAAACAAATTGCCCTTTTTACAAATTGAAAAAAAAATTCTACTCTATTTAAAAACGTGAAGAAAACTTGTGTAAATATTTAGACATAAATTATTTGTAAATAAATTCAAATTTTAATTTGAAAATAAGTCAATAATTAAGCGTGATTGTTACAACTTATTAAAAGATTAAGAGAGAAGAAATTATTCTACTCCAAAAAAGGAAAGAGAAAAAACAATTATCACAAAAAATTTTCTTTACTTCGCGAATTTTTTTGATTACGATAGTAGCTTTTAGATAATTTAAAAACACATTATAAAACCTAAAAGTAAATCTTTCATAAAAATTTTTATAAGGCTAAACAATTTTGTTTATCAAGTAATGATTTAAAAAAAATGCCTCTTAAATCTCTCCTCCAATTGTAAATACAATTATAATAATGATAATTAGTAATACAGATTGTAGACAAATTATTATTGTCAAATTTACGTTTCATTTTCATATCATCATAATTTCGGACGGTTTATTAGATTTGAATATAATTCGCAAAGTAACAAACAAGATTTAAAAGCTCCAAATATTAATTTTCATTTCTACCATCGAATCTTTACGAGTCAAAAAATTTTAAAAATCGGTGATGATTTAAAAACAATTTTCCAAAAAGAAATCGAACTTTAAAAATAAATTAACATTTATAAACTACTTATGTATGTGGGATTATTAACGAAAACTGTTTTCGCGTATCGTATGTTATATTACAAACAATGAAAATCACTTTACACATTGTTTGCTTGTTTTCAGAACAATTTACACACACACACACCTAAAAATCAGTCGACAAATATACTATTAACTAGAGGAATATCTTTCTCTTCCATATATAAGTTTCGAAGAAAAATAGGCATTCTAGTATCTTAACTTTGTTTTTTTTTCAAATTAATATTCTTTTTACCTTTATTATCTACGCTCTTTACTTCTCTCCATACAGAATAAATAAAAAATGATTATTTTTTAAAAAATCTAAATTTAATTATTAAAAAATTATTAGAAAAAAAATCTATGAATTAACACTGGAGATACGTAAAGAATAAATATCATTTTTTTTCTTCTTCTATATTATGTTAATTTGATCAAGAACCGAAATTTATAGTCACAAAATATGAGACAAAAGTCGATTACTTGAATTTATTACCTCGCTTTTCCTCCAAAAACGACAAGAATTGTTTTTGTCGTTAATTTTACAAAGTGCTGAAAAATAGCGCAATTTCTTTGAAGCTTACGATGAAATTAATGCGCTTCAACAAAATTCTTCCATAAATACTAGTTGACATCAAAACAAAAAATCAACGGGCCTAAAGATTTCAATTATATACCACAAAGGCTTCGTTACTGCCAGAGATTTGTCGAAAGTGTTTGTCCAGGTAATGCAGCAGTCGCTGGTTTCGCATTGGAAAAACCAAGTCCATTCATTGAAAGTTGAGACATTTGTTGTTGTAGCTAAAAATATTTAATTTTTATTTATTTAATAAATTATTTATTTAATTTTTAACAATAAACTAAACTAAATTTATAAACAAACCTGAGGAACAGGAGTTGAATTATGAATTTGTTGATTAGGTAAATTGAAAAATGGATTACTTCCCGGTGCTGGTAAAATATTAGGCGTTGTCATCATTCCACTCCATGAATTATTAGCCGCTATATTATTTTGTCCCATAGGATTCATCTAAATAAATAAATAAATAAATAAAACAGAAATTGAAAAGTACATTTTATGTTTGAAAAAAAAAGAAGTACCATTTGAGCTTGCATTGTCATTGTAGAACCATTTCCATGTCCTAATCCCATTTGATTAGCACCCATTGTATTCATACACATTTGAGGAATTTGATTTGTTGCCGGCATTCCCATTTGAAATGATTGTTGATTTGGAAAACTATTTTGACTGAATGCATTCATATTTTGTTGTGCAAATTGTTGTGATGTCATTTGTTGCGGAAACATGCCACCTGTAAATTAATTCAGTGAGTAATTTTACTTTTTTTTTTTATAAATATAAATTTATTTTAATTGATATGTACAAACCAGAAACTCCGAAAATTGATTGTTGATTACTTGGTGTTCCATAAAGAGCAAGAATACTGTCCTTGGTCATTTTGCTCTTTTCTTGAGCAGATGGTGCGGTTTGATTGAAAAAGCTCTCTTCTTCTGATTTTCCTGTTGTGTTAGTTGTTGTATTTGTTGTTTCACTATTAGCTGAACTCGATGGAGGAGCTGATAGAAAAGATGAGAATATATCGTCTGAACCATTTGCTGTATTTTCCGTTGAACCTGTTCAAAAAAAATTTTTCTTTGTAACTAAAAAAAAAAAATTTATTTTCGAAATTTAATCATACCGAGGCCGAGAAGATCAAGAGTACCGCTACCACCAACAGCAGAATTGCTTATTCTATTTGGTTTTGGACTAACGGAACTTCGTGGTTTCGGCAATTGAGGCACAACTTCAGGCTTTTTAACAGGTGGCAATGGCGCTTGAGATACATTAGATTTTGATACTTCCTTTTTACGTCTCCGCTGTTTTTCTGCCTCCTCATCCAATTCTTTATCCCAATTTACCTTTTAGATTAAAAATTCAAATTTTTTAATTTATTTTCTCAAATCTCTATATGAAGGGTAGAATGACAAAAGGGGTCAAGCGCCAATTTATCGAAAATGAGGTTTTTGCATAAAAAAATCAAGAAAATTCATTTACACATTTCTGTAGAAGGATTTCCTTTTTTATTGCGTATTTAAATCAGTTTTTAATAAAAATTAAATTAATAAAATAGCCTCAAATTTACTTTATTGCAACCTGATTGAAAAACAAAAGAAAGTGGTGTTCAATTTTGATCAAAAATATTATTTTTTTAGGTTTTATTTTAATATTTTATTTTAATTTTATTTTAATTAATAAAATTAATAATAATAATATATTTTCAATTTTAAACAATTTTAAAATCATTTTGTTATTAATTTTTAAATATTTTTATGGTTATACTAAGTGAACAATTGAATTTAAAGATGAAAGTATTGCTCAATTCCAAAGCAAGCAATTAATTCGTAATTTTCTTGAAAACAAACAATTTTTTAAAGGAATTTTTTTTTCTATTCATTTCGTCGATTCCATAGAAAGAAACTAATTTTCCAGTTTTTCTTTAAACTGTATATTTTTTTTATAATTAATGCTTAAAGAAAATGTGCGTAGTTGATATAACCTCAAGGCACCACAGTTTTTTTTAATTTTATCGTTAATATGTAGGTTTATTTCAACAAATTGTTGTTTATTTATTAAAACATACTAATATATCGAAACGGTTTTCTCAGTTTTTTTTTAAATGACCTGCAAAATTTTTAAAAATGTTTTTTTTACTTCCTGTAAAAACAGTGAATTGGCGCTTGACCCCTTTTGTCATTCTACCCTTCATATATATATTTAAATAATCTACCTTTGGCAATGTAGGTGGAACCCATTCCCTAGCAATATATTTTTTATGTTCATATTTTGCACGAATAAAATTTTCAAGACTACTGTCAGTTTGAGGTCGCCGAAAACTATCCGGGAGATTTGCTTCATAAACAGCTCTAGCTCTCGAATTTCCCATTTGTTGTAAACTCTGTAAAAAGATAACATCGTATTCCCCCTTTTTTTTTGTTTTTAAATGTATTCAACTTACAACAACTTGTTCAGGTGTCCATGTGTCTAAATTAACCGATCTCACTTTACTTATATGAACGCCAAGATTTCTATGAATTCCTGCACAACGAATGCATAAAAATATTCCCAAATTCCAACTTGCCCATCTTGGTCCTAAAAAAAACATATTCAAAAAAAGAAATGTTTTTTATTTCAAAATAATGTAGATAACTTTAATTACAGCTTCAAGATAATATTGTTATGCAACATAATTATCTTTCAAATTATCAAGAAAATATTATATATACAATTTTTAATTAAAATATCTATTTTAATTTTCATTGCTTATCGAAAATAATTAATAAAATAAAAACTGAAAAAGTCTAAATTTAAATAAATTAGTTACAATTTAAATACCAATTAAAAATCAAGTTATGCAACAATAAAAGTATTTTTAACACAAATTAATAAATAAACTTTTATGAACAAGAATATATATGTGCAATTTCTTCTTCTCAATAAAAATAGTATAATAACATGTATAATTTTGCAGATGAAATGACATTCAAACTCTGTTATTATAACAATATGAAAACTATATCAAAATAAACTGAAATCATATCAGAGAACAAATTAAGTCAATAGAAATCAACAAAGCCGGATGATAATGAGTTGATATTTTTTCCAAATTTCTAAATAATTAATCATTTTTTCATCAATAACATAATGATATTATGATTTATTCACAAACCTTTGGCATCACAATCAACACAATACTTGTTGTCTTCATCACGAAGCATTTGATTAAGTAAGTTTTGACATTTGTCTTGAATCTGTTTAGCACGTTCTTTTTCCATGCGAGTCGTCATTTTCACTGTCTTAAAAATTGTTCACTTTTTTTATTTATAGGAAATTGAAAAAAAACTATTGTAAATAATTCACTGGGAGGGTTTTTTTTTGTCTACTTTTTACAATGATGATACGCGACGCGAAAATGACAATAAAAAAATTCCAATTCAGAGTTTAGTGACCACGAAGACAAAAAAAAATTGACAAGACACAAAACCAGGAAACCAACACAAAGAGAAGGGGTTGGTCATTAAAAGTAAATAAGGTGGAACGTGCAAAATGTGACATTTTGGGTGAAAGCACCTTTAAAATGCATACATGTGACAATAGCTTAATTAGTTGCTACCCAACTTTGTCTACTTAAACTTATATCTACTTATTCATCCCTGAACACCGCTGTTTAACTGCTTTGAAACTTTTGAATTGTTTACAAAATGGAGTAATGTCACTTAAAAATCATATAAAAACTATTAAATTTATTTTATTTGTACGTTATGATATAAGTGAGCTATTTCAATTAGTTTGAGTATTCATTCTAAGTCAAAAATATACATTAAATTTGTGACAAGTGATAACAATGGAGCGACCATGTGATAGAATTTACAAAGCAATTTTTTGTTGTTATGTTTGAAAAAGGAGTGTTATTTTATGAAATCATCAAAAGAAAATAATGGACGGTAAGTCTTTTGAGATATTTACATTTACATCATATAAATAAGAAGATGAAATATTTTTATTCGCTAGCGATTTTTATTTTACCTTTAATATATAAATTCTCTAACGTTCATTTATAACCTTACCTTTTAAACGATTAAAAAAAATACTTATTTCAGAATCTAATGCGATTGCAAATAAAAGTGGAGGCCACACGAAAAACGAAAGAAACGAATCAAATTTTAGCAAGTAATACTAAAGTTAACTTACTTTTAATTAAATTATCATTTCGAAATGTTTAATACTTTTTTTTTATACAGTTGTATTTCAATGGAGAGATTAAAGTCAACACATCCAAAAATGGAAGAAATTCTACAAAGCATAAACGAGTGCAATATAATTCGTTACGCATCTCATAGAACTGCATCAAAGATACAAATTTTACAGAAAAATCTTCACAGTACGTTAATTATTTAAATATTTATAAAATTCAAATTTCATTTAAATATTAATTTTTTTTTTTAATAATATAATTCCAGTGGAAAATGTTCAGTTAAAATTGATTGCGGGTATTTTTGAACGTCATCGATTGTCAGTGACTGAGAATTCTGTAAATTTAGATTGCCATGAAATTGAGGATGTGCTATCGGATATATTTTACGCTGCACAAAAAGAAGCTGGCATTAATTTTAATGTTGATCAAATCACAAAATTAGCAATAAACTTTATTTTTAAAATATTTCACAGGTTTGTTGGTATTTTTTTTTTCATTTATAATTTTATTAATTTTGTTTTCAATTTACAGTTTTCTTTTTTTTTTTAGAAACTACGAAGACAATATTTTAGTATTTTCAGTGAAAGTTGTATTGACATTGATGAGTTCAGCTAAACTAGAAGAAAAATACGGTTATTTGTTTCATCAGCTCGCTGATCATAATGCTTGTTTGTCCGAAGCTGCACTATTTCAATTGTTGACAAACATTTGTAGAATAATGGAAATGCTCGGTGAAAGTGTTGCTTATGGAAATCATCTCATTCGTTCAACTGTTGCTAATTGTTTTAAAGAGGTAATAAGAAAAGAAGTAGATTTTTTTTTTATTTAAACTAAAAACTAAGATTACATTGAAATAAATATTTAGGGTAATTAATTATTAATAATAAACTAAATTCTACTAGTGTCAAGGATCGCTTGGAATAACTGAAGCGGAATTTGCTAAATGGTTAATGGAAGAGCCTCCATTATTATCGTGGATTGCAACTCTAAATCGAATCAAATCAGCCGAACATAGTATGTTATTTGGAACATTTTTTTTCATAATTTAGAATTTAGAATTTAGAATTTTAGAAAAAATTTACAATTTGATTTATTAAAATATTATTTAATATAAAAATTATTTTCAGTTATTCATAATATTAAATGTTCAACTTGTAAGTTGAATCCAATATGTGGACCACGATATTCTTGTTTGAGATGCGCAGGATATCATCAATGTCAAAAGTGCTTTTTATTTGGTAAAACATCAGGAAAACATAAATTGAAACATCCAATTCGAGAATATTGTATAAAAGTAAGGAAGAAAATTTATTTTTTATTTTATTTTTAATATGAATAAATTTTAAATGAATTTATTTCAGGCATCTAATAAGGAAGTAACAAAATTAGTTTTTGAATTATTGAGAAATAAATTAATGCTTTGTCCTTCACGTTCTGTCATCAGTTCTTTGGAAACGTCTCTGCCCGACATGGATGAGTAAATATTAATTTTTTTTTTCTTTTATCAAACAGTAATAATAAAAATAAAATAAAAAATATTAATTTTTGAAGTAGAAATCGAAGAACAGCATTGGATGCCATATCAGTTAGAAGTACAATTAAACGTAGAATATGCAATGATCCACAAAAAGAATTACAAAATATTATCAGTAGTCTAGAAGAGGAAAATAGACAATTGCAAACGGAATTATTAGAAATAAGTGATTCAAAATTTGAAAGATTGCAAAATCATCGAGTTGCCATACAATCACAATTAGAGCGTCTTAAAGTTCTAAAGGTATGTTAAGTAAACATTTATTTATTTATTTTAAGAAATATTAATTTCGCAATATTTTAAAAATTGTCTAATTACAGAATTATCTATTTAAAAATCAAACGGGAACAAATTTAATACAAAGTACACCAATGATTCATCCGGCAGTATCGCGAATTACACGTTTACCCATGGCATTTGAATTGAGTCCCATTGTTCGTGATAAAAAGTCTGAAAATGATATTGATGATTCATTATATCGACAACAAACAACGGAAAAATTATCAACAGATTCAGCATTTAATGAATTATCGATGGAAAATCCTCAAATTGAATTAAGTACCTGGATTGGAGGTAAATTGAATTTTAATTGTTCATTAAAAAAAAAAAGGTAAATCTAATTAATTAATTAATTATAGGTGGTAAATGTGATTTTACACCAAAAGAAAGTGGATTTTCACAATGGTTGGGATGTTCGTCAAAAGAAAATAATAGTCGACATGGTGAGAAAATAATTTTTGACAATAATTTCACATTATCGAAAAAATCAAATTATTTGTCACCAAAAAATCTTCCACGTGACAATTCATTGTATTCTATTCAAAAAGGAAAAAAACCTTCTCAACGTAGTAGCATTGAAAATATTCAAGGTGATCTCAATGATATTTTGGATAGATTACAAAATATGGTGACCAACGATTGTTTACTTGATGGTATGTAATTTCTTTTTTTTTTGTATATTTAAGTTTTAGTATAAAAAGGTTTAAATTAAATTTAAAATTTTAGAAAGTATAAGCGTTGACAATAATTGTGAATTAAAACGCGCAGCAACGGAAATGGAGGATTTATTAACAGGATTAATTGAAGGAATGGAATCTCGTAAAACAAAATTAGCAACGATCGTTTAAAAATTATTCTAATTTTCAATACCGTCCATAATTGTGTACTGAATGAATTTTTAAATGATTTTACAAAGAATATTGTAATAATTATCCAAAAAAAAGAAACATTAACACGTACTATATATATTATTACTACTTTTTATAATCACATCTCTATTTTAATATTATTAATATAAGTGCAAAAAAAAAACATTAAAACTCCGTAGAAAGTAAAAAAAAAGATTTATTACATAAAATTAATATTAAAAGTGAAAAACAGAGTTTTTCCACAAGTGATGATTTTTATAATTATAATGTGTAAGAATTATGAAGATAAATGTATTTTAGATTTACGTTTAAATAACGTAAAATTAAGGAATAAAAAAGTGTATCAAGCCTTAATCAATATTTTAATTTATACATATACACACACAAACGTAATAAATTTATTATAATGTAAAATTGGCATTTTTATTATTTTTTTTCGATTAATGCAGCGTGACATCAATTTATATATAAAATATATATTATTTTTGTAGTTTTTTCAAAAAAAAAATCTAAAATTTCTTTAGGCAATACTTATTGTTTTTTTTTCACAATAATTACAATTTAAAAAATGTCAAATTTATTAAATCATTTTCACTTTTAAATATCAAAATTTATTTTAAAGTTTTTCTTCAGATAGTAAAGTATCTGTTAGATATGGTACTTTGAGAATTCGTGAATAGTGCGCTTTTTCAGATGGTAGATTAACAATCCATATAATTACACGTATTCCCCTTTTGTGCCACCAACGTACTATGTCACTGTATAAAAAAAAATATTTTTAGAATAAAAAAAAAAAACGATTTAAAAAGAAAAAATATATAGTTAAAATACTTACGGATTGACAACATCTTTGTGCAATAAAATTGCGGAAATGCCCAAAATATAATAAGTAAAACGACGTAAAGCCCAATCGTGAAGAATATCGAGAATTGTAGCAAAGAGATTTTTAAATGGACTACGAAAACGTCGAACGGAGGGTCCTTCTAAGCCATTGTAATTCGTTGTTGAGAAAATTCGTGGTCTCCATGCTAAGCTTGATATAATTCTTGGCTCCTTCTTTCTTATCTATTATATATAAAATAATAATTTTAATTAATCAAATTGAAAATCAATTTTTTCTTCATGAGTTTCTTCTTTTCTTACCATATAAATAACCAGAGGATTAAAACTTGATACAACTGCTTTGCGAAATAATTCCGGATTATTATTGAAAGCATTGACAATTATTTGTACAATTGCCAAATCTTTCTCCTTGATATCAATGAACATGCGTTGACCATTTTTTAAACACTCCTCAATTGCCTCATCAAACAATGCAATTTTTGCCCCATTAAATTTATTTCTTAAAAAAAAGGTTAGAGAATAATTATTACTTTTCTCAAAAATTTGTTAATTAATGTTTCTTTTCAACCACTAATTTATTTTCAAAAAAAAAAATTCATTTGTAAGGAAAATGGTTATTTCAGGGATCGGAAAAAAAGTGTTAACATCGTACTATACCTAAGAGGATGATTGTACGTTATATCTAATTCTTTAAGTTCACTCCATGTCATTTCTTTAACAATTCCTACGTGGCCAGTTAGTCTTTGAATAGTTACATCATGGAATATTATTGGAATGTTATCTTTCGTAAGGATTACATCAAATTCCACCACATTGCAGCCCTTTTCCTTGCACTTGAAAACCAAACCAAAAATTTCAACTTTTTATACTTATTTCCAATATTCATGCAATAATTTCTTAAATATAGTAATGTTATTTTTTTAGTTTTCATTTTAATAGACTAAAATCTAAATTTCAAATTTTAATCGAAAAAAATTATTATTAGTAACATGCAATATTTTATATTTTTTTTTAGGGAGATTAAAAAGAAATGAAGGAGAATTTACATTACGAAAAGCCGCTAAGCTGTTTTCTGGATAATCGAATCCTCCACCACGATGTGCAACAACACGCATGCAGTATTGTTTTTTATTATCTTGATTGTCATTATTAGATAAATTAATCCTCTTGAAAGCAAGATGATCATCGCCAAATATTTCTTTGACAATATTTGAATCGGATTGTGGAAGTTTTAAAAACCATAATAATACGGTAACAATTAATGCGCCCCAAATAAACCACGGTATAGAAAAATAAAATGCATTCACTAATAAAATGCAAGAAACTTCGAAGAAAATCCACAACAAAGCACCATTTAAAAATAATTCTACGATGCTCCACATCACAAATATACAAAAGAAATCAATGTTATTTGCAATTGAATTTAATTACCTGATTAAAAAAGAAAACTTTTTTTTTCTAATTTATTGACTAATTGCAAATTTTGTCAAAATCACGTGATTTAAATTTCATTATGTAAACGTCTATTTATTATTAATTTATCACAAAACGATGAGATCAATCTATAATTGGTTAGGGTGAGTAATATTTATTTATTATAAAAAATTATTATTCATTAAATAACACTTTTTTCGTGAAATAATTTAACTTTAAATTTTTTTTGTGTCATTATGTGAGTATTTTGTATAATTTATTAATATCGAACACAATTATTTAAGTGTTTCTTAAGTAAACATGTTAAATGTCATTAAATTTGTTTACTATTTTAAGCTGTCAAATTTTTTTTACCTAGTAGCCCACGGTCGGGTAGTTAAGATCATGATTTTCGTTTGTTGATATATTTACCCATCCCTGAGTATAATCGGTAATGTAGATTTTACTTTTTTGACAATTCTAACCTAACTTTTAGATATTCCATAAAAATATTGGGATGTCCGTTACTGTGAAGCGCTCTCTGTTGGAAAAATTTTTAACCCTTGAAAGTAGGATGTTTGTCAATTTTTGTCCAGTTTAAACCAATCAGAGTAACTTTCAGACATAGTGGTGAAAAATGGTACTACTGAACGTAGGATAAAATGCTAAGCCACGCCCCCAGCGGACATCCCAATAAACATTGGAATTTTTTGATAATTTGACTTTTCGAAATTCGAACTTTTGAAAATTAGGCAACTCTTTTTTTTTTACAAAATAATAAATAATTTTTATTTAAATAACAATTTACATCAATAATTTATTATAAACTTATAAAAAAATATAAACTCAATAATAAAAGATTATTTACTTTTCTTCGTCCATATTTTTGAATTCCATTACTTTATTAGCAAAGTCTATCTCCTGAAAAAGAAATAAATATATAAAAATGACAACAAAAAAAAAAAAAAAAGAAAATATAAATGAGTTGAAATAAAGTTTGTTGCATTGACTAATTACAGTAATTTAAAATTAACTACTTACCGATGAAATTTCCTTGCGATAAAGTTCATTGCATTCATTTAAAAAACGTTCATTATCCTCTTCAAGAGTTAATATTTCTTTACAGATGGCATCTTTTTTTTTTGAGGCATCACAATATTCTTCTTGCTCTTTTTCAACTTCTATTTCTAATGCTTTTGAATTCCTGTTAATAACATTTGTTACAATTTATTTAAAGAATAATTTTTTTTATGTATTTTAATTAGAAATAACAAAAATTTAACTTACTCCAGTAATTCATTATATTTTCTATGATGAATTAATATACGACCTTTTATTTCACCCTTTAAATCATTTAAATTACTTGTTGAGTGACAATGTTTTTGTTCCATTTGTTTTTCTTTTTTTTCTAATTTTAAAATATTGGCGTTTTTATTTTTCATTTCCTTTCTTATTGTTTCTAATTTTGAAAGACATTCTCTGAAAATAAATTTTAATATAATAATAATAGAAAATTTTTATACGTCACTATTTAATAAAAATTATTTAAATTTGTTTTTAAATAAAACATACTTTAAATTTGTGATTATATCAATTGCTTGAGCAAGTTTATCCGATTCCTCTGTAACTAATGACATTGTTTGTTCTTTCTTCTCTAGTAATTCACTTTTTTTCTCCAATGATTCATAAAACATTTTTGTTTGATGAATTTTTTGTTCCCTTTCTTTTTCAAATTTTTCTATTTCAGCATACAATTTCTCAGGTGATTCAACTATTTGTGCTTTTAATTTATTAGTCGTAGCGTTGATCTAATTGTTAAAACAAAAATTTATTTAATATCAATTTTATTACAATGAAGAATAAATTTTTAACTGATACATTACCTCGTTAGCTTTTGATTTTTTCTCATTATATTTTTCTTTATTTTTTGTCAATTTTTTTTCTAAACGACTTATTATCACTTGTTTTTTATCCATTTCATTTTTTTTCATCTTAGCTTTCTGACGCATTTCTTCAATTTCAATTTTTAACTAAACAAATGATATATTAATAATGAAAAATCATATTAAAATTAAAAGAAATATATGTTTAATTTATTATTTCAATAATAAAAAAATTACCTTTTCATTTTCAATTGCTCTCCATTCATTATATTTTCTATTTCCATCTATTTTTTCCTGTAATTCTTGTGTTTTTCTTTTTATTTCAAGTATATCATTTCGTTTTTCTTCTAATTTATTAATACGCTCCTTAAGTTCTGGTACTTTATTTCGAAAATAAATGATAAAATTTGCTAAAAATGTAGTTAACTTTAATGTTCTTTTGGGAGCTAAAAAAAAATATTTGTTTTTAATATCGTGTCAATAATTTGTTTAAAAAAAATAGTAAATAATAATAATTTCATTACTTGGATTCTCAATATCAGAAAACTGTAAATCTTTAAAAAACAATTTCTCAGAAATTCCACTTATTGCAGCAAAAGTATTTATGCTCTTTATAAAATCATCGTATAATTCTGGATTATCCGAAAGTATAATCTCATATTGCTCCAATGTAGGCTATTTAATAAAATTTGAAAATTATTTCAAACACAAATATAAATATATATGTACATAGATATTTATAAGAGAACGTACCTGTTTGATTGTATTTCCATCTATTTGAAATGTATTACAAAATATTTCAATTAATTTAGTAATAAATTCATTAGTAGGTTTCCTTAGATCTGATATTGTTACAGGAAGCTGAGCCTCCTCAAAAACAATCAGATTTTCTTCTTCTTCTTTTTTTGCGCGTTTATTTTGGTCCATTTCAAAGTAATTATTATTAAACTATGAAAATAAAAATTATGACGCTATCATGAATGAATAGCGTCTTTAAAAATGAATTCTTTCTCGTTAGAAATTTCGTTGGTCTTTAAATTTAAATTGTACCACAAACTATAGAAAAAGTATAAGATGGTAATCTCTAGTTATAGTCAAAAACCTCTGAAATCTGACAGTATGAAGTCGACTAGTTATCAGGGTTGGGAAATGAAAACTCAAAAATATGGAAGAACAATTTGTTTTTTAGGTTATTTTTTAGTTGTTATTTATATTAAATGTCAAAAAAAAGAATGATATCAAAAAAAGTGAAAAAAATTGATAAATATGTTGCTGGAAAAGATAGCATTGTAAATAAAAATTTATTATCATTTTTTAAAATATATAAATTAATATTTATAATTAAATTTATATGTTTACAGATGAAAGCATTGGCTTTTCTTAAACCAGAGAAATGTGATAATAAAAGAAATTTAAAAAATAATAAAGATAAAGAAGAAAAAAAAGTGGAAAATTGTACTTCGAGCGTAAATTTAAAGAGAAATGGAAATTCAAATTCAATTGTTTTTTCAGCAAGTTTTGTTACACATCAAATGCGTTCATGTTTAATGGAACATAATTGGATAAATTTACAAAGATTAATTCCATTATTATTAAATTATTCATTAGACAGAGAACCTATATTATGGAGATTTGCTTTAATTACATTTCTAAATAGTCCTGAAAGTGATCAAAATTTGATTCTTCATTTTTTAGATAAATGTCTAGGCAGTACAATTGAAATAGACTCACATGAACCAGATAAATATTTACAACAATTGATTACTATTGAATCTATAAATCATCAATTTGAGGAAATTTGGTTAACCAAAATGGAATATTCATCTGATGATGAACATTAATTTATTATTTCTCTGTGACAATGATTAATCTTAAATTCAAAATGCAAAAAATTCATTAAGAGGTTAAAAATAATTTTATTGAAATTTTTGTTCTATTCTAAAATTTGAGTACATACATTTTCTTGTTTTTTTCATTTTAATTTTTATTATACGTTACTCTGTAATACAGAGAAAATAAAGAAAGTACAACTTATTACAAGTCTTATAAATTTAAAGTTATATGTACATAATATTATACTGTCTTATAGTTTTTAAATCCTTTCATGGTATTTTTTAATACTGAAATGGAACTGACCATTGAAAAAATATAAAACAGTTTTATAAAAAAAATTACAACAAAATTTTGTATAAAAATATAAAACTGTTTTAGTTTTAAAAAAAAAATATTCAAAATGGATGATAAAAATTAATTAATTTAATTTTTAATTTTATAAACAGATTGAATTTTTTTAAATTTATGTCAGTTCCTAATAAAAATTGTGACTTAATTGGTTTTACATATTATTATGTAGTTAAATAACTATTTTTTTTTCATGTACGTTGGTATGTAGTATAACATTACAATATGATTGGATGAGTCTTAGCAGATTACAACAGTAAATGTTATTTACTATATTATATAAATGTATATACGTTAGCAATATGGAAATAATATTTACACATACATTTTCGAAATGGCATTTGAAGTTAATCACATTTCATAATATTGCAATGTTATTAAATTATATATTTTAATATCAATATAATAATAATAAACTAAACTAAAAGTCTGCGCACGTAAATTAAAATAAAGTATCAAATTATCTTCATTTGAATTAGTAAAGTTTTTAAAAAAATTTTAATTTTAATAAATTAAAAGTTTTTAATTTCACTAAATGATTTCAAACATTTTACTTTTAAATTGAAATTTTTACTAATTTTTCCATGAGGAAGGATTTTTTTTTTTCTAATTAACCACATTAACATAAACGAAATTTTATACTGTAAACTTGGTGCAAGTTTTTACTGATTCAAATTTAATGATACTGTATCATTTATACGTGTTACTCGTTACATTTTCAACTTATTATTAAATAAACAATAGAGAAAATTAATTAATGACAATTAGAAATCTAAAACAAGCTCTTTCTACAATAATATTGCTATTAACTGTACAAATTGTTATTTTATGTATATATATATGTCAATTCATTAAAAACCACAATTATATTACGGTCGAAAACGATCGCAAGTCACACGAATATATATTATATACGAACATTCAAATTGTGCGTATTATTTACATTGCTTCACATTTTATACTACAGTCTTAAGGAATATTATAAAAATCCTTTAATTAAATTTACATATTAAAAACCATACTTGCAGTTTCTCTTAAAAACAATTATTATTAGTTTTTACAATTAAAATATAGAGACACCGACTTGTTTTACCATTAATGAATAATTTCAAGTAATAATAATTTAATTTTACAAATCTCTGAGAAATAAAAAGAACTTTCATATTGTAACAAGTAAAAATTATTTTTTCTTTTTTAAAAATAAAAAAAGTGATTCATTCATATGTCAGTAGTCTCAATTTTTAATCTCGTAACTAAAAAAAGGCATGCTTTCAAAATTTTTTTTTTTTAGATGAAAGCGGAATGGTTTGGTAAAATTTGTGACTGTAGCAAATCGAGTAAAATCTCGATATATTTGCATACTTAATTAGTAAAACGATAATACGTGCGACTTTGACCGAAATAAGTAAATTAAAAAACATTCATAAAAAAAATTATACAAAATTTTGCAAAAAAAAATATTAAGATATACTTTCAAATATTATTTATACGACAAATAAATTTGAAAATAATTTATCCAAACAAAATTAAATTATTGAATTATTTAGTTAAAAAATGCAATTAAAAATCAGACATTGATTTAAAATAGACTTTTTAATTTTTTTGTAATAATGAGAAACACCATCTTCAAACAGGAAAAATATAATACACCGGAATCTAAATTGTAAATAATTCATATCTTTGGAAAAAAAATTATTCTAACCAATTTTCTGTTAATAGTTGTGATTAACAGAACCATTTTTTTTTAGCTCAAAAATTAAATTTTTATGTTAATGATTGTGATATGTTAATGTGTTAATGATACTTTCAAATTAATTGGCAAGAAATTGATTGATAATAATTAATGAAGAAAAATGAATATTTTTTAATGAAAAAATGATAAATGTCAAGGAAGAAAGAATTATTTAATAATAATAAAAATAAATACGTGAAAGAAGTGGAATTCAATTGGATGATCACTGGTCAGTCGAGAGGTAAATGAACACGTGAATCGTTAGCAGCCAGCTTAACGAGAGTCTTTTTTACTCTGAGTATTGGAAGTCGTGCCGCTGGTTTTCCATGCCAGCACTCTCGCATTAATTTTCCCATTCCAGCAAGTGTCTGCAAGAGTTTATCGAAAATTAAATTATTTTTGATACAAATTTAAAAAGTAAAAATTACAATTTTTCAAACCATTTATTAAAAAATAATATCGTGTAATTTCAACTTACAGCATCTGAATGCCATCTGTTTGGAAGTGGCGGCCTTCGTTGATCAAGTGAAACTAGTTTTCGCATTTCTTCTATTGAAGGATCCTGACTGCTATTTGATAGCCATTCGTAAAATGGTGCAGCATATTCCAAAGCAACACCATTGCTAACACATCTACGACAAACTTCCCAAAAAATGAGACCAAGACTGTAAATATCGGCCCGTCTAAAGCTTTCCAAACATTCTAAATTGACCCTGTTAAAAAGAAAATTCAATTCTTTAAAAATCACATTTATAAAAAAAGGCACTCGCAATTATTTTTTTTTTTTACTTACGTTTGTTCAAGAAATTCAGGACTCATATAACGTCTTGTACCCTGACGAAGATCAACAGTATCAGCCATTAAACGATCTTGCGTCACTGCCAATGTAAAATCAGCAATAACACAAGCGCCATTATTTTTGACGAGAATATTTTTCGACTTAAGATTACGATGTGCCATAGCTGGCTTTCCCTTTGTGCCATGAATTTCCGTATGTAAATAAAGTAAACCATTGACAATGCTCAGGCAAATATTAAATGATTGATGATGCGTCAATGGATGTGGTGAATGACTTAAATTATCAAACAATGAACCAAGTTCATGATAATGTGTCACCAACCACAATTGTGTACAACTTGCACGACTTGTCATATCGCTACCAACATAACCAAGAATATTATCATGTCGCGATGGTAATAATTGTGAATAGACTTCAGTTTCACGTGTCCATGCTGTTTCGTCACGTGAAAAATAAATTTTCACAGCAACATTTTCACCATGCCATATGCCGCGCCATATTTCACCGCCAAAACCACCACCACTGCCAAGACATTCAACAAGTGCCACTTGTTTAGCTAAAGTTCTTTGTACCAATAATGGAAGGCCTGATCCTGATCCACTCGTTAAACTTCTTCCATCCAAATATTCCTGAATCAAATAATTTTAATTATAATTTAATCACTAACAAAAATTGTACATTTAAATAAATAAATTACCTTTAGAGTACTATCACCCGCCGCAGTTGCTCTCAATTCATAAGGTTGATAATTCGTCGATGCCGGCGATGTCGAAGTAAAATGAAGAATAGAAGGTCCCATTTCTGCGTCAATAAGTAATTTATTTCTCTTAGTAGCCGTAGGTCTTTTACCACGTGTTTTACGTGCTAGAAGGCAGAAAAATATTCCACAAGTAATAATTCCCAAACCAATTATGGGTCCTAGTATTGCTAAAATTAATTTTAGCAAATAATCCTCTCCCTCGGTACCTAGAAAAAATATTAAAATTCACTACAAATAAAATTTTTAAAGAAGAAAAAAAATCAATAAAAATAAATACCAGCTGTTAAATCATCTAAAACTGGAAATGGTCCATTATTACATAAATCCGAATAACAACAATCGACGAGAACTTGACTTGATTTTTTTGTACAAGTAAACATTTTCTCGTCATCGGATTTTGAACATCCTCGCGTTACTCGTTCAACTCCATCTTTTTCTCTCACTCTTGATTTCCAGCACTGTTAACAAATTGAATTAAATTAAATTTTCTTCGCGAATTAAATGAATTTGAAAATTACTGATAATTTTTATAAATTTTTTTTTTTACCACAACAGCATCGTGACATAATTGAGGTTCGACACATTCTGAATTTTCACAGAAATAACATTTAAATCGTTTTTGTGTTCCAAGTCTACTTAAACTATGTTCAAGTAAATCCGATTGCTCTTTAACATCTTCATCATCAAGAGAATTATCATCTTCTTGTAAAGACGTTCTGTGTCTTCCTCCTAATGATAAAAATTTTAAAAAAATTATTGTCTACTTAAAATTATAACATTTGTATGGATATTACATGCAAAATTATTTTAATTTTCTGCTGAATATATATATAAATTTATAATATAACATATAGAACAAAATAAAACGTCACAATTTTACAAATGCGTATAAAGACTGTTTTTTGCCTAAGTATTTCTCCAATTTTGTTTTTTTTAATATACTTTGTAATTAATTATTAGAAAAGTTTACGTTCAATTAAAATTAAATTAGTAGCTCGTATAAAGAAGATTTATATATATGAGAAAAAAAAATAATGCGAAAAATTGGAAAAAATTACTCCAAAATAAGCTAAAAGATAGAAATTGCATGCAAACAAAATTAATTCAAAGAATACTAGGTATATTATAAATTTAGTGGAAAATAATTTTTGATACTATTAATAATTATATAAAATACCAAAATATTATTACCTGAACATATTTTAAATGTCAACAATAGCACAAAATGTGTGATAAATATAGCATCCGCCATTTTTGGAGAGCGTCAAAACAATGGGACTGTGGAAGTCAAGTTTTAGTAAGCTTATCTATCATTATTTTCAACTATTTTAATATCAATAAACATGTTAAATTAATATTGAAATTCAATAGCTTTAACTGGGAATAATAATTATAATTTGAAAGGAGCACTTATGTAATGTTTAATGTGGTTCAAAAACCATATGATTTAAGTAGTTTGTTTTTACATAATGTGACCTTCAATTTGACAGTATAATGGATTTAAAGGTGCGTTCATAATGATTTTTTAAAGGTACGATTACAATTCTGACTGACTGTAGGTTGTCATGGTAACGTACAAGAGTAAGAGAGACAGTAAAGAATGACCTTCGTGAAGTTGGCAGCAGTTTTTCCCATCAAATCATTGACCAATCGCCTTTTTGCATTCCGTTCCCTGTGAAACAAACCTAAAACTATCTTCCTCCTGTGAATTACCATTTAATGTGAAGTGAACAGAACTTAGGCACTTGAATCATGGTGCTTCTGCTATTGTCCTATAATCAGCTGATAAAAGATTTATAATTCAAGCTATACACACGAGTTTTAACAATTTTTATGTTTATTTTGACGCTGAGATGCATTTATTGAAACAGTGAGATCTATGAAATTCATAACGTAAATGCAATCGTGGAGTCTCTTTTGAGAATTTGTGAGGTAAGTGAAATAGTTTAATTTCTAGATGTTGCTTGTCATTTGAAATTTGAAAGTTATTGTTATGCAAAGTAACTTTGTTTATTCCTAAATTATCTCCTAATATTGAACAATAATCTCATTAATTTTCTTTTTCAAAATGTTAAATTTTCTTTTTAATTTAAGAATAAGTACTGTCATATATATAATCAATAAAAAAAACATAATTTATTTTCTAATTACATTTGCACCTGCAAAATAAATGAATATGCAAAGTGAAAATTTAAATGTTGTTTATTTCAGACTTGAGAAAAATGTAAATTTATATTTAGAATACTTTTTTTAGTAGTAGTTGTAATAGTTGTAGTAGTAGTAGTAAAAACTACGATGCATTAACTATATACTATCACTTGATTGAGTAATAAAACTAGAATATTTTAATGCTGAAAAATGGTTAATTTATATTTATTTAATATTTTTTAAGGTTACAATTTTTTTTTGTGTAATTTATTAATTGAAAATTGTGTTTAATGTTATGTAAATGTTAAATTATTTTTAAATTTAATTAACAATTTGATATTTATTTGTTTATTAATTAAATTTTTTTCAAGGAATGTTGATGTAAAAAAATTGATAAAATTTTTGTCTAGTTTTTCTCTCCTCTTTTGGTTTGAGATCATTTCTCTCGGGATGACGTTATGATACCTTTTTGTTGTTGTAGTAGTATCATGAATGTGCTTGTCAGCAATTCCAACTGCTAAGCGTGCAATCAAGCGCCGGAGAATATCAGGCACGTTTTTAAGTGGATATGCGTATTTTGCTTACTTAAAAGTACAAAACAAGTTACGATTCATAAAACATACATTTCTATTTTCATATTTATTTTACAATAAACACTATATTCTATTTCTTTTTTTTTAACATTGTATTAAGAAAATGCTTGAAATTATCTTTAGTGTGATGACGATTTAGATAATTTTATCACTTGATAACAATTTTTAATCTTAATAAGAAATAATCATTATTTCTGTGAGAAAACGTTTATTCCGATAAATCAATGTTTTACTAAGATTATTTTAATTGGACATTAAAAAGTATAAATTAATAACTACTTTAGGAGCTAAAATTGGATAATGGGTAACGCAGGAAGTAATCAACCTGTAAGTCATCATGCAGGTAATTCCAATTATCATCGTCGACTCAGTAGAGATCAACCTCCTCCGTCCCCAAGTAAAGAGGGCCAGCCATTTATTTTTGAAAAAGCACCCAATAAGAATCTCGTTTTCCAAACTTCTCACGAGGATGAAGAATCCTATTTTACAAAGGTTTGAAAATATAACTAAATTATTTTTATTCTTTAAAAAATAATAAATTTTGTGTAATAAAAATGTTTTTTTTTTTTGCAAATTTATTCTGTAGAAAGACCTACAGGATAGTAGTAATTATAAACAACGACCGCGATCAAACACCGTCTCCGAAGGCACTAAAGTTGCTGACAGCAAAGTACTGCCAACTGTTTTCAAATGGGAAGGTGGTGGTAAACAAGTTTTTATCAGTGGAACTTTTACTGGTTGGAAAACACTGCCAATGGTTAAAAGTCATGGAGATTTTGTAACGATAATTGACTTGCCAGAGGGTGAACATCAATACAAATTTTATGTCGATGGAGAATGGAGGCACGATCCTGGCTTGGTAAATAAAATTTAACTCAATTTCAAATATTTTTAAAGAAAATTTTTTTTTCATTTTTCTTTATTTAAAAATTATTTTTTAGAAACTTGTGGACAATGGTATGGGTTCAAAAAATAATTTAGTGTCAGTTAGAAAATCGGACTTTGAAGTCTTCCAAGCTCTTGCAAAGGATAGTGAAGGAGTCACCAGTAGTGCCCAAACGGAATACGGTCAAGAGATTCCACCACATAAACCATGGGAAAAATCACCAGGACCACCGATTCTTCCTCCACATTTACTACAAGTTATTCTCAATAAAGATACACCTCTTTCGGTAAATACTATCATTTATGCCCTTAAATTGAAATTATTGATTTAAAAAATATAAAATTTGAATTTTATAAAAAAAAAAAAATAGGCTCTTGGTAAAAAAATTGAATAAAATATTGGATTTAGGTGAGATACTAAAATTGGTTTTTGATGTGATAAATGTATTTTCAGTGTGAACCCACTCTCCTGCCTGAACCAAACCACGTTATGTTAAATCACCTTTATGCCCTAAGTATCAAAGATAGTGTGATGGTCCTCTCAGCAACGCATCGCTATCGCAAAAAGTACGTCACTACATTATTGTATAAACCAATTTAAATTCCTCAAATGGAATGTTTTTTTCTTTTTTGACGAAATCGCGATGTAATGGTTTTAAAACACAAACGATCTCTTTTAATCAGTGTAAATAAACTTTACACTCGTATATATATCAAATTAAAAAGAAAAAAAAATTAGCTGCAAACGATGCTATTTACAATCTCATAAAACACACAAGTCGAAAGGATTCTATAAACAAAAACAAGATTTTCCATAATTAATAAATTTTTAATCGATTAAGCAGAAAATTAATAAAAGAAGCAATATAATAAAAATTGAATTGAAGGAAAAACATTTTTTTAAAAAATTTTTTAAAATAAATTTTAATCCTAGTTGTAAATTATGACTTGTGTATTTTATGAATACTCTTGCAATAATAGAAGTAAATTTTCGAATTTTTTTGATTCCAACAAAATGTTATTTGTCTAAAAAAAGAAAAGATGAAAATTTTATAAATGTTAAAATTTTCATAAACTATATATACATAAATATATATATATAAATATATTATATACAGATAGTTGTAGCCTTGAATATTTTCAATTTATATAAATTAGAGATGATAAGTATTTAGACTGAATAAAGGCTACTAAATTTTTATACGTTGGAATATATCATTAAATATTTCAAAATATTTGATGAAATTTTTTGACAACTCAATGGAGTTTAATAAAATGACGGATGGGGAAATTATCAGTTTTTTTTTCGAAAACTGAATAATAAATCATCCTTTTTCATTTTAATTATTGTATTAACTGCGAGATATTAAATATACCAAATAGTTATCTTTCAAATTTAATTATATAATTATCACTTTACTCAATAAGATAAAGTTTCTGTTTTTTATTTTGAAGAATTAAAAAAAATCTTTTAAATAAAAAATTGAAACAAATTTTTGAATATTTAAAGACAAATAACATTAAATTAATCGTAAAATTCGTAAATTTCGAATATATTATTTTTAAAAAATATTGTTTAAAAAAAAAAGTTGACAAAGTTTTATTATAGTAAAGTAATTTTCAAATAATTCTCGAATGTTACAAAATGAAAAAAAAATTTAATTCAAGTAATTGTATAATGAAAAATCAATTGCGTTGCAGCGCCATTTAGCTTTAACAACAAACAACCCCATTTTTGCAAAGACTATATATATATATTTTTTTTGCCTTCAAGTACTTGCATATCCACAAACGATGTGAGAGAACGCTTGTTACTAACATGAAAAAGAGAAACAAAAAAACCTAAAAAAAAAAAAAAAAGTTTTTAAATAAGGTAGTGTCTAACAATAATTTTATTGATTTTTTGGAACGTTTGTTGTACCTAAAGCGATTGTAAAATATTGTAATTATCAATGCGAATACTGTATTTATTAAAAGCGAAATATTTTGAATCGAGATACCTTTCAAGCAAGACTTTTGCATGTACATACAAACTAGTAGTCATAGGTACTTAATATTTAGTTAGGACTCGCATTTAAACGCAAACTTCGAGTAAAAAAAAGAGCATATTTTCCATTCATGACTAAAAACCTGTGTGAATTCTGTTATTATTCAATTATTCGTGAATTACTTTCCTTTAAGGTAGTTTAAAATGGCAACAATTATGAGATTTTAAAAAATAACACAATTTGAAAAAAATATTTTTTTTTAATTTCAGTCATATAATGAATTGCAAAAAAATTAAATTTTTTTTATATAATATTTACTCATTTATTAAATTAGTTTTTCGTTAAAGTTTTTATTGAATTGTTTACTTTTTTTGACTTATAAATTTTTAATATCTATTATTGTTAAAGTTTTTATTATATTTTTTACATTTTAAGTGTATTAAAATTAACCTTTTCTTGTTGATTCCTTTTGATAGAAACTTTTTTTGAGGGGGAAATAATATATTAATTATTAATCATTTTAAAGTTATAACTACCTTAAAGATTGTAAATAATTTTAATAAGAATTCATTCGATTCGTTGCTTTATACAGGGTTCGACTTTAATATATATATATACGCTTTTTGTTTTATTGTGCCATAAAAATATCGAGTTGTTAGCCATGAAATGAAAATTTTGAATTGTACTTTTGTATTTTCATTCATTCACATCGTCGAACGTGGAATTATTTCACGCTAAATTGTACACACACACACAATCGGAAATAAGAATATTTGCAAGTTAAAAAAAAAATTGTTACGCCTACATCGTTCTTAGGCCTTTTCTCGATTTTAAATCCTCTTTAGTTTATATTTGTCAATTTGTAATATTTTTTTTTGCGATAGAAAATTTCTTTATATTCGATACGATTTTCTATTCTTTTTTTTGCTTTTAATTTTATCATTTATTAATTGTCGCAGTTGAATTTATTTTATGGTAAAAGGTCAAAGTTTAGATGTTTTAGAATTAGAGAACAATTTCACGCGCAATAACACCAATTTTATTATTATTATTATTATTATCATTATTATTAACAGATAAAAGTTGATTGAGAGCAATCGAAATCGACAGTCTTCAACGAATAAAGAAAAATATGCTGCCAATAAATTTTATTTCTTTTGTTTTCACGAAAATTTCTTTAAGAAATCTTCCTTTTACAGTTTTTTTTTTCTTTTCTTTTCGGGAGAGGAAGAAAATAATGTATTATTTATAAGAGAGAACTCGTGGCTTTTATAAATGGAAAACCTTTGATCTCTTTGACTGATGACTTTAAAAATTTATACTTTTGTAATGTCAAGACTCACAATTTTTCATTCATTCTTTATGTAATTGAAAATTCTTTTTTTAAAAAAATTTATCTTTAAAAACATTTCTTTTTTAAATCATCTTTTTTTACATCTTTTTAAAGGTCTCTTTTAAGATCCTTTTTAAAGATCATTTTAAAAAGAATTTAAATTCAAAGTTTATTTTTCGATACAATTTTAATATGATTAAAAATTTAGTTTAATAATTATTTTTGTTTCAAAAAAATTTTCTGTGACAAAAAACAGAATAATTTATAGAAAATTAAAAAAAAAATTCTCTTTTGCTTTTTTTTTGTCGACTACAAATGATTGTTAATTTCTTCAGTGTAGGCAAAAGGGGGCTCACTTCTTGTTTTTAAAAAATAAGATCCTGTTGCTGATTTATCAACATGCTCGCCCATTAAAACCGATGATTTACTTTCACAATGTTTATTAACATATGCATCCCATGTGTCACATTGTGTCGCTACAAGACCACTTTTTTCATTAATGCTCTCGGTGAAATATGAATAAGATCTTCCATGACTGCAGGCCTCTGGAAAAAAATAAACATTTAATTAATTAATTACAATTATTTTATAGGAGTTAAAATTTACCAAGCAATTCAGGAATACAACAACATCCAGGTTGTACAGCTGTACCAGCATTGGGATAAAAGTCAATATGACCCAATGGTTGTAAAAAACCCAAAACTCCTCCACATGAATGAATAACATCAACAAAATTAGCATCCGATGGATCTAATCGTTCTTTTTCAGTAGCGAATATATGAAATCCAGGAAGTGCAGGATCAAGTCCTGTCACTCTGCTAATTCTTCCAAATTTTATTGCACTTCCAGCATTTCCTGCGACATGTGCACCAAGTGAATGACCTAACACAATATTGAAAACCAATATTAAATATTTTCAAGAAAAAACAAATTTTTTAATACAAAAAAAAATTATGATAAAAATCTATTAAATTGAAGAGTTCTTACCAATAAAATGAATATCTCTGGGGCTTAATCCAGTTTCACTAATTAAAAAATCTATAAATTGCCCCGCATTCTGTCCAACTTGTTCTGTATTTCGCATTGGTCCAAGATAAAATGTACTTGCTGCCAAAGGTTGCCAATCAACGAGAAATACATTATAGTCACCATATTCCAAATATGCTGTAAAAAAAAAAATTCAAAAATTTCTCAACATAGAATAGAATATTTTTTATTAACTACCATTTTTCATGTCAACTTGACTGGCACTCAATGCGCTCGATTTCCATCCGTGAGTGATAAACTTTGTTTTTTTCGATGGTGAAAAATTTGAATTCTTTAATGCATCCATATTATTCAAAAATAGAGGAGTTCCTTTTTCCGGATTTGATCTACAATAAAGAAAATAATAATTAATTATATAAAATAATAATTTAAAAAGTAAAATTAATTATTTAACATACCTAGTGTAAAGTATATACGAAACAGCAGAATTTGGATCTAAAATACCGCGAGTCTCATTTTGAAATTCTTTAAGAATTGCCACCTGTGGTTTATCATTTCCATCAGGCATAAATATCCAATCTTCACCATAGCCATCATATTTTCCTTGAAGAATACTTGTTACCTCAGCATTTATTAAATCAATGATAATACAAATTATAATAAATAACAATTTTAATAGCATCTTTTTTTTTTTAAAAAAAAACAAGATTTTTTTTTTAGAAAAAAGCTCTCGTAATCTTTGAATAAAAATAATGTTTGTCCATGGACAAAATCTACGTTTTTATAATGTTTGACTAGAAGTTAATGGCCCCCTCCCCCTCCTCTTTTTTTTTAACCAAATTAGTTTGTTATTTAAATAACATATTCAAATATGCGTACCCCTTGGCGTGCTCCACTTTTGATTCAATGTTTCTTATCACTTTTATGCGAAAACACTGCAAAAACAGTAGACATTATCGTCAAGGTTCAGGTTTTATTTTCTAATCAAGTCCAGACTGACCGTGATATCGTTTTATCAAACAATGATTGACGTGGGTTGACTTACGACAATTTTTAAAAACCAGTTTTATTATTGACAGGTAAATAAACCTTTTGTTTATAATTAACTTTTTTAAATCAGTTTTTATATAATTGAAAATATCCATTTTTGTTTTTCATTATTTTTTTTATTTGTCATAGGTAAATATATAATTTTTTCATTTTACCTCAATATTTATATTTACCTCACATTATATATATATATATATATATATATATTAAAAGATTATAATACAAAATTATCAGTTCTTGTATAATATTTAAATCTATCTTAATTCGTACGTCACGAGAAACTTATAGCTAATAATTTGAAAGACGAGTCTCCAATTTTGAGATAATTCGTATATAAAAATTATAATAATAACATTATAATATATATTTATGTTTCGTAAATTATTACAAATTTCGTAGTTTTCTTCTTTGCAAATAGAAAATTTTTAATTACAATTTATTTCAACAACAATTAACCGTATGTTAAAATCATGAATACTGTTGAAAATTCATAAGATCGTGATGCTTTGCCTTTTTTCGGTGATAAAGTTTGTATCGTATTTTCACCAAATTCACCATCTCCAAAACCACCGGCAAGTGGAATCTCGGGAAAAATCTTCTTAAATACTCGTGTTTCCATTTTTTTATTTTCAAGACGTGCAACACAAGAAAATATAAAACCCATTGTAAACTTTTTCAATTGTATATTCTCACGGAGAACTTTGAGTTTTTCCTCAATTTCCATCTCATCGTAACATTTTTTTGGCATAATTACAGACCATGTATGAATTCCTGGACCCGATAATGTCACTACTGTTACAGTTGAAGATTTTTTACAAAATTCCATATCAGTTGTACGCTTACAATAAACAATATCTTTAACAATACCGCCAATTAGAGATAATTTTTGTTTAGGATATCTGCAAAAATAATTTTTATAAATTTAAATTTCAACAAAGAAATAATATTTTATTAAAAAAAAAAAATAATTTAATTCCTTCACTTACTTGCATTTAATTGTTCTCAACATTTTTATCGCATGTTTATAACCATCACAGTCAGAGAATACCATTATGCATTTAGATTTTTCATTACTACCAAAATCCGAGCAACTATGTATCCAATCGAGAACTTTGTCCTTTTCCAATTTATTTAAATCGTCCAGCGAGAAAGTATTGACTTTAACTTTGGAAATAGTTGGAAAAAATACACAAACAGCGTCATTTTTGCTTAAGACGAGATCACTGGATATTGTATCACAAGTACGTAACATAACAGTTTCACATGATGTTGGTAATTGAGAACAATAACAATCTGCAACGTGACCTTTCAATTTTTTTTTCAATTATTATAATACAATTTTTTTTCATTAGAAGAAAATAAAGAAAAATTAAATTTAAAGGAAAAGAAAAATTACCTTTCATAGAATCAAATAATCTATTTTCCACATCGCCGGTAAATATAAGTCCCAACATTGGTTTTATTCGTAAATTCTTAGCAATACTTTTGTCCAAATAATTATCACAAGGAGCATTATTTTTTTCTAAAGATTTACATAAATATTCGGGGCCTCTTGTTTTAAATTCGCTTATTGCCGCGTCACGCCAGCATCTGTGAAATTGAAATAATTTACGTCAGGTATGATGATTTTAGCATAAATAACAATTAAAAACTTAATTAACAAAAACATAACACAAGACTAGTTTGAAACTTTTTTTCAATTAAAACATTTTTTTTGAATATAGAGAAAATTTATATAAATGTTGGTTTATAGTTAAAATAAATACCTGCAAACCATTGCTGCAGCTGACAAGTCTTTTCCATTTAAAAAATTGAAAATAATCCTGAGAACATCATAGGTTAGATCTTGAATTTTAGAACTTATTTTTTCACTTGCACTTTTAATTTTTTTGGATTTATCATCTTTGACGCTACATAACTTTTTAGCTGGCTGTTCATCCATTTTTTAAACAAATCCACTGAGTTAATTTGTTGTTTTACAATTGTTTACTATAAAATTTAACTTAGCTATATATAAGTTGTAAACTGTATACATATATATAGCATGACTTGAAATTGGCTATATACAATGCAAATTGACGTAGTGTTACCAACAAGATAAACATAACACCAAATTTGAAATCTATTAACTATTTTAGAAAAGTTTTTTATTTATTTACATTATTTTTCACCGTAGCTAATAAATTTTGTAAACATTAATTATTAACAATAAATTGCTAATCATTTTCGTTTCATCTTGATCAAGTGTAATACCAATAGTAGAAAAAAAAAATTTCAACAATTGTGCGAAATTCAAATTTATATTTTCATAAATCTGTACAATTTTAGGGAAAATAAAAAAATATTTCTATTTTTCTTGTAAAAAAGAATAATAATTAAACAATGGTATATTTAAAACAATAAATTAGAAATAGTATTTATAGAAATATAGTTTTATAATTTATTTTTATATAGTTATTATAAATTCTAAATTCTAGCTTGATATATAAATTCATTTCATTCGTTGATAATAATAAATTATAATTGTACAATTTTATCATACATTTAAAACTATTTATATGTAAAACATTATCAAATTAATAATTTACGAAAACAAGCATATTAAATTATTAATAATTTGATATATAGCATTTCTTTCTGCTTTATATGTAAAATCAGCAATTCCAATACCAACAATATCAGGATTTGTCGATATTTCCACAGCAACGGCATATTCTGTTTTTGAATTTGTATCCAATTCCACAGAACAATATGTCAAATAAAGGGGTTTCAAAAATTCGATAAATTTCACTTTCAATTCATTTACAAATTCTTCCGTAACATCGCAATTGCACGTTTTAATTAATTCATCTAAACTTTTTAATTCTTTTAATATTTCACAACGTGTTTCTTCGTCGTAGGATTTTTTCAAATGTCTATGATAATCATCTAATTTAACACCTAAATTAATTTTCTTTTGTGGTAGTTTCGTTAATGTGGAATATTTTTCAAGTGCTAATTCATTGGCATTTGTTTCTAATAATTTTGCATCATCACATCTTATATCAATTTCACCTGAATCACGTAAATCTTCAACAACTATTTGAATTTTTTCTAACATTTTCCTTGCGGCCTCGTGTTTTGCTTGCTTTTTTGTTGTAGCAATACCCTCTTCTTGAAATGATGAAACAATACAAGAGATTGTAAATACTCTCGCATGCGGTGGACCAACATCATCAACTTCCTTATATTCCGGCTGTTGAAGATTATTATCAACGCACAATTGCTGAAAATTTTTTATTAAGAATCTAATATATATCTAATATATAATATATATGAAAATTGAAATAATTAAATGAGAAAAAAAAAAGAGATAAATAAAATGACTTACAGCCAAGGCTCCAATGGCATTTAAAAAGGGTAAATTTGAGGGACGTTTAGGCGAAACTGTAGTTTCAGTAAGCAATGGTCTTCTCGCAGGCGATGGTGCAGGTGATTCTTGTAATTGTGGATATGCTCGATGAGCAGCAATTTTTTCCAACATTTCTTTGGCAGCTTCATGTTTAGCATCTTTTTTACATCGTCCTGTACCAATTGCCATAAATCCATCACAAGTAACTTGATAAGTAAATGTATTGTCATGAGTACCTCCACCATCGAAAATTAATTCATAATTTGGTACACATTTCTCCTTCATCATCATTTCTTGTAAAATTGAAACCGGAGTTTTGTTCATCCTAATCTTTTTTATTTATATTTATAATATGTATATTCAGAAACAGAGCAGGCAAATATTCTGAAAACAAATATTTAAATTAAATTTAAACTTTATAAATATCAAAAAATAACTTAAATGAATAATAATTAAATTAATATTTTCTTAATTGGTTGTAATATGTTGTAATGTTTGTAAATTGTTTGTAATGACCTTGAAAAACTGAAAGAAATTCCAAATTCTAGGTTAGGAATTTTATTAACAGTTATATGTTTTTCTTAAATTATAATATATATATAATATACATATATTCAATGTATACTCACTTTTAACAAAACTTCAAGAATAACCACTTTTTTAAAATATTTATTACAAATTATATTTTAACATAAAAAATTCTGACACAATTTATCATATTGACAATATTTCGAATACAAAAATCACACATTCAATGTCTTTATAGATTTATTTGTATCGTTCTTTCATACTTCAGTTCTGCATTGAATATATTAAAAATAAAATTATATTATAACTTTATTTTGAAATTTTTTAAAAAATAATCAAGAATTTCTTTGTGACTTGAATTTCAGGTTAAGTCAGGTTAAGTTAAATAACAGAGATAAACATATATCACATAACCATGAAATAATATATCAGAGAATTGTATATCAACGCATTTGTGCTTTTTTCTCCCCAGTTTTTTTTAGTTATTAATTTTAGATAATTTTTAATAATAATAATAATAACAAATAAATATTAATTAAATGCAGAATTCAAATTTTTTATTTTTTATGTTGGTAGAAGAAGCAGAAAACTTTAAAATTTTGTTATTTTGAATTGGCACTACTGCCTACTAGCTCATTGCAAAGGCTGCGTTAAAAGTGAAAAGATCGTTTGTCCGTTGTGCTGAATTAAATCTAAGTAAGTCTTTTAAATCTTAACATCAATTATAAAAATTTTGTGTTAATTAAATATAATTTTGTTTAAAGAATCAGAATATCATATAAGTTTTATTAAGAATGAAAAAAAAAGTCAATAATATTGAAGAAAATTTTCTGACAAAAAGATAACCTAAAAACTTTGACAATCTTAACTTTGCGATGTTGCCGTTAGGTGGCACAACAGTGTGGAGGAAAATTCAAAAAAATATTTGGTTAAATACAGGTAAAAGTATATTTAAAGGATTAATACATAAAAGATACATTAATTTAAATATAGAAAAAACAAATAAATTATCCTCAATCAAAAAATAACTTTTTTAATATTAAATATCTAAATATACAATAGTTGAATGTTTTTAGAATTATGTTGGTATCAATGTAAGAATCATTAGTACTTTCATTTTCTGCTATTGGCAGTCCTGAATTGAGTAAACGGTTATTGTTGAAAGTACAGTTGAATATTTCGTGAACGGAAAAAACGAAGTATAATGATTAATATCATGAATAATATAATAATTTTGTAATGTTTGACTTTATTTCTGTCAATAAAATCAATATTTCAAGTAATTTTTGTTGATAAACATAAAAGTTTCGAACAACTTTAGAAATTTAATTTCGACGAAAATATAACCTCAGCAAATTTCATGTCTATTCAGTGTTGATCGACAATATCTGTCCATAATTTAAAAAGAAATTTTTTTAATTGTACGTTTAATAATTTATTAAAAACAATAATGTTAGAAAAAAATCCTGAAAATCTTTAAAAATTAGAAACTAACATATATATTGAATCTTTCTCTTTTTTCTAGTCAACTTTTCATCAAATTGAGGGGACGTTCTACTTCCAATTAAGTACCACATTTAAAAGGACTCAAAGGATGAAGGATCAAGAATGTTGAAGAGGAGAAGCGGCTGACTGAATGAATTAATGATGTCTTCACTACTTCACCCCAAATGAACGAGCAATGCTGTTATACCTATTCAACATATTCGACGTGGGATGCATTGAACAGTAAGTTATCACAATTGATTTAAACAATATAATGACACAAAAAACGAACGAAATTTCTGATAAATTAATTGTAAATTTCTTAACAATTAATTCGTACAATTAAAAACATTGCTTTGGAAATTAATTGTAATTCATTTTTCAATAGAAAAATGATTATTTGCTCTAATCATTAAAGTTCTTCGTTATTTAATTTTTAATTCATTTATATGTAATTGTAATTACATATAACCGTAATTACGTTTATTCAAACATAAATATTTCTTTTGAAAAATTATCAAATTTAAAGAATTAGGGATATAAACTGCATCATAAGAATTATACGAAAGTACCAAGAAATGCATCAGTTGGTACTTTAGAAAAAGGAGTTTTCTACATAATATGTAAATAAATACCTCAAGTATAAGGTTAACTTCCTAAATTTAAATAAAAGTGTAGAAACAAAATACAGAAATTCGTTCAAGAGTCAAGAAATGTTATGAATATATTTTTTTAAATAATTATTTTTATTTTTTAAATAGCAGTACTTCATAAGAAGTACAAGTAAATACCAATGATTGTGAAATCAGTGGTAAACGCTTGTAGTTTAGTTGTAGTTTTAGTAGTTACTAATGGTTGTAAAAATCATTGGTGACATTTGCTTGTAGTTTTAGTTGTTACTAATGGTTGTAGAAATCATTGGTAACTTTTTGCATGTAGTTCTTAGTTAGTTATTACTAATGGTTGTAGAAATCATTGGTAATTTTTGCTTGTAGTTTTAGTTGTTACCAATGGTTGTAAAAATCATTGGTAACTTTTGCTTGTAGTTTTAGTTGTTATCAATGGTTGTAAAAATCATTGGTGACATTTGCTTGTAGTTTTAGTTGTTATCAATGGTTGTAAAAATCATTGGTGACATTTGCTTGTAGTTTTAGTTGTTATCAATGGTTGTAAAAATCATTGGTAACTTTTGCTTGTAGTTTTAGTTGTTATCAATGGTTGTAAAAATTATTGGTGACATTTGCTTGTAGTTTTAGTTGTTACTAATGGTTGTAGAAATCATTGGTAATTTTTGCTTGTAGTTTTAGTTGTTATCAATGGTTGTAAAAATCATTAGTAATTTTTCTTGTAGTTTTAGTTGTTATCAATGGTTGTAAAAATCATTGGTGACATTTGTTTGTAGTTTTAGTTGTTACTAATGGTTGTAGAAATCATTGGTAACTTTTTGCATGTAGTTCTTAGTTAGTTATTACTAATGGTTGTAGAAATCATTGGTAATTTTTGCTTGTAGTTTTAGTTGTTACTAATGGTTGTAGAAATCATTGGTAATTTTTGCTTGTAGTTTTAGTTGTTATCAATAGTTGTAAAAATCATTGGTGACATTTGCTTGTAGTTTTAGTTATTATCAATGGATGTAAAAATCATTGGTAATTTTTTGCATGTAGTTCTTAGTTAGTTGTTATTAATGGTTGTAAAAATCATTGGTAATTCTTGCTTGTAGTTTTAGTTGTTACTAATGGTTGTAAAAATCATTAGTAATTTTTGCTTGTAGTTTTAGTTGTTACTAATGGTTGTAAAAATCATTGGTAATTTTTGCTTGTTGTTTTAGTTGTTACTAATGGTTGTAAAAATCATTAGTAATTTTTGCTTGTAGTTCTTAGTTAGTTGTTACTAATGGTTGTAAAAATCATTAGTAATTTTTGCTTGTAGTTTTAGTTGTTATCAATGGTTGTAAAAATCATTGGTAACTTTTGCTTGTAGTTTTAGTTGTTATCAATGGTTGTAAAAATTATTGGTGACATTTGCTTGTAGTTTTAGTAGTTACTAATGGTTGTAAAAATCATTGGTGACATTTGCTTGTAGTTTTAGTTGTTACTAATGGTTGTAGAAATCATTGGTAACTTTTTGCATGTAGTTCTTAGTTAGTTATTACTAATGGTTGTAGAAATCATTGGTAATTTTTGCTTGTAGTTTTAGTTGTTACCAATGGTTGTAAAAATCATTGGTAACTTTTGCTTGTAGTTTTAGTTGTTATCAATGGTTGTAAAAATCATTGGTGACATTTGCTTGTAGTTTTAGTTGTTATCAATGGTTGTAAAAATCATTGGTAACTTTTGCTTGTAGTTTTAGTTGTTATCAATGGTTGTAAAAATTATTGGTGACATTTGCTTGTAGTTTTAGTTGTTACTAATGGTTGTAGAAATCATTGGTAATTTTTGCTTGTAGTTTTAGTTGTTATCAATGGTTGTAAAAATCATTGGTAATTTTTTGCATGTAGTTCTTAGTTAGTTGTTATCAATGGTTGTAAAAATCATTGGTAATTCTTGCTTGTAGTTTTAGTTGTTACTAATGGTTGTAAAAATAATTAGTAATTTTTGCTTGTAGTTTTAGTTTTTATCAATGGTTGTAAAAATCATTGGTAATTTTTGCTTGTAGTTTTAGTTGTTATCAATGGTTGTAAAAATCATTGGTAATTTTTGCTTGTAGTTTTAGTTGTTACTAATGGTTGTAAAAATCATTAGTAATTTTTGCTTGTAGTTCTTAGTTAGTTGTTACTAATGGTTGTAAAAATCATATGTAATTTTTGCTTGTAGTTTTAGTTGTTATCAATGGTTGTAAAAATTATTGGTGACATTTGCTTGTAGTTTTAGTTGTTATCAATGGTTGTAAAAATCATTGGTAACTTTTGCTTGTAGTTTTAGTTGTTATCAATGGTTGTAACAATTATTGGTGACATTTGCTTGTAGTTTTAGTTGTTATCAATGGTTGTAAAAATCATTGGTAATTTTTGCTTGTAGTTTTAGTTGTTACTAATGGTTGTAAAAATCATTAGTAATTTTTGCTTGTAGTTCTTAGTTGTTACGAATGGTTGTAAAAATCATTAGTAATTTTTCTTGTAGTTTTAGTTGTTATCAATGGTTGTAAAAATCATTGGTGACATTTGTTTGTAGTTTTAGTTGTTACTAATGGTTGTAGAAATCATTGGTGACATTTGCTTGTAGTTTTAGTTGTTATCAATGGTTGTAAAAATCATTGGTAATTTTTGCTTGTAGTTTTAGTTGTTACTAATGGTTGTAGAAATCATTGGTAATTTTTGCTTGTAGTTTTAGTTGTTATCAATAGTTGTAAAAATCATTGGTGACATTTGCTTGTAGTTTTAGTTATTATCAATGGATGTAAAAATCATTGGTAATTTTTTGCATGTAGTTCTTAGTTAGTTGTTATTAATGGTTGTAAAAATCATTGGTAATTCTTGCTTGTAGTTTTAGTTGTTACTAATGGTTGTAAAAATCATTAGTAATTTTTGCTTGTAGTTTTAGTTGTTACTAATGGTTGTAAAAATCATTGGTAATTTTTGCTTGTAGTTTTAGTTGTTACTAATGGTTGTAAAAATCATTAGTAATTTTTGCTTGTAGTTCTTAGTTAGTTGTTACTAATGGTTGTAAAAATCATTAGTAATTTTTGCTTGTAGTTCTTAGTTAGTTGTTACTAATGGTTGTAAAAATCATTAGTAATTTTTGCTTGTAGTTCTTAGTTAGTTGTTACTAATGGTTGTAAAAATCATTAGTAATTTTTGCTTGTAGTTTTAGTTGTTATCAATGGTTGTAAAAATTATTGGTGACATTTGCTTGTAGTTTTAGTTGTTACTAATGGTTGTAGAAATCATTGGTAATTTTTGCTTGTAGTTTTAGTTGTTATCAATGGTTGTAAAAATTATTGGTGACATTTGCTTGTAGTTTTAGTTGTTACTAATGGTTGTAAAAATCATTGGTGACATTTGCTTGTAGTTTTAGTTATTATCAATGGTTGTAAAAATCATTGGTAATTTTTTGCATGTAGTTCTTAGTTAGTTGTTATTAATGGTTGTAAAAATGATTGGTAATTTTTGCTTGCAGTTTTAGTTATTACTAATGGTTGTAGAAATCATTGGTAATTTTTGCTTTTAGTTTTAGTTATTATCAATGGTTGTAAAAATCATTGGTAATTTTTGCTTGTAGTTTTAGTTGTTACTAATGGTTGTAGAAATCATTGGTAATTTTTTGCATGTAGTTCTTAGTTAGTTGTTACTAATGGGGTGTTAAAAATCATTAGTAATTTTTGCTTGTAGTTAATTGGTAATATATATCGTTTTGTTATTATTTTAATAGATTTTAGTTGTAAGTTTTTTAATTTAATCTTGTTGTTAGTATAGTCTCTCTTATATCTTTTTTATTACTTGTTAATTATTCTTCTCAAACATTTTGCATTGATCGAAATCATCTCATCATTATTCGAACTTGGTTGTGTATTCGCATCTTTATTTTATTTCATCACGTAAACTTCACTTTAGTTGTTAAAAATAGACAATCAATTAATATTCAAAATGTGTTTCAATTAATAGTAATTGAAAATTTTTAATAATAAACGGGGTAATAAAATTTATGTGTTATATAAATTGTAATATTTAATTACACATTTAGAAAAAAGAATTTTTTCAATTATTTTAACAGTACAATTTTAATTGATTAATCTTTAACACGTGTTTTTAAATTTTTATTATAAAGTACTTTTTTTTAATCTTTAGCTTGGCACTTAAATTAAGTACTGTTCTAACGATTTCGTAAAGTGAATCATATATTTTAAGTCCAAGGGGCGTAGAAGTACCAAGCGGAAACAAGGACATGTTTTTTTTTTTGTTTCTGCTTTTTTTCTTCCTCTCGCTAATAAACAGAGAAATCAGAGTGGCTCGTGCCGAGCAGTCGTCACGTTTCCTTCTATATAGCATTGAACGATACTTGCCAGGCAGGCAGGTCAGAAGGAGCTATTGGGTTGTGGAAAGAATCTTTGACATTTGGGGGACATATGTTTTGCAAGCCCATATATATAGGCTCCTTCATTTCAAAAAATCATTTATGACTACGGGTGCTAAATTGCGTGGACAGATGTTTTTTTTTTTTTTTTTTTGAAAAATGACCTTCACTTATTCCTAAACTATTTATCTGCATTTAACGCTTTACCTCAATGCTTTTAATATTTTTCTGTATTACAAAAGAGAAAAAAGAGTTTTAACCAAGATAATTAGTCACATGTGATTATTTTTAATAGGAAAACAATAGAAACAGGAATTGATGCGATGTAAAATATACTTCAAATTAATTATTATTTAATGTATATATATTTAATGAAGATCATGGGATTTATTAATGATCTATAAATCATAGTTTATGATTCAATCTGTTTTTTTTCAAGAAACTCGGTTATATTATATTATTATTTAAGATTAATATTATATCATTAGAGTTAAAAAATTATTTATTAAATTAAAATTCATGAGCATATCAATTTTAAAGTTTCGGATCTAATTATCCATAAATGTTAAACTCTTTCCTCACTAAAGGAAGCCTTGTTCCGCTTGTACTACACATGCTAGACAGACACGCATGCTTGCTACTGACACTAACCTTACCTCAATACGAATTACTTATCCTTTGAAGAAATAAGAAAAATAAGCGATGAAACTTGCTTTTAGCAAACTAGTAGAACGCAGTTGCGTTCGATGATCCACGTTTTATCACACTCTAAACTATATATATCGTACAGTGAAAATTATTATAAAATTATTTTTATATGTATAAATTATTTAAATAACAAAATTCACTATACTTCCTTTTTGTATTTTCCTTGGGATTATTTCTATATCATTACCTTGATTTCTATTTTAATAGTTATTCGACCTAGTTTATTTCAATGAGAAATAATTTAAAGGTATACATGGAGAAATTTTGAGATTTAGTATTAAAAATAGCTATTTCTATTTTTCAAATATTATCAAAAAAATATTCAAATAATTTTTATTTCAAATTTCAAACCATAATAATTATTTAAATATTGATTGATTGAATTAAATAATTTTTTTTTTTTTATTTTTTTAAAGAAAAATGATGATGAATGAAGCAAAGCACCTTGGCAATGTCTCGCTGGTCATTGTCGTCTTTTAGTGTCATTATCGTTTAGCCATTTTCGCGCCACGCGGTGACGTTCCGCTTCGTCTCGAGTGCAGTCTGAGCACATGGACAGTTTCTTTTCTTTAAAAGCCAGATGCGTGGGTGGGTCGTTGCAGAGATGGAACGACGAATCTCCTTTTGGCTCAAGAGAAGAAAAGAAGGCAACGAAGGAGACGAGAAAGACCCGTGGTCACATGGTTGTGGAAGCAACCAGCTATAGTAGCATCGCGCCCGGCTTCGTTTTACTCTTCCCCCTTCGCTTGTATATATCGTTCTTCGTTTTCGTTCAGTGTTTAAACTCATATACTGTATAGTTTGCTCTCTATACTCTAAGCTGTCAGTGTGCCTCGTGCAGTGTTCTACTAACTGTGCTTGTCTTGTTACTGTTGTTCATTCTTGTATATATCATCACATTTTCTCCACGCTACGTTATTCCTTTCAAAAACAAAACCAGTTTTTTTTTCAAATGCAGTTCCGTTTTTTTTTCATTGAAATTTCATTAAAGAAAAAAAAAAAAAATACTGTCCTTGACCAAGTGCAAATGACAATGAAGGATAATTACAATCTTCTCAGTTAGAAAAAAAATTCGGTGAGTCTTCTTCAAAAAATTCATTTTCTGAGTTTGAATTTAACAAATTCATGTTTTTATTATTTTTCCAAGTGAAGTTTTTTTTTATCTTTTCTTAAATAGTGAAGAGATTTAAATTTGAGTACAAAGTGATTTTTGATGCTTCAAATAATTATTTGAAAAATTTTATTAGCGCTAAATAAAATATTATTTTTCACAAATAAAAAATTTCTCTATGATTAATAATAATAATTATTATTATTGTTGTTATTATAATTCGAGACAATAATCAGGAGTGGGGGAAGGGTCAAAAGTGATGATTTCAGTCCCTTGTGAGACTGAAATTTTTTTTTTTTATTAATTAAAACAAAAGAGGTGTTTAAATTTGGTTCAAGGGAAATTTTACACAATATGTTCTTTGTGTAAAAAATCATATTCAATGATTTTATTTTTAACTCCATAAACAATGATATTTTTGTTCGTTTCATTATTTTCTTTATTTCTTATTTTACTGAATGCATTTTGAGAGATAATTTTTGAAAGTGCATTACGTTGAGGAATTTGAAACATATTTTTAGAAGAAAATTTCAAAGAACTTATAGAAGTATTCCATTAAGAATTAGGTAGGTTGCTCACCCGGTATATTAATAGACCGAAACTTGACAGTCGAAGTTTAACCAAAGCGTGCAGACGCTTGCAAAGATTGGCTTTACTCGGGCCAGGATTTCCTCATAGAAAACGCATTAGAACAGATTTAGATGTATAAAAAAAGGTATCTTCTCTGTCAACTCCCTGTTGCGCTACAATAGTTTTCTATTTACATAATCAACACGTGTTATTAATTTACTCTCTTTATTTTTTTTACTATTTATTTTATTTTTATTAATATATTAATATTATAATAACAATATTAATAAATTATATTAATTAATTAATATATTTCATTTATTAGAGGCAAAAAATTAATTCTAATTTTTTTTTTTGTTACATTCGTTATAAATTACGCGATAATTGGAAATTTTAATATTAATATATATAAAAGGTATGTGGGTATTACACAATCGTCGAACAATGCATGCTAAAAATATTAAATAATAATGTAAGCTGGTCGTGTGTAGACGCGCGCATTATTGTAAATAGCTGTATATACAATATCAAGTATTCGAATTACAATTGCAACTCGAGGTGAAGAGATTTACAATTTTTTACGCGGGCTAACTGTAGCTATATATCTTGGCACGCGCATCTCAAGAAATAATTTGCATGATTTTAATCGAACTATTTATAGAATGATACAAAAATCGAAAAAAAAATTTTTTTTAAATAATTAACCCTTTTTTTGAAAATAACAAAATTATACTATAGTAAAATTATTATAATTGTACTATAATTATTTTTTTAAAATAAATATTTATAGCTTTGTATTTATTTATATTATGAAATAAAGATTTAAAATAGGTACGTGCAAATCACAAGTGGATTGACATATATATCGTAGGCTAGGATATAATTGCATTTTATAAGGGCACGCGTCAAGACACCGGAAGTATATTATAAATTGCGTGCACTCCATTTTTGCAGGTGCTTCTTATAGAAAAGTACCCTATAGCATTACCATTTTCGCGCAATTAAAGTTATTTTGATTTTAATTGTTAGGACAATTCAAAAAAAAACGTAAAATCAAATATCGCAGTATTTTTCAATTTTTCTCCTTGGAACATAATTTTTAATTCAGTAATTATTAATTATTAATTAATAACTATTAATTAATATTATATAATAATATATAATATTAATAATTAATTATTTTGTAGAAATTTAGAAGTGTTTATTTTTTTTTAAACAAATTTCGCGAATGACATAATTTTAATAAGAAAAAAGTACAATTGAATATGAGTATAAGAATATCTTGAGATAAATCTGGTATTATAATAGAATGTGCATCTCTGATTGCACGTCGCAAATCGTGAATGGACCGTCCATGTCCCTTGCCATTGCTGAACTATAAATATAATCTTGACGACTATTTCCAGAGATGAATGAAACTTGCACTCGAATCACATTCACATATATACAAGAGAGAAATAGAGAGAAAGAGGAGGGAAGTTGTAGTAATAAAATGCATTTCAATAAATATAATCGTTTCTCGGAAATCTTTTGTTCAGAATTAATATTTTCTAAAATCTATTTCAAAAAACTTATATTGAAAATAAATTCAATTTTCCTTATATCACTGAAAAAAAAAATTTTATTCGGATTAAATAAATATTTATATTTAAACCAAATAATTTTTATTTGTATTAAATAAATTGTATTTAAAATGATTTCTGTATTTTAAATAACAATTTAATTGACTTAAATAATAATTAAATATTTATTTGAAAAGTATAACCGATTATTTGAATCAAATAAATTTTTTATTTCGGAAATAGTCAGCGGTTTACAATACGTTTTTTTTATTAAAAACAAAATTAATCGTTTTTTAAATTAATTTATTATTTTTTTTACAGGCTACTATTCATCCTTGACGAAGAAAATATCATGGCTGTTGGTAAGTTTTTTTTTTCTCTTTTGTTTTTAAAGTCATTGTCACATAAGGTATCTTCACTGATGTTTAAAAAATAATGATATTCAAGACACGTACTCTTGCGTATAATCACGTGAATTCGCATATATATGTATACAATAACAAATGTGTCTACTACAAGTTTTCTTAAATTATAAATCATAATGAAAATAGAAATTGAGAAAACTTAAATTCGCATAAAAAAAATAAATTGGAGGAATATTTTTTACCTTTCTTAAGATTCTCATTTTTCAGATAGTAAAACGACTCTTTTTGTTGCTTACTTCGATTTTTTTTTATTTTCTCACCCATATCGATTTTCTTTGGTGTAAGCTTACCATTATTGGAGATTTTTTTCGCCCTTTTTTTCACTGAAATCAGTTCAGTAAAATTAAAATGATTTTCTTATTTATAATTTTTAAAAAACAATTTTCTAGAATATAAAATTTCAGAAATATTCCATTTTTCCTATCTTTGAAAAACGCGGTTCAATTATTTATTATAAAAAAAATTTTTTAAATGTGATTAAAAATTGAAGTAGGAATTTTATTTTAAGATTCAAAGAATGATTTAAAATTCGCAACAAAACTTCTCTTAGCGATTTTCTCCAAATCGCAATTCCTTCGAATTCGTCGATTGGAACGTGGTGGTGCATTTCCGGTGGCGGATTTCTCCTCTCAAAGTCCAGGGGGTGGTGGTGGTGGCGGCGATGATGATGAAGGAAAAGGGGGAACAATGCAACATCCGGTCCCTTCTCTCCCACCTCTATTCTTTATTGGGTCGCGTGTGTTGCGTCCCATAACGCCCTGTCGCATCTCGACTTTCAACTCTTTCAGTCTTAAATCCGATCTCAGGTGCGGTTCTCTTCGGTAATCGAAAAAAAATTGAGATCGTATCACGCGTCACAAAATCAAATCAGGATTTTATCCCAAAATAATGATATATATCTTAAAAAATGAATAAAAAAATGATTTTAACTTTTTTCAGTTATCAAAATTATCACAAAAAAAATTATTTTATTATTTTCTTTGGCTTGATGATGATGATGATGATCTAATGCTCGATTGAATATATAAATGATTCATATTCTTAATTAGTTTCTCAATTAAGATTTAATTAAGTCCAATTTTTTTTATATAAGAAACTTTTAAGTTGAGAAAAATTTGGAAATAGAAAAAAAATTTGATAAAATCTGGTTGAATTTTTTTTTTTTGGAAAAAAAATAAACAAGTGGCAGAAGTTAACAGAATTCCTGTATATGTTTACAGACAATCCGTCGTACTTCTCGCTATCGAGCGGGGGTACAACAGATGCTGGACCATCGTCCCTTAATTCTGGATTAACATCAAGAGGTTTCAGTTCATTTTTTCGGAGAAAAAATTGCAAAATGGGCTCAACATCATCGGCAAGTGTCACATCAACATCAACAACATCAACATTAATGCGTCACGATAGTAATAGAAGTAGTTTTTCAAATTCATCAACAACAATCGAGGAACATGTTCCAACGGGTCAAAATCAAAGTTTAAATTTTAGAAATTTATTTCGTTCAATGAGTGCAAATAATGCTGATCATGAGAGGACACAACAATTTTTAAAAGGTGATCCACGTCCATCTGATGTTGCACCACCATCGCCATATTTACCCCATAGATCACATTCACATTCAGAAAATGATCGCCGAAGACCAAGGAGACGTGTTCTTAAATCGGCAAGTGAACTTTTAAATAATGACATGATTTATTGTGGCCTACCAAGTGATGATGTTGTTGATGGAAGAAATGCAAATGATGAAGTTGATAATTCAGGTGAAGTGTTTCTTGGTGTTGATGATGCGAGATATTATAATTTATCATCAACATTGCCAGCTGAAAGAAGAAGACATTCAATAGGAACATTTTTGGCTAAAGAAAGATGTGGTGGCGTGTGTTTTGGAAGAAGAAAAACACAAGAACCGGAAGTTCTTGTTGAACCAAGTGTAATGGCGCCACCAATTCCAATTAATGGAGGTGAAGTGAAGAAACGTCGGACAAATTCAAAAACAAAGAGAAAAAGACAGAGGTGCTGTGTTAAAGGTAAATAATTCAAAATTCTTTTTTAAATTTAATTTTTTTTTTATATAAAATTTAATTATATCAAATTTATTGTTCCTTGTTCTCGCGGATTGTGTCCGTTATCTTGAAATTATTTTGAAAAAGAATTGACACGTTTATTACTTTTCAAGCTGCGTTAAATGAACTTCCTCTCTTGCACAACTGATTATGAAAATGAGACTATAGTTTAAAAGTATGACGTCTATATAGCGCATTCCATCTTCTTCAAAGTGAGCTTGCAGATTAGATATTTCCATTATAAAAAAAAATTTATTTAATTCAAATAATCGTTTACTTAACTAGCAAATATTTATTTAATTATTATTTAAGTTAATTAATAGTATTTGTTTCAAATGGAGAAATTGGTTCAAAAATTTATTATTCAGTTACAATTTATTTTACAAAAAAAAATATTAATTAAAATTTTTTTTTAAATTAGTTATACTTTTGACTAATTTAGTTATTTTTAATTACTTCAGATTTAGAGAGGGATAGATATTTTATGTTTCTTAAATATAACTTTATTCATTCTTAAACATTTTTTTTATTGCGCTTTACGAAAATCATCCGCAATGGACCAATGATGCGGGTGTCTATTATATGTAAATTCTTGATAAACTTTGCGTGGGAACTGAACATTTAGTATGAACCAAATATACATTATATATTAATACTGAAAAAAAATTATTTGATTCAAATAATTGGTTATTTTATTATCAAATAAATATTTATTTAATTAATTATTTGAGTCAATTAAATGGTATTTGTTTAAAATATAGAAATTATTGGTTTATTTAATTCAAATAAAAATTATTTGATATATATAAAAATATATAAAATAACAAATATTTATTTTATAATCAGGCAATCGATTACTTGAAACAAATAATTTTTTTTTCAATTTACATAGTAGAGAAAAATATTTCCATGTGTTAGAATCAATTCACATGTATGTAACAATATAAACCACTATATATGTTGTCCACTAATTGATCAATAGTGGGTCAACCAGGAAAAAAAATATATTTAAAGGCATGGAATATAATTTTCCGACACTACTTTTTTTTTTAACTATTATTTAACTGATAGGTTAAAAATGGTGCTAATTTAATTAATTTTAATTTATGAAATTTTTTTTGTCAATAATCGACATTTTCCCAAAGCGAAAAATTCGATCATATATTCATTATTTTCTTATAAATATACCCGCATCAGTGGTTTATTACTACAACAATGATTTCGTTTTCTTGATTCAAAATCAATTTTGTAACAATACTATTCTAATGAATCATTAATTTATAATAATTGACATTGAATAGAAATGGAAACAATGTCTCTTTACAAGAGAAAAGTTTTGTTTTTTTTTATTAAGAAAATTTTTTTAGTTATTTCAAACAAAATTACTTTTGATTCAAATAAATATTTATTTAATCAAAATGAATATTTATATGATCTAAATAAACATCCTATTTTAGCAAATTCGATTCAAAAAAGAATTTAATAGAGCCAAATAAATTTTTGGTTGATTCAACTGAAAAATTTGACTTTTTTCAGTTTTGAAAGTTAAAAACGGCTTTTCTTTAAATTAATGATTATAAATCATTAAAAATGTTGAAACCAAAATATTTTTTGATTATTTATTGTCATTGATGTGTTTATTATTATCGTTTTGGAATTCATGCAGAGTTGAAAACAATAAATTTTCTTTATGCTTGGGAAAAATAAAAATACTACAAAGTTATCTCAGATGAGAAGACACATGATTTTTGACTTTTGTGAGGATATTATTTACTTAGATCTGATTCTCTTTCCGTTTAAGAAAGGGAGAGAGAGAGAGAGAGAGAGAGAATAAGAGAAAAAGAGAATTTATAAGCCTTAAGCCTGCGATCGTAGATTATCTCCGGAAGTCGTCTCTTAGTATTCGTTGTACGAAATCTCATTTTCCATCAAGCCAGCCCTCTTCTGGTCGGCCCTGCGTGTTAATAGAGTCAGGTCAATAAAATCTCACTGCCTCCTCTCACGTGTCTTTTTACACACCAACATCTTAAGAGTCTTTTATAAAATATGCTGTGAATTTGATAAATTGACCCATATTTTCTTTTTTTCTACTTTTAATTTTCTAAACATTTTTTTTTTAAATTGATTTCTTTTTTACACGTTTTTTTTAACATTTTAGATAGCAAAAATTCTAGTTCGTCTCCTGAAACAGAAAGAAAAATAAATTTTCTACTCTTTATATAAAACAATTTTGTTTTAAGAATTCTATTTTTCAAAATATTCCCTTGTCGAAACATCTTTCGGAAATTCAAGAAGCGAAAGTGCATATATATATATAAGCACAGGAAATGCGTGACGGAAGTACGTGGTAAAAATCACGAACTAGTCATAAAAAAAATTTTTCTAAAAAAATTGTTACCAATTGAGTTTTTTTTTAAATATTTCTTTATAAATATTTATTATGCGTGTTTTGTAATGTCATAAAAATATTTTTCCAATGATTTGAATATATTTTCATAAAATTTTATGGGAATTATTTATATATTTTATAGTTAAATAAGTAAATAAGAAAAATAAATTAAAATATTTTTCTTTAATTATATGAAAAATAAAGAAAGAAAAATACGCCTTTAGGGGGTATAAAAAGTTCTTTTTTTTTTTTTTTTGAAAAGATAAACTCAACTCCGGAAGTGAGGTTGGATTTGTTGATACTATATAAAACAGTGTTGATCGTTGAACCACCCTGATGTTCTTTTTCCCCCTTTTTTCCTGCGACACCAAAAAGGATAAATTGTATATATATACACTGTAAATCTGTATACAGAGTTTTACAAGAAGAGCGGACGAACGACACATCCGCTTTTTTAAATCGAGAGCCATCTGGAGAAATGGAAAAATTAAAAAAAAAAGTTTAAGAAAAAAAAAAAAAAGATTTCTAAATTTCGATAGATTCATCTCAAAATAGAATCTAGAGATTGCTTTGGTGGTTAAGGCTTCCGGCTCGTGTGCCTAGGGTTCGTAGTTCAATTCCCTCTAGCGTAATTTTTTCTTTAAAAAAAAAATATGCCTTTCAGTATAACATTACAAAAAATTACATGTAATATTACCTCAAAATTACATGTAATATTATCTTAATATTACTTTAATATTACAAATATTTACCAAAATTACAGGTAATATTACATCAAAATTACAGGTATCATTATCTTACCTCAATATTACAGGTAATATTTTCTTTAAATTACCTCAAAATTGCAGGTAATATTACCTTAATATTACCTCAATATTACATGTAGTATTACCTAAAACATGTAATTTTACCTTAATATTACAAGTAATATTGCCTCAATATATAATTTCAAACCAATCTGCAAGAAATTTTGCTTTTTTTTCGAAATTTTTTTTAAATAGCACCCAAAAAAATTATGAATTCCACACGTGAATCTATTTCCTCTTTCCTTATATGTATTTAAATTAATGTATCGTTATTGGCATACACTTGTCAGTTTATTTCCTGGTGTTTGCCACTCACGAACAGTATACGAGTTTGTTGCTTCCGGTCCTGCGTATATATCGAGTAATCGAGTTCATGAATCTCAGTGTTTCCGGAGCCAACGAAGAGAGAAAAAAAGTTGGGGGGGGGGGTTGATGAGAGGAAAGACTTTGTTATATCTTTTTGAAATCGCCGACAATCAGACTCTCTATATATAAGATTAACTCGTTAATTTTTAGTATATATATATATATGTATATGTTTCTGTCTTTCTATTATGTATTTTATTAATGTCTATTATTCTGTCTGGATTATTCCTCATCTGGACTATATATAATATTGACTCTATTGACTTTATGTAATAGATAACATTGAAACCGGCAGTGGTTATCAAATATAATTAATAAATTGTCAAGAGAATTGAGAATATGAAAACATATTACACATATAAAAATAATAATATAATAAAAAAAAAAAAAAATTAGATGTCTCAACATGAGAAACTCAATACGTGTCAAGTGTCTAACAAGCTTTGATTGGTCAATACGCAATTTCCGGGGAACACGTTGTACTCAAGAACCGGAGGTTCAATTTCATTTTTGCCAATTATAGAGTATGAAAATTCACGCAATCATTTTACAAAAATCGCAAAGCCTTTTTTTAATAATAATAATAACATATATGAATAAAATTAAAGGTACACTTAAAGGTATATTTGATTCAAATAATCTATTATCAAATAAATATTTATTAATTATTTTTTTATATTTTAGTTAATTTGAAAAAAAATAATTTCATAAATAGGAACGAGAATGGAATGAATTTGTATATATATAATGTTAAAACAAGAGGAAGATGCAGAGAAGCGTGCAAAGTTTATTTTTTTTTTTTTCTGAGGTACAATGTTGATTCTAAGTAAATTCCATAGGGACACCCTCATGTTGAGGATAATGCAAAAATAGAAGGGAGGCAATGGAAGTCGACGCACCGAAGAAAATGCATAATTTAGAGAGAAGGAATGAATAACTGAGAAAGATAAAAATAATAAGGAGCGACTGTAAAAACAGAAATAGCGAACTCGAACTCGTGCCTTTACACACTGCATTTTAAACCAGCTTAGAAATATGCATAAATTAATATCAAAAAAGCTTAAAATCCAAAAATTGCAAGAGAAAAATAATTAATTTTTGAAAAAAATCAATATATACAAAATTCACATATATTAATTTTTATATTTTTTTGTTGAAAAAAAAATTGTTTATTTTTATTTATACCTCTGAATCTCTAAAAGAAGTAATAATAATAAATAAAATTACATATATATATATAGTTGGAGTGACTATGGTGACCAAGAAAGCACAACTGTTAGCCGTGGTTGCCTATAGTCAGGCGATTAATATTGAAAAGATTTCTACCTTATCAATAATTATAAATGAAATTTTTTTTTAGGAAATAGAAAAAATATTATAAACAAAATTATATAGTATAATAT